GAGACTTGAGCCTGCTCGTTTCTTTCTTGTGTGATAGTTCCCTCTTCCATGATGTGCAGCATTCACGTTGTCATTAGCTAAGATGATGGAGGCATAGGATTAGCCCACGACCAAATTGACTGTCCTGATGTGTCATACCCCCTAGTCAGCCCTTTGAGCCGTGTGTTATCCTTTCTTTCGGTCTAAATGGAAAATCACCCCTTTGCATCTTTTAGAATGTTCCACAGAGTGGTTTCTCCATGTTCTCTGCTGTTTATGTTTAATATAATGTGAGAGTTGGAGGTAGTTCTTGAAAAAATGAAAAGGGCATGTGTTTGCAAAAATGTGCATAGGTGGTGGTTCTCTCAAGAAATGAAAATAAAAGAACAAAAAGAAGTGAATGAAAGCAAAAGAGAGTCACCACCACAAAATCTGAATAGCGCCCATTGAGTAGTGTTTCTTAGCAGTGTGGCTTGGAAATACTAAGTTTTTTTTTTGTGACCTCCTTCGCTCTTGTGCTTTAAAGAAAGTGAGTAATGCAGAATGGCAGAAAGAAAGAGTGGTTTGATTGACTGTGAGTGTGTTGGGTTTGGAATTGTGGAACCTTGTGCTATGAATACTTCCACCACCTAAAAGGCCTTTTCCCCATGTCCAAGACCCTAGCCAGTCATCTGAATTTGTGTCTAAGACCTCCGTATTAGTTAGTGGTGACATCCCATATGTGAACTCTAGCATTTAGAGGCTTCCTTCATGGTGAAGAGACGTTAGGGATTGAGAGAATAAGCATGCGCATTTTTCGCATCAAATTGTCCTGACCCCAATGGTCGAGAGTGAGCGATTCATTTTCTCATATTCTCTATACTCTTTATCCCGGTGAGGACCTAGATTGCTCGGTCTTAATTCTGATATCTTGAGCTTTGTGCATGAGGTGACTGTTTTGAATAAGTGGTTGAGTCAAGTCTATGTTGGTTGGTGAACAGAAGGGAGACTCTTCATTTGCTCGACTTTACTGCATTCGAATGCCATCGGTGGTGGTTGTCTAGGTTGTCGTTGAGGTTGTCCATGTGTTAATGATCAAAAGCCAGTATGATCCACGTGTTTTGTGCTTATATGATACGCCCTAGAGCCTGCTTGATTGAAACGTTTTGAGCTTACCTTGAGTCTTACTTGGTTTGCTTGGGGACAAGCAAACGCTTAAGTGTGGGGGAATTTGATAATGATGTAATTGCACATGTTTGCACCCCTAGTTCTTATCCGTTTGTGGGGCGTAGTCGTGTATTTTTGGCCTATTCTACGCCGGGTTGTGCTACTTTGTCATATTTTGGGTCCCAGACGTCGAAGGAAAGGCTAAGCACGAGTTCGGGGCATTCGAAAGTCATTCGTTCGAGCTGGAGCCAAAGCACGGGCGCGCCTAAATCAGAGCACGGCCGTGTTCCTGGACCGTGTTTTTACTGCCGAGGCTTGATCCAAGATGGTCCTGCGCTGGCCCAAAACACGGGCGGGACTGACTCAAAACACGGTCGTGTCCAACTTTAGGCACGACCGTGTTTTCCCCAAGGTGTGGCCGTGTTTTTAACACGTGGCAAGGACACGGGCGGGCAGCAGCAAAGCACGGTCGTGCCCTCGACAGTGTTTTGCCCATGGTTGCCCTTTTAGGCAGATTTGAGCCAAAAGAGAAGGGGTTCCGAGTTTCAGAGAGACACAACGATTCCTAGAGAGAGAAAGTGACGAACCAGAGTTCCCAAGTACCCTAGCTTGATCTTCATCACCATTGGAGCCCGGCTTGAGCTTGGAGAAGTGCCAATCGACAACGAGGAGCAGAAACCCATCCTTCACAGTATGGTTTCCGCATCTGAATCTGCTTTTGCTTCTCTCTCCATGGAGTAGTTTTCTTATTCATCTGTAGGGATGGCAAAAATTTCCGTAACCGTGGATATCCACCCGAATCCGCCCTAATCGGGTAGGGTAAAACCCAAACCCGAAAGACATTTAGTGGGTACGGGTAAAACCCGAACCCGAATATTATGGGTAATGGGTGGGCATGAATTTCTCACTATCCAACCCGAACCCGCCCGATTATACAAATGCATATGTATTTTCTCTAGATATAATCATTATTTTTCTCTAACATATTTTATATTTACCATATAAGTATAATATTTTCATGAAATTGTGTTGTTTTAATTAATTTCTTCATTCTAGTGAATTATTGTCGTACTTTTCCTCTTACGTAATGTGAGAATTCGTGTGAATGTTAACATATTTCCGTAACCGTGGATATCCACCCGAATCCGCCCTAATCGGGTAGGGTAAAACCCAAACCCGAAAGACATTTAGTGGGTACGGGTAAAACCCGAACCCGAATATTATGGGTAATGGGTGGGCATGAATTTCTCACTATCCAACCCGAACCCGCCCGATTATACAAATGCATATGTATTTTCTCTAGATATAATCATTATTTTTCTCTAACATATTTTATATTTACCATATAAGTATAATATTTTCATGAAATTGTGTTGTTTTAATTAATTTCTTCATTCTAGTGAATTATTGTCGTACTTTTCCTCTTACGTAATGTGAGAATTCGTGTGAATGTTAACATATTGGTTGAAGTTATGAAGAGAAATGATTACCCATGGATAACCGTGGATACCCGAAACCCGAACGGGTATGGGCATGGTTTTGATTTTCTACCCGTTTCACATGTGGGTATGGGTATGGGTAAAACCCGAAGTACTTTGGGTAGGGTAACGGATATGCACTATCCGCCCCCGACCCGACCCATTGCCATCCCTATTCATCTGGGTATGGAGAACCCTAGATTTGTATGTTAGGTCTGATTGTATGAACCCAAGTACAGATTCTATGATTTGATTATATTCAATTGAGGTTTGAATGATTGAATGGCATGAATCATGATCAAATTCCTGTTATTTCTGCTTTGACCTAGAAAGAGAATATCTGCCTAGGTTGATAGAGCACCCTTAATTGAAGGTGGTGAATTGGAGACTTTAGTCGAGGAGCCAATTCACTATTCTGTACCGGAGTTACTTCGGTAGTGGAGGTTTGTTCGTTAGGGCCTCAATTTGTTTACTCCGGTGGAGGTTAATCGCCCGCTGGAGACTCAGATTGAGAGGGTCTGGAGACCTTTAGTCGAGGCTTCAGACTGTTTAAGAACCTTTCGCAGTATAACTATCATTAAAACTAAACTTGGTAAATTGCAATTGGCTTAACTGCAGTCTAGGGGAACCATATCCGGGTGACCTCTCTCGACTTGAAAACAACTGTTTAATTGCTTTGCTTGTTTTGCTTGTTTGAACCTGCACTAAAGTTTCACCGCTAGATAATAAGAATTCGCTGAGTAGTCATCATATCTAGGACTCGGGTTGACATTAAAACTCAAACCCGCTATACTACGCTATAGGAAGTGGTTACACTTGGCCATTTTCTAGAGTGACAGTAGGAGTGAGTCAGCGATCGTGGCTCAGGAGCCATGACCAGCTCATTGTGGTCTCCAACTTTCTTTTGAGTATGCTTAACTACCTGCACTCCTTTAGTTTTGGCCGCCACTCCTCCTTGATCTTTTCTTTTGGTAACGGGGCGGACGTGAGTGGAGGCAAAGGAATGAGAGGAGAGTCCTGCAAAATGGGAGGCACAGAAGGATACATGACAGACTCGTGCACCTGGTGAGAGAAAGCATGCATAGGCGAGATAGCAGTCATATTATTAGCAATGGAAAATGTTATCTGCTCCTCGCCATCTCTCAAAATCAGGTTCCCATCATTAACATCTATGAGAGCCTTGGCGGTGGCCAGGAAAGGCCTACCTAGTATAAGGGGTATTTATGCGTCCTCATTGATGTCCAAGACAACAAAATCCGCAGGATAAAAGAATCTGTCAACCTTAACTAGGAGGTCTTCTACTATGCCCCTAGGATGAACTAAAGATCGATCGGCTAATTGAATACCCATCCTAGTTGCAATTGGCTCACCTAGAAATAATTTATTGAACAAAGTATAGGGTATAACATTAATACTAGCCTTAGTCCGCCAAGGACCTCTCAACATGCATTTTACCGATAGAGCATGGGATCGTGAAACTACCTGGATCCTTCTGCTTCTGCGGGAGCTTGTTTTGCATGATGGCCGAACACTCCATGCTAAGCTCCACATTGGCCAGCTCGCTCAGCTTCTGCTTCTTCGAGAGAAGGTCTTTCAGGAACTTCTCATACTTAGGCATTTGAGATAGTGCCTCCAGGAAAGGGACTTGAACATTAAGCTTCCTAAGCATGGACATGAAGTTCCCAAACTCTGCCTCTAACCAGGCTTTGTGCATATTGGTGTGAAAAGGGAGCTTAAGCTTATATTCAGCCACTACTGGTTGGGGCTTTGGGGCCTGAACCTCTGGCTCCTTTTCCATCATCAAGTCTTCTTCTGGCCCCGGGGTGATATGCGTCACCTTCTTTGCACTCCTCGGCGGTGCATCTTCAGTTACAGTCCCACTTTTCAGCATGATGGCGTGTAACGCCTCTTTATGATTTCTGGGATTCGGTAGGGTTGGTCAGGAATTGTGCCAGCCGGTCTGGAAGCAAGGGCATCTGCCAGGTGCCCGATTTTGGTGTCCATATCCTGCAGGAGTGCCTGTTGGTTCCTCTGGCTAGCTTCAATCTCCATGAATTTGCCTGCAACCACTTTCATGAATTGCTCCAATTTATTGAACTTCTGGATACTAGTGATGGCCAAGGTGGTCACTACATCCCTCGCATCTGACACGGGATCACCCGGTGCTGGGACTGATGGAGATGCCCCAAGTTGCTGGGATTGTTGTTGTTGTGGGTTTGTTGAAAAGCATGCCCTTGTCTGGGATGGTATGTGATGACTCGGTATTTGCACATGTTTTCCCCTTTGTTTCTTGATTGTTTGAGCTTGAATTATTGCGTCTTTGGCCTATTTTATGCTAGGTTGTGTTCCTTTGTCCCATTTCAGGTCCTAGCACATAAAGTGAAGCATAGGCGCAAGTTTCAAGTCAATCAGAGATCAATTGACGATTCGAGAGAAGAAACTCGGGCATGACCTGAAGAAGAATGGATTTCTACCTCACTTTATGGACAAAGAATCATGCAAGCTTGTTATGAAACGAAATAGGACGAGACTACGAGCGTCTGGGATCAAACGGCGATTGATTCGGAGTCCGGACGAGGGAGAAACGAAGCATTAAACAGAGGCTGAGCAAGCTGCACGGGCAGACCAGCGTGGCCACGCACGGCCGTGCAAAATACAATCCTGGCCGTGCGGGATTGTGCGTGGGCACGCACGGGATTGTGCGTGGCCACGCACGGCCGTGCAACATACAATTCTGGCCGTGCGAGTTGGCTGAGGTTCAACTAATTGATACGCCGCGTTTTGAGGTGCACGGCCAGAATGGTGATGTGCACGGCCGTGCACCCTGGCCGTGCGAGTCGGGATTTCCTGGTTTTAAGCCAAATTCCGAACCAAAGAAGAGAGAGCTGGGTTTTGGATCCCAAACACCCAAGGGACGAACCCTAGAGAGAGAGAGCGACTTGGGAACATTCTTGGAGCTATTTTGGAGGATTTCTTCGCCATTGGAGCTCGGGAATCAAGCTTGGAGATGGAGATTGAAGATCTAGATCAGATTTCTGCAGTCTCTTTCTTCTCTATGGAGTAACTTCCCTTCACTTAGGTTTTGAGGAACCCTAGTTCCATGAGTTAGGATCTTTCTTGTATGAAGTTTTGGATGCTATATTGTTTGATTATAATCGAATGATGCATGTTTATTGAGTCAATTGAAGTCTGATCAACTTTTCCTGATTCCTGCTGCAATCTGAGATAGATAGAATCTGATTAGGTTGCTAGAGTCTCATCATTCGGTAGTAGGAGATTGGCTATACGAGAGTTAGCCAGTTTACTGCTTTGTACTGGAATCCAATTCCAGTAGTGGAGTTCTGTGCTTATTGCTTCAGCTTTCTATCCCGGTGAAGACTAGTCGTCTGCCGGATAGTTAGACTGAGAGGGTTTGGTCAGCTTAAGAGATTCCAAGCTACTGTCGGATCTTCCGCAGTTTAATCAACAGTAAATCAACCAAAAGGAATTACAACTTGGACCTAATTGAGGAGCTAGGGGGAATCATACCTAAGTGAGTTCCCAACCTGTAATTAGATTAACTTTAACTGTAGTTTGCTAGAGTAGTTTTAGTTCTTTCATCTTAATCTGATTTGCTAAATAATAAACTGAAGCTGAGTAATAGTAACTCTAGAGACCCGTGGATTCGATATTTATCACTTGAGCCACTATACTGCAGTCCCTTTCATTGGTTACACTTGGCCATTGTTAGGTGTTGTGTTTTGGCGTGTCAAGTTTTTGGCGCCGTTGCCGGGGACTTTCTAGAGTATTAGGAAAGGCAGAAGTTTGTTACTTTAGCGTTTTTCTTTTCTTTTCTTTTCCACCCTTGCTTTTCACTTGGGTGTTTTTGTTTTTTTTGTTGGTGCAGATCTGAATCATGGATCCTAATGGCTTCTCCAACCAGTGGGGGTATCCACCACCATCCAGGTGGTATTACCCCGCGACCCCCTACAGCAATCAAGGAGGAGAAGACTATGGATTCGGGTTCCAGTACCAACCCCCTTTCTACGGAGAACAACCAGACCCCTGGGCATATCAAGAACAATCTCCTTATCAAGAAGAATTCCTCCCACAACAAGAAGGGCCATCGGATCTGGAGTTACCCATGGCGGCCTTCACGGGCCATTCTGCAGAGCCATGCTACACTCCACAGCCAGATCCAAACTATGAATTGAGGCTTCTCGTGGAGCAGATTGCTCGAGTACCTGAGAGATCTTTTCCCGAGATGGATCCTCATATCCAGGCCATTGCCCAAACTGACTTTTCCTTCCCCCGTGAAACAGAGGATACCATCCGGAGCATAAAGAAGCACCTAGAGGTCATTGAGAAAGCTTGTTCACAGTTTTATCAAGACAACCTTTATGCTGCCATACAAGTAGAGGAGGAGGAAGAAAAAGGCAATCATGAGGATGTTGAGGAGCATACAGAAGTTGTCACAGAAAGCTCCCATGATAATCATGATCAAGTGTATCCTCTGGTGGTAGATCATAACTTTCACCATTTCCGCTCTGACATGCTGGGCTCGAGTGAGGAGATGCAAGCGGAACTTATCGAGAACCTTGCATGGAGACTTGCTCTCCAATTCGTGCTGGAAGAAGAAGAGCAAGAAAGGGTGCAGAAAGAAGTTGTGGAGGATGACAAAAGTGAAGCAGAAGGAGTTCTTGATCTTTTCCCAGGGGTGATACCACATGAAGAAGAAAGGGAGGTTGAAGAAGCAATTGGCGTCCAGGCTGAGGACGGAGTTAAGGTGGAAGAGGCCTGCACCGGCCATGAGTTACATGTGATATCTCCACCAAACTTCGAGGAGCTGCTTGGCAAGGACCCATTTGCAGTGTCTCTTTGCCAGACCAAGGCCAGATCAACATCGGTCCCTCTTGGTGGACGCGATGGTGGCCAATCGATGCTGTCTTATCTGGTTTGGAGCAATGAGACGAGAGAAGAGAAGAAGAGGTCTCGAGGGTGGAGACTTCATCTGCATCAAGTGCACGAGCCTTCATCACCTGCCACACCACCTGCTTGTGACTTGAGACTCCACCTCATCGACGAGAACCTCAACTTCAAGGAGGTTCTAGCATGGACCGAAACTTAGGAGCCATCGTCCGGCTCACGACGTGAAAGAAGCGCTTGTTGGGAGGCAACCCAACCAGTCGGTTTGCATTTCTTTCTCTATTTCTCCTCGGTTGAGTCAGTTTTGTTATTTGATTTTAGAGTCAATAACTCAACCTTTGTGAGATTTTGTGTGGTGTTTGTGTTCTGATTACTCTCTCTTCCTGGAATGCACCGCCTGACCCGTTCATCATCATTCACCCTTGATCTGGTAACTTCGTTCTACCCTCCTTATCTTTCCTCCATTGAGGACAATGTCGTGCTTAAGTGTGGGGGGATGTTCGATTATGTATGTGTGTGAATGTTTGACTGTTTGTGTCTTGGAGCCTAGTCCACTGTCCAAATTTCGATTTGAGGGCTCCAAGTACGTGTTCCATGCAATTGCCTGCTCAGTATGCTTTGAATTGACAGTCTTTACAGTAATATGCAACCTAGGGAGGTAGTGTAGCACTATGGAGGATGTTGATGCATTTAAGAAGTCTCATTTCTTCTTCACATAAAGTTGGTTGATTGAGTGAATCAGTGATCTTAGGACCCTTGAATTGTGTGGTGTTGTGGATTTTCTACCTGTCATGGACTCTTGTATCATGTTTTGAAAGTAACAGGTGCTCGAAAATGTGCTTCAAAATAACGTCTCCCGTGCGAATAGGGCGAAAGTGTGTAAGGGGAGACGGGAATCCGTTCCCAATTTCCACCTACTACCTCCAGCCCCCTTACATATCTTTCCCCCGCACGAGGCTCGAGACATCCGCTCCTGGCATGGCCGGTAAGAGCAGGTTGGGACCCTTGAAAAGAAAAAAAAGAAAAGAAAAATAACAGAAAACAAGCAAAACAGAAAAAAGGGGTTCCAACCATCTTCAAAGAAAATAGAGCACCTTGAAAAATGTGAGTCCATGATCTGTTGTTTTTGAGAATCTCCTCATCCACAATTCATTTGTCCTCTGTTCACTATTTGCCATGATGCCGACTCGCCGAAGAAGTTATGAGATGACTTGTGCGTCGGTTGACCTCGTAAGCTGCTAAATGATCTAGGAAGTCCTCTACCTACGATCTGGGTTGTTTGTTGCTATAGAGGTCTGGAGAGTTGCATTGGTTTGAGTTAGGTTTGCTTGGGGACAAGCAAACAGTTAAGTGTGGGGGGATTTGATGACTCGGTATTTGCACATGTTTTCCCCTTTGTTTCTTGATTGTTTGAGCTTGAATTATTGCGTCTTTGGCCTATTTTATGCTAGGTTGTGTTCCTTTGTCCCATTTCAGGTCCTAGCACATAAAGTGAAGCATAGGCGCAAGTTTCAAGTCAATCAGAGATCAATTGACGATTCGAGAGAAGAAACTCGGGCATGACCTGAAGAAGAATGGATTTCTACCTCACTTTATGGACAAAGAATCATGCAAGCTTGTTATGAAACGAAATAGGACGAGACTACGAGCGTCTGGGATCAAACGGCGATTGATTCGGAGTCCGGACGAGGGAGAAACGAAGCATTAAACAGAGGCTGAGCAAGCTGCACGGGCAGACCAGCGTGGCCACGCACGGCCGTGCAAAATACAATCCTGGCCGTGCGGGATTGTGCGTGGGCACGCACGGGATTGTGCGTGGCCACGCACGGCCGTGCAACATACAATTCTGGCCGTGCGAGTTGGCTGAGGTTCAACTAATTGATACGCCGCGTTTTGAGGTGCACGGCCAGAATGGTGATGTGCACGGCCGTGCACCCTGGCCGTGCGAGTCGGGATTTCCTGGTTTTAAGCCAAATTCCGAACCAAAGAAGAGAGAGCTGGGTTTTGGATCCCAAACACCCAAGGGACGAACCCTAGAGAGAGAGAGCGACTTGGGAACATTCTTGGAGCTATTTTGGAGGATTTCTTCGCCATTGGAGCTCGGGAATCAAGCTTGGAGATGGAGATTGAAGATCTAGATCAGATTTCTGCAGTCTCTTTCTTCTCTATGGAGTAACTTCCCTTCACTTAGGTTTTGAGGAACCCTAGTTCCATGAGTTAGGATCTTTCTTGTATGAAGTTTTGGATGCTATATTGTTTGATTATAATCGAATGATGCATGTTTATTGAGTCAATTGAAGTCTGATCAACTTTTCCTGATTCCTGCTGCAATCTGAGATAGATAGAATCTGATTAGGTTGCTAGAGTCTCATCATTCGGTAGTAGGAGATTGGCTATACGAGAGTTAGCCAGTTTACTGCTTTGTACTGGAATCCAATTCCAGTAGTGGAGTTCTGTGCTTATTGCTTCAGCTTTCTATCCCGGTGAAGACTAGTCGTCTGCCGGATAGTTAGACTGAGAGGGTTTGGTCAGCTTAAGAGATTCCAAGCTACTGTCGGATCTTCCGCAGTTTAATCAACAGTAAATCAACCAAAAGGAATTACAACTTGGACCTAATTGAGGAGCTAGGGGGAATCATACCTAAGTGAGTTCCCAACCTGTAATTAGATTAACTTTAACTGTAGTTTGCTAGAGTAGTTTTAGTTCTTTCATCTTAATCTGATTTGCTAAATAATAAACTGAAGCTGAGTAATAGTAACTCTAGAGACCCGTGGATTCGATATTTATCACTTGAGCCACTATACTGCAGTCCCTTTCATTGGTTACACTTGGCCATTGTTAGGTGTTGTGTTTTAGAGCATCAGTATGGTTGTCTCTGGTTTTGAAAACTAGTTGCATGAGCCTGGAAGCCCAACGGTCTGGGATTGTTGTTGCCACTCCAGGAGAAATTTGGATGTTGGCGCCACCCGTCGTTGTATGTATTACTGTAGGGGTCGTTGCACCGAACATTACTAATTAAAATCATCTGCTCCTGCGGTGTGCTGGAATCTCGCATGGTTTGGCAGTCCTCCACCCTGTGATTGGTGCTCTCACATCACTGGCACTGCATCGCCTACTGCTACCCTGTCCCTAGAATCATCCCATTATGATCGATGGCTGAGACCAGTTTAGACACAACCTGCACCAACTCAGACGACTGGGTGGCTACAGCATGCACACCCCTGCATGGTGCTCGCCTCGACCTTCTAGCAGTACCCCAATCATATCCCTGCTCTGATATCTCCTCAAAGAGCTGGTTCAACTGTGGTGGCATCTTAGTCAGCATGTTCCCGCCACATACTGAGTCAATCAATTGCTTATTTTCTGGGAAGAGAGCCTGGTAAAAGGTGCCCACCTTGAAGGTGTCATTGAAACCGTGATTGGGACACTTTAGGAAGAGACTGGTGTATCTCTCCCAAGCGTCCCAGACAATTTCGTCCTCCTCCTAGGCAAAATGGGTGATCTCCTTCTGCAGGTCCACTATCTTTTGATGGAGGATGATAGCGGGTGAGCCGCTCCTTTGCTTGCCCATCTAGAGTAAATGGGAAGTATCTCGGCAGGATGGCGTCTGCAGGAACCCCATCGGTCAGCCATGGAATCGTCGTAGGTGCAATCTGGGGCACTCCCAGTCCATTCCATGGAATACCATCGAGCCGCGCAACATGGTGATGACAGAGGTGCTCACTTCGAAGTTGTTAGCTAGAACTTGAGGCTGTTGGATGGGCGACCTCATGTCTGCGGCTCTGGCAGTCCAATAGTATCCCATGGTGTGCTCCTCGGGGAGAACCGCATTATCATTTAGCGGGTTGTCCATTTCTTCCTCCTCGGTGATGTGCAGTTGCTCCAAAGCTTCCTCCACGGCCAGTCGTGCCTTCAAAGCTTGCTTGAAGTTCCTACAAGTTCGTTCAAGCTCCTGGTCCAGCGACAATAGATCTCCCAACTGGCTATGGGTCATGCACTACCTGCACACAGACTGCAAACACAACCCGTGAAGGCACACAGGTGGAAGAGAGATAAGGCACTAAAGAAAATGCTAAAGTAACAGACTTTCACGTTTCTACAATAACCTAGAACTCCTCGGCAATGGTGCCAAAAACTTGACACGCTAAAACACAACACCAAATTGCGACCAAGTGTAATCGCATAATGGAAATGTAGTATAGTGGAATCAAGTTATAAATGTCAACCCATGGCCTAGATGTACTGCATGCTCCGTGATTATCTATTATCTAGCAAGGAAAGTTTAATGAGAATGAGTTCAAACTAAAGCAGAAAGAAAACAACAAGTTGTTCGAAGTTCTTAAGTAAGGGAAGAGTCACTCAGGAATGAGTCCCCCTAGCTCCTTAATTAGGTTCAAGTTGTAATTTCCTTTGGTTGATTTACCGTTGATTAAACTGCGGATGATCCAATAGTAAATTGGAATCTCTTAAGCTGACCAAGCCCTCTTAGACAGACTACCCGGCAGACGACTAATCTTCACAGGGATAGAACGCTAAGGCAATTAACTCAAAACTCCACTACTGGAAACAAACTCCAGCACAAAGTAGTGAGTTGACTAACTCTCGTACAATTAATTCACTCCTATCGATTAAAGAAGCTCTAACAACCCGATCAGATTCTATCTATCTGAGGTTACAGTAGAAATCAAGAGAAGTTGATCATGATTCAATGACTCAATAAACACATTTCAATCGATTATAAACAAATAGTATATCAATCCAAAAGTCATTACAATCATGATCCCTAACACATGGAACTAAGATTCTTCATACCCAAGTGAGAGAAAGTGTGCCCTTACATAGCCAGTACGGCCTTGGCCGCGTGAAAATGTTGTCAGGCTATGTGGCTTCCTTTTTTCCCCATCAACCGTCCAAACGTTGTCCAACCGACCCCCGAACTCATTCCCAAGCCTTCAGTCACGTATTAGGTCCTGAAATATCACAAACAAGAACACCCTAGCGTGAAATCGGTTTAAAACACCAGAAATGAGGCTCAAACATTATAAGAATGGTGGACAAAAACGTGTGCAAATATCAAGTTATCAAGAAGTGAATGTCGTTGCAGGCTTTATTGTTGATTTGGGGCATTTGTTTTAGATTGGCTTTCATAGAGTTGTAGCACCTGACAATGTTTGACCTATTGGTTTTACCATCGCGTTGTTGGAGTTCAAGCAACTCAAATAGTTATTGAATAAATGTTCCGATGCCTTTTAATCGCTCCGTATTAAAAAAAAAAAAAACTAGGGATGGTAATGGTTTGGTTCGAGGGCGGATAGTGCATATCCGTTACCCTACCTAATATAGTTCAAGTTTTACCCATATTAAACTCATGTAGAAATTGGGTGGAAAATCAAAACCATGCCTATACTCTTTCGGGTTTTGGCTATCCACGAGTAACAATATCTCTTTATAACTTCAACCAACGTGTTAACATTCACACATATACTCACATTATATAAAAGAAAAATTATGACAATAAATCACTAGAATGAAGAAAATTAATTAAGAACAACACAATTTCATGAAAATATTGTATTTGTATGCTAAATGTAAAGTATTTTGAGAAAAATAATGATAATTTATAAACAAAATATATATGCATGTGTATCATCGGACGGACTCGGGTTGGATAGTGAGAAAATCATGCCCACCCGTTACCTGCAATATTCGGGTTTGAATTTCACTCATACCCATTAAAAATCCTTTGAGTTCGAATTTTACCCTACCCATTAGAACGAATTCGATAGAATTTGAACGGTTGCATATATTTTTGCCATTTGAAAAAGCTAAGATTTTGGCAGCAGTCGATTCAGCATCACCGGTCTCCAAATCTAACGGTTCTGCTTTAAACTTACGAAACACTCACAAAACTAACAATGTCCATAACCTTAGAGGTGGGAGCTGGCGCATGTGCAAAAACCCTAACTAAACCCCCTTCCCCGCCCTCTCTTCGTTGACACTCACCATATAAATACATCAGCTTACTACCTCTCTTTCTTCTCTACCGTATTTGTCGACTGAAAATATCTCGACACTAGGGTTTGGAGAGAGCTCAACCTAGTTCTTCTTCTCAGATTCTGTTACAGCTTCTCCTTCTATCTTTCCCAATCATCTGAGTTATGGGCAAGTCTAGTAAAAAGGTATACTTCGGTTTGGGTTTCTTCTCTGTTCCCGCTCTCTGGGTTTTGGTTCTTACTGTTTTGCGCTTCTGATATTCTTCGAGTTTTGGAGCGTGGCTGAGTATGTTAAATTTGTCCCCTAGGTTGACGCTGCTCCCGCTATAGCTGTCGCCGCCAAGCCGGCTAAGAAAGGAGGTAATTATTCTCATTGGGCTCTTTGAAAATTTTGTATGGCTAGTCTGTAGTTTTATGGGCAGCAGACGATTAGGTTTGCTGTGAGATGATTATTGTGTTTTTTATTGGTGAAACTGGAAAGCATGGTCTTTTATTGAAACCTTCTAGGGTTTTCTGTAGGCAAAAGGCAGGCTGAAGAAGTTTTGGAGAAGGTTGTTGCTTCGAAGAAGCAGAAGAAGGAAGAAGTTGTGCCACAGGTAGTTCAGAAGGAGAAATCTAAAGTGAAGACCCAGAAGAAGAAGAAGGAGGAAACAAGTAGTTCTGAAGATGACTCTTCCTCTGAGGAAGAACAGAAGGTTATTTCTTTGGCCCTCATTGTTCCTTTTCCGATACTTTAGCATACAGTGTATGAGTTTGCAGATGAAGGCTTAGTTATTTACAATGCCAGGTGCATTGAATTTGTTTACCAGCTAGTAGGTGACGTCTCATTGCTATGAACAGGTTACTGTAACAAAAAAGGTTACCCCAGCTAAGCCCCCTGTGGATGAATCAAGCAGTGACGAATCCTCTTCATCTGATGATGTATCATTTTTGTTACTTGAAAATATAATAATGTAATAATAATAATCATCAATGATTCATCTTTTGGGTTTCTTCTAACTCTCTCGGACTTGCAGGAGCCTACTCCAGCAAAGAAGCAAGCACCCCTTAAAAATGGGAATGCTGCTGCTGCTGTGAAGAAAGGTAAAGTGGAGAGTGAGAGTTCTGATTCTGATTCATCAGAAGATGAGGTGAGTGTCATACACCTTTATGTTGTAGTTTGTTAACATTTCATCCTTCTGATTGATTATCATTGTAAGCTTTCCATGTTTAACTTAGTAACCTTCCTAACAGTTGAGTTTTTATTATGCTCAGAAGCCTGCTACCAAGAAAGGACAAGCAGCTGCAAAAAAGGGTGCCGCTGCTGTGCCTGCCACAAAACCAAAAGTAGCTGAGAGCAGCAGCGATGACTCTTCTGAGGAGGATTCTGATTCAGATGAGGTAATGGATAATAACTTACTTCGTGAAGTTGCAGGTTATTTGCTTCTCACATGAATTTTTGTTCCTAGGCTTGACATGAATAGGGTTTGGTAATGTTTAATCTGCTGCAGTTTTATTTCTCCATTTTAATGAGATTGCTGTAATCTATTATTAGGAACCTGCTGCCAAAACGGCTGTTTCTGCAAAGCAACCTGTTGTTGCAAAGAATGGGTCTACTAAGGCTGCTTCTAAGAAAGCAAATGCAAGTGAAAGCAGTAGCTCAGATGACAGTGATTCTGATGAAGAGGAGGCAAGTGAAAGCACTAGCCCATTTTTTTACATGCAGTCTTATTTCACATGAGAATTCTGCACTTACAAGAGATGTTGACTTCATTTTCCCATTACTAACCAATGCAGGCTGCTCCTGCTAAAGTAGCTGCTGTCAGGACTGCGCCTGCACAAGCTGCAAAGAAAAAAGATGCTTCAAGTGAGAGCTCTGAAGATAGTGATTCTGATGAGTCATCTGATGAAGACGAGAAGGTGGTTTGTGATCACCTATCTTACTTAAAATGACGTATTTATTGCTATCCATTCTGTTACAGATTTCTGATTCTTTGTAATGATGTGTAGGCTGCAGCTGCCCCAAAGAAGGGTACTGCCCCTGCTGTCCAAAAGAAAGCTGAATCAAGTGATAGCTCCGAGTCTGATAGTGATTCTGATGAAGACAAGGTAATTGTCAATATTCAAGTCTATAGTGCGTCGTCTTGACTGTGCTAATCCTTTTTATCTAGTCAGCTCTCAGTATCACCTATTTTTGAAATCCAATAAGTTTAATGGACTGTGAATGATTTAATGCAGTTGTTTTAATACTCTATTCTGATTTCAGCCTGCTGTAGTCAAGCCAGTTGTTGCTACAAAAGCTAAAGAATCAAAGGTGTGTATCTATTACTTCTGAGTGACATTGGTTGTTAATTGGTTTCGTTTTGCTCATGGTAATTACGTTTTTTAAGTTTTTCTTGTGTTTGTGTGGCTTTTGTCTCTTTGCATCTATATGTTCTTCCATATGTAAGAGAAATTAAGATCTTTAGATTCCTTGTTTTGGTTCTGACAAAGCAAATATGGTTGAATAAATGTGAAATCTTATTTCTTTCAGTGATCAACATTTAGCTTGGAATATATATTGTAATTTGAGGCATAATTAATAATATCTGGGTATCAACTCACTTTTATGTTCACAATTGTGTGAAATTCAGGATGCTATGGATGTTGACAAAGATAGCAGTGATGAAGATGATAGCTCTGACGAAAGTGAAGATGAACCTGCTGATACAAAGGTGAACAACTGCCTGCTAGCATATGGTGATATGTGGTGTTGCATGTTGTCCTTTTTGTGTTAAATAATTATTCTTTTCTTGGTGTAGAGTAAGGTGACTTCTAAAAAGCAAAGCAGCAGCAGTGAAGAAGACAATGAAAGTTCTGACGATGAGAGTGAAGATGAAAAGCCTGCAAAGACACCTGCGAAAAAGGTATTGGAACCATCTGGTTTAGATATATCATCACTGTTTGTTCCATCGTGCTCAAAGAGTCTGCATATGCTTCCAACAGCTTTCGGATAGCATATTTTTCGATGGGTTCCCTTGTTATTGGCCAGTTTCCCCCAAACATCAGGAAACTTGTCAAGCATATCAATTGGGTCTAATGCATCACTCTTATTTTAACAGGATGTTGTGATGGCTGATGCTCCGAAGGAGGTAAAGGAACAATAATTCTCTGCATTTGATTTTGTGTCCTAACTCCTAACACCTTCACTTCAGTTTTTTGACCAAATAGGTTATTTGTTCTTAATGGCAGCCCAAGACACCTGTTACTCCTAATGAGTCTGCTGAAGCTTGTACGCTCTTTGTTGGCAATTTATCTTTTGATATTGAAAGAGCTGATGTGTAAGTAGCACCTTTCAGCACAGTTCAACATTTTTAGCAAATTGGAACTGTTATGGTTTGGATGCTGATGTATTTTATTGTATTATATTATTTACAGGGAAAATTTCTTCAAGGATTGTGGGGAGGTCACAGATGTTCGTTTTGCTATGGATGCTGAGGGAAATTTCAGGGGGTATGGACATATTGATTTTTCTACATCTGAGGAAGCAAAGAAGGTGCATATCGATACTCCCAGTGTTTCTTCATTCTAGGCAATATAAAAGAAATTGAGCAACTAGTGTACAAGACAATTTTTTATCTGATGCTGGGTTATCTGATCTCAATTCCTTCTGGCCTTGTGGGTATATCAAGTTCCATTTTCTATCTGATTATACCAATTTGTATAGCTGTTAATTTTAGTTATTTATCTGCCTTGTCCAGGCTCTTGAGATGAAGAATGGGGAGTCTTTGAATGGTAGAGGCGTTAGACTTGATCTTGCTCGTCCAAGGGGCGAAAGGCAAACTCCATATAGCGGGTACTTCTTTCTTCACTGTATGTCCTTTAACCAGAGTCGTGTAGTCTTGATTTTTTTACTAACTGGGAGCATCTATATACCTCTGCAGCAAAGATAACAACAGCTCATTCCAGAAGGGCGGAAGAGGTCAAGGCCAGAAGGTATTTGTTCGGGGGTTCAACACATCACGTGAGGAGGATGAGGTAATTCTCTTTCTGGATGCATTTGTTGTTTGATCTCTTTTTGTGGTGTGCTCATTCTCTGTGCTTAATTTTCTTTTGCAGATTAAGAATTCTCTATCTGAGCATTTCAGCTCTTGTGGTGAAGTGACGTTTATCAAGCTTCCAAAAGATTATGAAACTGGAGCCTTCAAAGGGTGAGTATTAGTTCTCTTGTGTAAAGTTAAAGGTGAATAGATAGAGCTTTGCATTTTCATGAACTCTTATTGCTGTCTTCTGATAATTTGATTACCTCTAATCTGCAGAATGGCCTTTGTTGAGTTCTCTGATACCGACTCTATGAACAAAGCTTTGGAACTTGACGGGAGTGATCTTGGAGGTGACTATTTGACTGTGCAGGAGGCCAAACCTAAACCAGATGGTGATGGCTTCAGTGGTGGTGGTAGAGGCTATGGAAGCGGAGGTGGTGGTAGGAGCTTTGGTGGCGGCCGAGGTGGAAGAGGATTTGGTGGTGGACGAGGTGGTGGAAGGGACTTCGGTGGTAGAAGTGGTGGAAGAGATTCAGGTGGCCGTTTTGGTGGTCGACGTGGTGGTGGGAGAGGTGGTGACAGAGGACGTGGAAGGTCCAGTTTTACTCCTTCAGGTAAAACTATCAATGATGTTGTTTGTTGCCATCTCGGGTCTTTTGTATTCGGTAGCTGATCTTTGTAAAACAATTACTTGTGAAACTGCAGGTAAGAAGACTACCTTCAATGATGATGAATAGACCAGTTAAACCCGGAAGAGAAGGAAGCTACCATGGCCCATGGGTGTTTTTACCCATCCTCGATAGGAAGAATTATCAGTATTGCTCGTGGCAGAGTATAAAATTTTGTTTCCGTATGCACAACAATGCTTTTGTTTTAGTTTTTGGGTTTGTGAACTCTTGAGATCGTTGTTGTTACCTTATATAGTTCGTTCAAATATTTATGTTAATGACGCTTGATATGTTTTTTTCCATTCTAGTTTTCAGATGGCAATATCAGGCGTCTCTAAACAGAATATTTAGAGGTCGTTTGTTTGCTTGTAGGATTTAAATTGTTTGTAGGATTTAAAAAAAAATAAAGGATTTAGATAAAATCTTGGATTTGAAAAAATGAAGGATTTAGATAAATTTGGTTTAGGCATTGCAACTACATACCCATATATTATGCAAACCAATGTAATGGATTGTAATAGTCCATCATTATTATATGTAAACTCGGCCAATCAAGGTACTCCCAAGTCCTACTTAATTCTCTCTTTTGTTCTGTTAAGTTGCATCTTATTTCGCATGTTGCAAATTTGGGATTCATGGGTGGCTATCTTACAATACCAATAGCAATTTGATTGATTTTACTTTTCTCCACTACTCTGTAACTCCTTAGTTTTCACCATCCATCATCATACAGTTGTATAATTTTTCCAACCCCAAATGCATTAATTCCCACCGCATCATTTTACCTTCACCCTAAGTTGCTTTTCAAATTATGTTGGCCTTTTTGCTGCAGAATAGGTGCATGACTCAAATATGTATATTTGTTACCTCTTCTTTCCTCTAATTTGAGATTTAGTGGCACAAGGCTATGAAACGTCTCATGATGTTATTAGTAGTATTACAAACCGTATGACATAATTACAAAGCTATGTAATTCATCACGATCATAGTAAAATTACCTCTCAAGTTCAAGTAATTTCAGAAGGAGACCTTGCTGTGTTTGGTTAAGAGCTTTGCACCTAGAAGGTAGACAGATGGTTGAATTATTCGTAATTGGGTACTAAGCAATAAAATTTGTACCTAGCTTCGGATGGTACCTCCTATTAATGGAGGGCCTAGCTATTTAGATAACAAATATACTAACAATATGCATATTCATATAAAAAAGAAGCCAATATCAAACGACACAAAACCAAAGGTGAAATGAAAAAAATAACCTGTCAAATATTATAACCATTAGAGGTGACAATTGGATCGGATTCGTGGATTGGATTGATGGATCCATGGATCAAATGGATTGGATCCAATGGATTGGTGGATTGATCCATGAATCCAAATGAGATCAAAGGCTTGGACCAAAATGTAAAATTTGTAAAGTTTTGGTACTAAAATATCATCATGAAAAATTTTGGGTACCAAAATGTAATTTTTCAATGATATTTTTCGTATAAAAATATAAATTTTTGGTGCCAAAATGTAAAATATAAAAAATATAGGTATCAAATCGTAATTTGCCATTTCGATCCATGGATTGATCCATGAATCTACCAATCCAATTGGATTTGGATCAAATGGATTGGATTAGGTGGGATAATTTGGTGGATGGATTGGATTGGATTCATGGATTTGGATTCTAATTGCCACCTCTAATAACCATCAATCCCGGTCAAAGGTCGGGTCCAAAGCTAGTAGATAATAAAGACAAAATAGGAATATTAAAAAGAGATGAGGTTAGTTTTGTCATTTACTCTCATTGATTTCTAGCCTACTACAAAATCCCACCTAAATGGCTAAGATTTTATAATCCGTGGACTCCACGGATTTTGATCCCAAATTAATCCAGCATTCATGGGTCCCACAACTCATAATCCAACACCACTTTAGTATCAAACATGAACTTTAAGCATAATCCCATAGATGTGGGATTTTGGACCAAAATCCTTAATCAAAATCCCAAGAGCAAATGAACCCGTATTTAGTGTTCTATTTATTTGGATTCGTGGTGCCAGTTTTTTATTTTCCAAAAATGCCAATATCAGAATCAGGATCTGATAGTATTCCTTGTCGTACTTTTCATGAACCTAACATCCTAGACATTGCTACATGGTTTGGTCTTCGAAACATCTGTTTCTCCTTAAGACAGTTTTAGAGAGGGCCCAACAAATAGAAAAGCTGATGCATGAATATCAGCAAAAGGCTCATTCCAGAGGGAAACTGATGCTCTTGTACCTGGAATGAATGCTATGAAGTAGCTGCCCAATAATCAAGCAGTAATCAGGGGATTGTGAATAGAATAGTCTCGCGAGCTGCAATTTTCTGTTCGTTTTCCGACTTTACCTTGGCCTCTGGTTTCATCCATGGTGGCTCGTCCTAGGCTGGTAAGATTGGCCCTTGAGCTTCGTACAACTTTGTGGGAGGTCCTATTATTCAGTTAGTTATTGAATAAGAGGCAATGCTACATGTAACATCTTACTCAAATGATATATCGACGAAGCATGAGAGAGATTCATAAATCGCAAGAAACAATCAAACTTTAATTGATGATATGCGTTTTTGTGTGAAAGTGAAACTAATGATTTCTTGTAAAAATTATGAAGTTAAACGTGCTCAGTGTCAGTGGAGGACTCATAAAGTTTATGTCGGAGTGTTCCCTTCAAAATTAAATTAATTAAATATATTAAAAATCATAAATATGAAAATATGATACGGCCTACTAGTACAAGTTACAACAAAATCCATGATGTATTTTCATAATTATGAAAATTTGAAAAATACACTCAACCTACAATGCTCAAAAAATCTTTTCCCATATATCATACTAGACAATGATTAAACAAACTATCGCCTATTAGATTCTATTTTTTTTTCTTCTTGATATAACCCAAAGCTGAAACGATTATTTCAACATTTGGAGTTGTAAATGGTAACAAATCAATACGACATCGAGGAGCAAATAGACCTATGAATATGATAGATTCACTTTTGTCTCCACCATCAACTGAGCTAATTCTTCAATTCCTTTTAATCAACATAGTGACTTACCATTCTTAACACAATGATGATAAGGATCAAAGTCCCGTAGACAAAAAGAATAAAACATTTTACCAAACTCTTTAGAATAAATCGTGTGTTTAGCATATGATTGGATAAGGGGTAGCCCGTGGATTTATATTTGGTTTTGAAAAAAAATTGGAGACAATGACTACTAGATATTTGTAATTATATTCATACTCAAACTATTATTATAAGGGTTCGTTAATTTCCCCCAAAAGTCTAGCCACCACGGGGTCCACCAATTGTCATGGACTCATGGTGGCGAGTGCAAATATGGGTAACATCTCTGACCATGATATAGTAAAAAAAACCGTGGAGTGATTAGCCTAAAGCAAACAATATCTATGTCAAATACGAGTTGAAATGTTGTAATAAAGTTGTATATGAGTCTCTCAGCATCCCTCGTGAACGGCGGTGAGGCAAATCTCAATGAGGACGTTGAGTCCCAAAGAGGGTGTGTAAAGTAACACTTTAGCCAAATTTGTTTGATATCGACAAAGCACGAGAGAGATCTATTGTTCACTATCCAACATTAATTGACAGTGCTTAAAACAAAACAATCCAACGTTAACTGACAGTTCCAAATCCAACTTCAACTGACAATTCACAAACCAAATTTTACATTGACAAAACACGAAAGAGATCCATAGTTCACAATCAAAACATCATTATAAAAAACAGTGCTCAAAACATACAATATCTCGGTAAAATAAAGTTGAGATACTTTTTTTAGGCAAAATACACTTGCATAGCCAAAACTATCACCTTTGTGCCACTTATAGCCACTTTTGGCGAAATACCACTAATAGCCACTTTTGAAAGATGTTGCGTGCCAGATATAGCCATTTTCGTTAGAAACTATAACGGTGTTAATAACACCGTCAACTTATTTGACGGTCAGCTGACGAGGCACCAATTCAGCGGACACGTCAGCGACAACTAATCAAATAGTGACACGTCAGCATTATAATTTATTTATTATTTTTAAAAAAAAAATCAATCTAAAAAATTAACCCTTATATTCCCACCTACCTGATTCGCACGAGGCTTCCTTCTTCCCCAGAAAACAAAATTAGGGCTCTTCCCAAATTTCCTCTTCCCCACAAATATCTTCCACATTCTGATCGATTCGTCTATTACTCCTCACCATTACCCACCAATCTTTTTTACTTTCTGAACGGTTCGGCGATTACTCCTCTACCCCAAATCCCACCTTCTCTGTCGATTCTTCTCTGCCGATTTGTGACCCCGGAATCGGGATTTCTCCTGCCCAGAACTTCACGTGAAGGTACAACCATGTCAAAGCGAGCATCTTTCTCAACTTCGACTAGCATCAATGGCTGAGGGGCGGTACTCTGTTGGCACAAGAAGCCATGTGTGGTCAATACATCAGGAACGTAAGCGAACCTAGGCAAACAGTTCTATGGGTGTCCATTTTGGATGGTAAGGTGTTTAGAGATGGCTTTTGCAAATGTCATTTATGTATGTAAATAAGTTGAATGCTCGTATGGTGCAGGACGAGAAGAAGAATTGTCGTTTTTTAGGTGGGTGCGAATGAATGTGGATGAAGATAAGCAACATGACTCTGAAATTGGGTGTTCGACTTTGAATCTTTAAGAAAGTTTGAGGCTAGCTGAGTGTAAGGCGGAAAGGAGGAAGAAAGAGAAGAAACTTTTGGCTGAAGAGCTATCAAGATGGATGGTGGCACATGAAATTATGCTAGCTGAAGGAAGGAGAGTTAATCATGATATCCATATAATTCAAGCTTTATTCACAGTGATTGTCGTACTGAACCTAATATTGGTTATTCTTTTGTTGTACCACGTTATTATGTAGTATCCTGCTGCAAATGGATTGTTGTGTGGGAGGAAATGAATCGACATTGTTGATGTAAGGTTGTAAATGTTATCAGCCTAAATGTTGTGGAGAAGCAATTGGTTTTTGTGTTCTTAATGTAGTTGTGTCCTTGACATTGTAGCAAAAGGTTTCTACAAACGTTAACAGTGATGCATTAACTATCATTACAAGAGAAGCCTAACACAACAGCGTAATCCAAGTTGTTCATTACATAGTAGCCTAACATACTCCGAGTTGTTCATTATCCGAGCATTACATTCCATAAGCCTGCCTAACATACTCCGCGTTGTTCATAATCCGAGCATTACATTACATAATTTTGCCTAACATAAAAGGCCAATACATGAGTCATCTTTCCCAAAAAAAAAACCTCTAGCGAGGTAGCTTAGTGGCCTTGCACAAAAAAGACGAGTTGACTCATGGATAGAAAGGTCTAAGGCTACGAGGGTGGGGGTTGACTTCCATTCATATGGACCTTAGTGGGTTGCGTGCCTCCAAACGCACGTCCTCTCGAACCATTGAGCTGAAATACATTACATAATTTTGCATTACATTCATCTCAAATAACAACAATCCTTTAATCATATAAATCCTAGTGACAATACTTACTCTAACGTATTGGTTCCTAGTATACTCTGACACGTAGACTCCAACTCCTCTTGTGGCAACTCGCAACTCGCGTTCAACAGTCCTCCGATCAGCAACATTGAGCCTACCCAAGCACAACACGATAACATTAAATAAGATAAGGCTAATATTCTGTCTAAATTCATGAAATCATTCATGTTCGTCCTAATATTCAGTCGAAATCCATGTTAACTTACTTGTATACCAACTCCTCGGTTTAGAGGACATGTTCGAGCATTATGCATACTTGAACCGCACTTGGAGCAGTGACCTACTCTTGCTCTCCTAGTTGTATTGCCGGTGTCAACTGGATTTGGTGTTGTTCTTATACGTTTGCCTCTAGGTCCATTGTTTCCTGTAGGTTGTGCTGCTGCTCTAGGTCCAGTGTTGTTGTTCTAGAAAAGAAAACAAATAAAAACGTATTAAACAATGCATTAGAAACCTTCCCCTCGCGTAGAAAACACCATAAATTCATACTCGTGGGGCTGCAACAGTAGGAGTTGTACAAGTCCTTGTGTTGTGACCTTCCCCGCCACACTTCTTGCAATGAATGATTGACACCCTTCTAACCACCTCATCTCCGATCCCATTTCGTGCAGGTCAAACCTCCTGTTTCGTGGGCAGCCTTCTTTCGATCCTTCTTTGGTCTGCCGGACATAGTTCTTTGCTTGGGTGGGTGTATTGGATATCCCATTGCAGTAGGCCAAACTTGTCTAGCGTCTAGACAAGGGATTCCATTCTTGTATGCATGCTCAGCATTGTAAATATAGTAAGTGCTATTCACGAAGTTGTCTACCTCCTTCCTCAAATGAGAAATAGCAGAGATAGCATGGCAACATGGAATGCCACTCAATGACTAGGGTTGTTAATGAACCAAACCGCTCATGAACGGCTCGGTGTGCGACTCGAGAAAAACTCGTTCGACACTCGATTCGTTTTAATCGAGCCGGCTCGTGAACAAGCTCGTTAACTAAACGAGCCGAACTCAAGCCATACCATGTTTAGCTCGAAAGCTCGCGAACAAGCTCATTTAATGGTTTGGCATAAAAAAAAGGATTAGAATTCATGGATTCTATGTATTGAAATTGGGATAAATATTATGTTTTACTTTGCTAGACTTTGCTACAGGTTTGAATGTAATTTGTGCGCAATTCTAGGTCAATCTTGAGCTATCATGAACATTTTATGAGATGAACTCGATTTTGGGCTCGTTAAACTTATTTGACGAGCAGAGGTCGAGTTGAGCTCGAGCTTTCATTTTCATAAACGAGTCGAGCTCGAGCTTGCATATTAAAGCTCGTGACGAACACGAGCCGAGGTCGAGCTTGGAAATATATTAAATAGCCAAGCACGAACTATTGCAAAGCTCGGCTCGACTCGGCTCATTAACAGCCCTATCAATGACCACCACCCACACGTGAAAGTCCTTGCTACTAAGTCAACTATATACCCTGCACTCCCAATCTTTACCTCACACCGATCGTTCCTAGTCTGTCTTGCCGAACATAATCTAGCCAAGGCTTTCTCTTTCTCGACCCTTTTTCTAATCCTAGGGCATAGCACATCAGTAGAATCGTGCATCAACTTATATTTGGCTACTACCCTGTCCATCACATAGCCCCCTAATCCCCTCTACAAAACGTAGAGGGGATTACACCATTCCAAGTTTCATAAATATTCGACTCCACCGAATCACACTTTGGTAGAGGAGATAACTAAGCTCGACAAAACGTTCGAAGTTCTGCATTCATGAAATCAGTAAATGGTGTCGTACCTCGTTCCTCACGTTCAATTTCTTCAATCTCAGAAGTAGCAGCCTTCCAGTCAACCTCATTGCAAAAGTATACTGCCCTCCAGAACAATTTTCTTACACGATTGGTCTTGTGTTTCACTTTCCAGTTTGCGTATACGTGCCTTGCGCATTTTCTATGCTCGGCTTCGGGCAAAAGCTCATGAATAGCTTCTACTAAACCCTGCAAAGGCAATGCATCCATTAATATAACCAACTAGACAAGCAATTCATGTTAAACCAACTTGTAAAATATTACCTTTTGTTGGTCAGAGATGACAGACCAGCCCCGACCATCATGTAGGTGTAAATCCTGATCAAGAGTGTTCACAAACCATCTCCAGGAGTTTGAGTTTTCTCCTTCAACAACCGCCAAAGCAATTGGGAACATTTGGTTGTTGCTATCCTTCCCAATAGCGTTAAGTAACATTCCTTTAATTTCTCCCTTCAAAAAGCATTTGTCCAATCCGAACATTGGACGACATGCTTCAAGGAAACCATCCCTCAAGCAGGAGAATCCAACGTACATTCGCTTGAAGTAAACCTTCTCTTGTGTAGGGTGAGGTTCCACTTCCAATTTGAATGTTCCTCGATGATCTCGCTTCAACAACTCACCAAGGTAAGATCTTACCTTGTGGTATTCCTCTACTAATGAACCTCCCAACATCCTGATGGCGCATACTTTGGCTCTATAACACGTTCTTCTCGCAACTTCCGTATTGTGTTTCAGCTTCGCTTCGGCCATAATTTGATCAGGCGCCCACTCAGGATTAATTCTAAACCTTTCCAACATGTCACTCGCAATCCAGTGGGCAGTTACTTGGTTTACACGAAGCTGTCTTGCACATGAATGAGGCAGACCAGCTTCCTCACCATGAAACTCTGGTTCTTGCATATACTCTCCATTTGCAATTCGTGTCCTTGCATCTAACCTCCCTCCTATTTGGATTACTCCTAACCCATCTCAAACCAGCCCTGACAACTACAAAGTGACAGACGACAACAACCTTGAATTCCACAGCACTAGCGAACTTCATCCAAGGCACGAACTGGAGAACAGTGTGATCACAAAGAGGATCATACTATGGTGCATCATCAAATATGTCCCTACCATCCAAGCCAGATAGATTAGGCCTGACGTGGTTTGAGTCTTCGGATCCTCTATAACTCGAGTGGTTTGAGTTTTCTCCCCTTGTTTCCTGGATTGGAGGTGCCTCATTAGGTTGGACTCCTTCCTCAGCATGAGAGGCAACATGAGCTTCCTCTTCGGGTTCATCAACCAACACATCATCTTCAGGATCTTCATCATAAGATTCCTCTTCTTCAAAATCGTCCAGCTGCTCGACCTCCTCCCCATGGCCATCAATCCGTGCCTTCACCTTCCTTTTCTTCATCTCCCCATAAGCTCGCAGGTTTGACCTTGCTTCGTGATATTCGTCGTCAGAAGTATCTGTATCGTCTGAGTCATATATGTGGTATATGTCTCGAGCAACAGAAGCCTCAAATCCCTTTTCTGTAGGCAAGGACACGTATGATAAAACCACAGCCTCTGGATCGTTCTCCCCAAAGACAGAGTCCCAAGAATCAGCCAAATGTCATTACCATTTAAAATGTTTTTTAATCACCATTAACCACGTGATTAAACAATGCTAATAGTATTTTAATCACTACCAAACAAATGGAAAACAACAACGAATAACAGTATTCAATTCTAGGGTTCGTGGGGATCAAAGAAGAATAGACAATTCTAACCTAGTAAATCGACTAACTCACCTTCAGATATAGGGGCAAAATCGGCAAAAGGATCAATCCAGTGGTCCCGAGCTTCCTCTGCCGTGTCGCTTTCTTGTCGTTACAGCTCGATACCAACCAAAAAAGGAAGAGAATGAAGAGACTATAAGAACCTTCTCCCATCAATCCACAGCCACAATAACGGTGCAAGAAAAGAATCTAACCAGTCGCGACACACGAGTGGGAGCACAAATCCCCCTTTCAAGTGAGATTAGGGTTCGACGCTAACAGTGAAATTGCGTATGCTACGGGCTGATTCCGAGATTCCTTCAAAGCATTCAACAAAAAACAAGCTTCGAAGGGCTCCGCCAAAGCTCGCCACTGGTTGGTCAACCCATCGAATGCATGAATGTTTTTATCGAAGAAGGAGGTGATAGGGTAGATCGCTCAATGGAGGAAAATCGGGACTGGAGGAAAAAATGTATATCGATGGTGGAGGAAGGAATATAGGTGGGGTAGGCTGGTCGTCGGAGGCAGATCGTCGACTTCGTTTTCGAAGATGAGAATAAGGGTGGTTGGATTCGAAGAAGAGGATAAGAAAGAGTAAAAAGGTAGGTGGGTAAAATTAGGGGTTGTGGTTTTTTTCCTTTTTTTTAATTATTATCCACATGTAAACTCAGGCGGGTCACGTAAGCCTCTCTGTTTGCCCAGTCACACTTTACGTTAACAGCGTTAAAGAATTGGACGGAAGTGGCTATTAGTGGTATTTCGTCAAAAGTGACTATAAGTGGCACAAAGGTGATAGTTTTGACTATGTAAGTGTATTTTGTTTTTTTATTATTATAAAAAAACAAGTTTGTGTGACAGTCTCCTTTGATTAAAATGGCAGCCGCAGGATTCAGTATCGCCGGTCTCCAAATCTAACGGTCATGATTTAAATTTACGAAACACTCTCACAAAACTGAAAGAGCTGGCGCATAGGCAAAAACCCTAACTAAACCTCTTCGCTCGACACTCGCCATATAAATACATCAGCTTACTCACCGCGTAAGTTTACTACCTCTTTCTTCTCTACCCTATTTGTCGACTGAAAATACATCGACACTAGGGTTTGGGAGAGAGTTCAGCCTAGTTTTTCTTCTCAAATTCTGTAACAGGTTCTCCTTCCACCTTCACAATCATCGGAGTTATGGGCAAGTCTAGTAAAAAGGTACACTTCGGTTTCGGTTGCTTCTCCGTTCCGCTCTCTGGGTTTTGGTTCTTACTGCTTCGCGCTTTTGATATTCTTCCGAGTTTTGTAGCGTGGCTGAGTATGTTGAAATTATCCCCTAGGTTGAGGCTGCTCCCGCTATAGCTGTTGCCGCCAAGCCGACTAAGAAAGGAGGTAATTATTCTGATTGGGCTTGTTGAAAAACTTGATATTTGTATGTTTATTTTATCGCCAGCAGTCGATTAGGATTGCTTTGAGATTATTCTTGTGTTTTTTACTGGTGAAACGGGGAAGCATGGTCTTTTATTGATACCTTCTTGGCGGTGCTCTGTAGGCAAGAGGCAGGCTGAAGAAGCCTTGGAGAAGGTTGTTGCTTCGAAGAAGCAGAAGAAAGAAGTTGTTCCACAAGTCGTTCAGAAGGAGAAATCTAAAGTGAAGACCCAGAAGAAGAAGAAAGAGGAAACAAGTAGTTCTGAAGATGACTCTTCTTCTGAGGAAGAACAAAAGGTTCTTTCTTTGGCCCTCATTATTCCTTTTGCGATATTAGAGTCTATGAGTTTGCAGATGAAGGCTGACTTATTAGGAATGCCTTGTACATTGATTTTGGTTACTAGCTGGTAGGTGACATCTCGTTGCTATGAACAGGTTACTTTAACAAAAAAGGTTACCCAAGCTAAGCCCCCTGTCGATGAATCGAGCAGTGACGAATCCTCTTCATCTGATGATGTATCATTTTTGTCACTTGAACATATAGTAATAATCAATGTTTCATCTTTTTATTTTCGTCGTCTAATGTTCTCCTGGCCTTGCAGGAGCCTACTCCAGCAAAGAAGCAAGCACCTGTTAAAAATGGGAAGCCTGCTGCTGCTGTGAAGAAAGCTAAAGTGGAGAGTGAGAGTTCAGAGTCTGATTCTGATTCATCAGAAGATGAGGTGAGTATCATACATCTTTTATGTTCTAGTTTGTTGACATTTCATCCTTTGCATTGATAATTATTGTAATCTTTCATCGTTCATTTGTTTATCTTCCTAACAGTTGAGTTTTTATTCTGCTCAGAAGCCTGCTACTAAGAAGGGACCAGCAGCTGCTAAAACTGGCGTTGCTGCTGTGCCTGCCACAAAAGCCAAAGTAGCTGAAAGCAGCAGTGACGACTCTTCCGAGGAGGATTCTGATTCAGATGAGGTATTGGATTATAATTTCTTCCTGGAGTTGTTGTTTATGCCTCTCACTTTAATTTTTTTTCCTGGGCTTCTCATTATTTAGGTTTGACATTGCTTTATATACTGATGTTTTATTTCGCTATTATAATGAGATTGCTGTGTCTTTTATTAGGAGCCTGCTGCCAAAATAGCTGTTCCTGCTAAGAAGCAACCTGTTGTTGCAAAGAATGGGTCTGTTAGCGCTGCTTCCAAGAAAGCAAATGCAGCTGAAAGCAGTAGCTCAGATGAAGAATCTGATGACAGTGAATCTGATGAAGAGGAGGCAAGTGGAAAGCACTAGCTTGTTTCTTTGTATGCAGTCTTATTTTACATGATAATTCTGCTCTTACAACTGATTCTGACTTTATTTCCCCATTACTCACTCATATAGGCTGCTCCTGCGAAGGTAGCTGCTCCTGCCAAGACTGCTCCTGCACAAGCTGCAAAGAAAAAAGAAGAATCAAGTGAGAGCTCTGAAGAAAGTGATTCTGATGAGTCATCTGATGAAGATGAGAAGGTGGGTTATGATCACCTATCTTACATTACTGATTTATTTATTTATTTCCATTCTGTACAGATTTCTGATTCTTTGGTATGATCTGTAGGCTGCAGCTGTCCCCAAGAAGCTTACTGCCCCTGCTGTCCCAAAGAAAGCTGAATCAAGTGATAGCTCGGAGTCTGATAGTGATTCTGATGAAGATGAGGTAATATCCATTGTTCAAATCTATAGTACCTTGTCGTCTCTAAGCTATTCCGTTTTAATGAGTCAAATCTGCATATCACCTATTTATGAAATTCATGAAGTTTAATCTACTGCGAATGATTTAATGCTGATTTTTAGTACTCTATTACAATTTCAGCCTGCTGCAGCCAAGCCAGCTGTTGCTGCAAAGGCTAAGGAATCAAAGAAGGTGTGTTGCTTTTACTTCTGATTGAAATTGGTTGTCTGTTGCATTTTGATGATGGTAGCTATGATGTTTTTAGATTTATTGTGATTGAAATTGCTTTTCTTTGGAGGAGAAGTTAAGATTTTAATTTTCATTGTTTTGGTAAGGACAAAGCAAATATGTCTGAATATATGTTAATCTTATTCGATTTCTTTCTGTGATCACATTAAACGCTGGGAACTCATTTCATAATCTTAATACTTATTTTTATATCTCGATTTCGTTCACTTTTGAGCTCAAAATTGTGTGAAATTCAGGATGCTATGGATGTTGACGGCAGTGATGAAGATGATAGCTCTGACGAAAGTGAAGATGAACCTGCTGATACAAAGGTGAATAGCTGTCTGCTAACATCTGATGATGTGTGGCATTGCATGTTGTCCTCTTTATGTTGATTAATTTGTTCTTTTCATTGTGTAGAGTAAGGCGACTGCTAAAAAGGAAAGCAGCAGCAGTGAAGAAGACAGTGAAAGTTCCGATGATGAGAGTGAAGATGAAAAGCCTGTAAAAACACCTGCGAAAAAGGTATTGGAATGTCCTACCATGTTTTTTAGTTATATCATCAGTGTTTGTTCTAAGATGCTCAAAGAATCTCCGTATGCTTCCAACAGCATCTGGAAAACATATTTGACAATGGCTTCCCTTGTTATTGGCCAGTGTTTCCCGAACACAATCTCAATTAGGTCTAATTCCATCTCGCTCTGTCTTCTTTTTACAGGATGTTGTGATGGTTGATGCTCCAAAGGAGGTAAAGGAGCATTGACATGCATTGGGTTTTGGTTCCTTCAACTTTCACTTCTGATTTTTGACCTAATAGGTAATTTGTTCTTAATGGCAGCCCAAGACACCTGTTACTCCTAATGACTCTGCTGAAGCTTGTACCTTGTTTGTTGGCAATCTGCCTTTCGAGGTTGAAAGAGCTGATGTGTAAGTAGGACCTTTCCAGCACAGTGCACCATTTTCTGCAAATTGGAATTGTTATGGTTTTGCTGATGTATTCTATTTTATTATTTGCAGAGAAAATTTCTTCAAGGATTGTGGTGAGGTTACAGACGTTCGTTTTGCTATGGATGCTGAGGGAAATTTCAGGGGGTATGGACATGTTGATTTTTCTACATCCGAGGAAGCAAAGAAGGTGCATACCATTACTCCCAGCGACAGTTCATACTAGAGAATATAAAAGAAATTAAGCAACTAGTGTACAATGCAATTTTTTTCATGTGATGCTGTGTTATCTGAATTCCTTTTGGTCTTGTGGTTGTCTCAAGTCCCACTTTCAATTGGAATATGTAATCTTTTATGGTTGTTAATTTTAGTTATTTCTCTTCCTTGCTCAGGCTCTTGAGATGAAGAATGGTGAGTCTTTGAACGGCAGGGGTCTTAGACTTGATCTTGCTCGTCCAAGGGGTGAAAGGCAAACTCCGTATAGCGGGTACTGCTGTCTTTACTGTATGACTTTGACCTGAGTTGTGTAGTCAATTTTTTTACTTACTGGGAGCATCTTTGTACCTCTGCAGCAAAGACAACAATAGCTCTTTCCAGAAGGGCGGAAGAGGTCAGGGCCAGAAGGTATTTGTTCGAGGGTTCAACACATCACGCGAGGAGGATGAGGTAATTCTCTTTCTTTATGCATTTGTTGTTTGATTTCTTTTTGTGCTGTGCTCATTCTGTCCTTAATTTTCTTTTGCAGATTAAGAATTCTCTATCCGAGCATTTCAGCTCTTGTGGTGAAGTGACGTTTATCAAGCTTCCAAAAGATTATGAGACTGGAGCCTTCAAAGGGTGAGTAGTAGTTCTCTTGTGTTAATATAAAGGTGAATAAATAGAGCTTTGCTGCATTATCATGAACCCTTTTTACTGTCTTCTGATGATTTGAGTACCTCTAATCTGCAGAATGGCCTTTGTTGAGTTCTCTGATACCGACTCTATGAACAAGGCTTTGGAACTTGACGGAAGTGATCTTGGAGGTGACTATTTGACAGTACAGGAGGCAAAACCTAAACCAGATGCTGATGGCTTCAGTGGTGGTGGTAGAGGCTACGGAAGCGGAGGTGGAGGTAGGGGCTTTAGTGGCGGCCGAGGTGGAAGAGGATTTGGTGGCGGACGAGGTGGTGGAAGGGACTTTGGTGGTAGGAGTGGTGGCAGAGATTCCGGAGGACGTTTTGGTGGTCGACGTGGTGGTGGTAGAGGTGGTGACAGAGGACGTGGAAGGTCCAGTTTTACTCCTTCAGGTAAAAATAGAATCATAATGCCCGTTGTTTGTTGCCATCTCCGATCTCTTGTATTCCGAAGTTGATTTTTGTAGCACGATTACCTTTGAAACTGCAGGTAAGAAAACTACCTTCAGGGATGACGATGAATAGACCTGTCAAACGCGGAAGAGAATCACTCTACAATGGGTTTCTTTTCTCTCCCGAGTCTCGATAGGAAGAAGTATCTTTATTGCTCGTGGCAGAGTATAAATTTCTTTTTCTGTGTGAACAAAACACTTTTGTTTTACTTTTGTTTTTGAAGTCTTGGTGGTCGTTAATGTTACCGTATCTCTATATTTGTCATTCGAGATTATATGCCTCTTGAGATGTTCTCTTTCATTCGATTGAGAGAAATATGGTTGTATGACAAAAACTTCCATTTTGTAATGGTTAATACAGTAGAAGAGTTTTCGTTCTCTCTTCTGAATTTCACATTGCTTAATATTGGTAGCTATTCACAATGAACTTTGCTTGAGGGCCGCCCTGGACATATACGAAGCTGAGTTCCTGGCCAGGTTTGAGGACCTTAATCCATTCAGGCAACTCATAGGTGTTCTTTTGTGGTAATGGGGTGAGTCCCCAAAGGGAGCCTGATAGGTTTTGTGCAACCATCTTGAGGCCGGTGATCGACTTCTGAGATGTGTTCTTGATAGTGACCTTGTGTCTGTAATATGTTGTGGATCCTACAGTCCATGTTTTAGTTATGGAGTGCAGAAACTCCACTGGAACGTGTTCTTCCTCTGCTGCTGCTGTAACCTTCCTGGGTGCTTGTAGGTTCTTGTGATAGGATTCTGTGGAAATCCGGGTGAACATTTTAATTAAGTTGAACCGGTTCTAGTCGTGATAAGAAAGGTAGGAACCGTACTGACCTGTTGGTGCTGTGTAGTGTGAAACTTGCGTGGTTTTTGGGTAGCGGCCTCCACTTCCTGATGCACTCTGGAGTTTGGAGAAGAGACCAACAAGGGGAGCACTTGCACAAAGCGTCGGCTCAGTCTGCTCGTAGTTAGACCTTTGATCGTTGAAGTTGTCATTCTGATCAGGTCCTCCCACCAGGGCCCCATACACCACATTGGGGTTCGCTTCTGGCCGGCGGTACCATGAGTCGAAGCCCTGAACACACTCGACAGTTGATCGGAGCAGGAAGATGGAGGCAATGGAAGCGCCTCTGTGGTGGACACGAATCGGGTACTGTTGTCCATAACCAACCACATAGCTCATGGCTTTTGGGTTCTTGCCGAGCATGTAATCAGCCTGGGACTTGGCGAAATCGAGAAGCTCCTGAGGTTGAACGACCTGGCCCTTGGGACAGTTCAGCTTGGCGCCGTGGGAACTGAGGTACTGGGAGTAGACAGCAGTGAGGAACGCCGCAGCAGAGGCGTACTGCAGGTTGTTCCATTCTCGTACGTACATCAGGCCTCCTGGGGTTTTCTGGATGTTGTAGCCGTCGTTTTTCTGAACACAGGAACATGCAAAGTAGTCTGCTTTTGCCTGGTATTGCTTTAAGGTTGATGCGTACTGGCTGCCTTGTCCTTCGAGAAGTATCTTCAGCCATTGAAAACTTCAATGTTAGAAGGGAATGGTTGGTGGGTTTTAGAAGAGTGACAGGCTATTGACTTCAGTAGTAGTTTTATTACCTTAGAAAGGAGGACTTGAACTCCAGCATATTTGTTGTCCCAAGAGAACTCCTTCACTGCACATCCAGTTCCGCCCATATAGACAGCATTGTCCACAACGTACTTGAGGTAGTAGTCCTCACCGGTAGCGCGGTGGAGCCATGCCGCAGCCCAGAGCAGCTCGTCCTGATATCAACGAAGGGCTCGATTATGTTAGAGAACAGGAAGCTACTTGGCTGTCAAGTAACAAAATTCAGTTTACGTTTGTGATGTTGGTAACTGACCGAGTAGCCAGAGGAAGTGTAGAATTGCTTGGCGTTCTGGATGGTGTCGTCGTATAGACCTCTGAACCTGTCGGCGAAGGAGAAGAGCTGCTTGGCGTGGGACATGAGGAGGTTGGAGTAGGAAGAGTTGTATGGCTTGAAGGCCAAGGAAGCTGCGGCTAACGCTGCAGCCGTTTCGCCTGCTAGGTCCGAGCCAGGATGGTTCTGGTCAAGCTTGTAGGCTGTTCTGGGAGTCGTCATGTCCTCTGCTCTCTCCCAACAGTAGTGGTCCGAATTGCCATCTCCAACCTGTCAAAATCAGGTTGGTAAGAATAAGATACCATATGACGACAAGAGAAGCTTGGACGACAAGAAATGGAGGCGACAACACTAAAACAAAACAGGTTACCTACATTGACTAGAGAAACAAAGAAGATCACAACTACGTAAACAAAGCGTTTGACGGTAATTATTATAGTACCTGAGCCCACAGAACATTGGGCTGTGGATGAGCCTTGACGAAGTAGTCAGTCCCCCATCTGATGGCTGCCAATGTGTTGCTCATTTGGTTAGCAGAGGTGATCTCCTTGTTGAAATCAATGGCGCCCCAGGCCATCATGGTCACGCTGAACGCCATCGGCAGCCCGAACTTGACGTGATCCCCTGCATCGTAGTACCCTCCGACCAGGTCCGCCCCTTGGGAGTGGCCATCGCGGAGTCCCGAGTCGCCGCGCCACTTGACCCTCTGGGCGTGGGGCAGCTTCCCGGATCTCTGAGCCTCGAAGAACAGGAAGGTCTTGTCGAGCGCATCGCCGTAGTCGACGAGCCCTTGGACCATGCTGGTGCTGCATAGTAAGATGATGCAGAGTGCTGAAGCAGGGCTGCTAATGTTGAATAGCTTCATGGCTTTGTTCTTTTTGATGTGCGTGGCTCAATGTTTGGGAAAGATGTGGGGAGCAGGACTTGGTGGATGGGGTTTAGGTTTTGTGTTGGGGACTTTATATGATGTGGGTTTTGGGATTTTGGAGGGATTTGGTTTGGTGGGGGGGATATTGAAGCAAAAGATTGTAGCCTCCACGTTGTGATGTTCTTTTGAATTTTATTTGTAGAGCCTCTCACGTTTGTTTGTAGGATTTGCGCTTGGCACGTTCCCCTTTGATTCCTCTTGTTTAAATTATTTTGAGTTAGCTCATTGTAGCCGACCAAATTATGATGTCATAATATTTTTTTCTATCTATCATATCCAAACCATGGTATTAAAATCGTAATTATTGTCGAAACCAAAAGTAAGAAGAGATGTAAAATGATGTACCAAACTTACTTGTGTGCCATTCGGAAAAGACCCATATGCACCATACTCAAATAATCATATATAAAGTTATCGATAAAAGGTGAAAAATTTCTTACTTATAAGTTTTATTAAGATATTGTCTATGTTTGACCTGGTTTTTAAAAGTGTTTTTCGACTTCAAAACCTGAAGCAGGGCCGAACACTTCTAAAAGCCCGGCTTTTGAAAAGCCGAAAAAACGCTTTTTTATAACATAAAGCAGACGCTCCGATTTGCATCTTCTGAGAAAAGCTGTTTTGAAGATACAAGATTATCCTTACCATGTTTTAATTTTAGTTCAGAAAATATAATTTTATTTCATTATATTATTTCAAAAATAAAATAAAATACAAAACCATATTATTTAATATAATAATAAAAATCTAACAAGATCGATTTTTGACTACTTTTTACTATTTAGAATTTTTATTCTTAATTTATGTTATAAGTCATTTTACACAAACTCTCATATAAAAAAAACACTTCTAATAGTTTTCCGTCCAAACACTCAACTGCTTTTTATGAAAAATACTTCTTTAAAAGCTCCAGCTGCTTCTGCAAAAACTACATCAGAGTCAAACTAGCCTATTATTTATAAAAGTGAGAGAAAAGAAAGAAGATTTTAATATGAGAGAGAATTATAACCATTGACGGATATAAATAAGCGAAGTGTTGAGATGAGTGAGTCTAAACTTCTAAACTATAGTTGTAACGTGTTTTTTAGTGGATTTCGTGTGAATACTTAAAATAAAAAATTGCAATAAAACCCATTATCCTGTTTATGAAATTCGAAAAGCACCCAATTAATTTTAGGGTTAATAGCATTTTGTACTTTTATACTATTACAAATCAACAAACGTACCCTCTTCTGAAATTTTGCACAAACATACTTTCCTAATATTAAAACGTAACGAATATACCCTTCTATCTAATTATCTCTTAATTGACCATTAAATTGGCTAGGAAATGACCAAAGTACACCTCACTTAATGTAATTCATTTTAATCATTTTTCACCCCAACCCAATTTAAATTAAAACACCATCCTAAAGCGTCCCCTTCAATCAACTTGACGTCCTTTCGTCTGCCTCCTTCCCAATTTCGCTGAAGACCTCCCACTGATATACACCGTCGCACCCTCGGCGGCGGCCGCACGTGGCTCTTCTTAGCTGGTGACCGGAGCGGACAGTTGTGTGTGAGACGACATCACTGTTTCGGTAGCAGCGACTTGAGCGGACAGCTGCGGATGAGGCGGCGTACGGCTACGGCTGGAGAAGGCGACGATAATTGTGGGGAAAATCGCAATCTGCTAGTCATATTAATCGATTAGGGGCCATGAAAGCGGAGAAGGTCAAAAGGCATAAGAAAGGTGTAAAGAAAAGAAAGAGATCGTCGTCTGCTCCACCTGTAATCGCGAGCCATCTCACCTGCAATTGTACGCTCCAGCCACTGACGGCTTAACAGTGATGTCATTTCATCCACAGAAGTTCGCTCCGGTCGTTGGCTAGGGTGCGCCATATGAAGCCGCCGTCAAGGAGGCCGGCGAAAGGACGACGAGCCGATTGAAGGGGACGATTTAGGATGGTGTTTTAATTTTAGGGCTAATACCACCGGAAATACCATCCTTTAGCGAAAGTGCCATTTATATTACGTACTTTCAATAAATACAAAAATATTCCAACGTATTAGGGGTTCGCGTCATTTGTGTTACGCGTATTTCTGTTGACTGTTAGAATTGACGGTTGACCTAACGGTGGTCAACCTATGTTTGACTATTGATTATGTGGAGCTTATGTGGCGTACATGTATGCGCCACATATGATATTACTATTAAATAATCCATTAAATATTCCCATTAAATAAAAAAATTATAATTAAAAGGAAAAAGTAGTCGTCGCCTCCACCTAGTCGGAAAACAAAACAAATATGTTGTCGCCGCAAGATCTCGACAGCTCCGTCGGCAACCCCGACGGTCGATCTCCCTTAATCAAAAACTAGTGGCGCACTCACTCAAGGTTCAATCAAACTCATCAGAAAGGCCACGCCTTTCTCCTCCGATGCGTCCTCCGCCAAGGATTGCGACCGGCCATCGACGCCATCATCGACTGAGCTGCCGCTTTTCTACCTGCAATTGCTCCCCTATTCCATTTCCCCCACCTTATCTGTACAAATCACTCAAGTACGAATATGAGTTGGAGTAAGGAAACCCCTGATCTAGGAAAATCCTCCAAAGGGACCTGGTTTTCCCCTATTTGAAACACCTAAATCTTTCGGCAATGGGGTGAACCTGGTTTCGAATCCCTAAATCAATTGACCGGATTTTCCCCGATTCGGCCGACGTCGAGGGAAGTTCCGCCTTCAAAAGCTTCTAAAGAGCTTCCTTTCATAGCTTCCTCGTTGCTCCAAAAATCTAGAGCGAGCGGAGGTTGGCGATGGAGGAAAAGGAATTGGGAATTTGTTGAAGGAGGCGGGATGAGAGACGGCGAACTGGAAGAGGGGAGCTATTGTAGCCACAAATACAAACCAGAGGGATGAAGCAGTGGAGCGGCGAAGAGGGATGAAGCAGTAAAGGAGAAAGGGCAGAGGAGGCGATTGGTGGTGCCGGGGGAGGGAAGTCCCCGGGAGGGGATGAAAAGTCGCACGAGGATGATACAAGCAGGCGCAGTGGGGAAGAGGAATAGCCGATTTTTTTAATAAATGAATTTTTAGTAAATTTTCCATGTCAGCTGCCACGTGTATGCTGACTGTGTTTTCTGTCAATTTCTAACGGAAAACTTAACGGAGGAAACGATTTGGTATACAAATGACATATCGAAAAGTACGTAATATAAATGGCACTTTCGCTAAAGAATGGTATTTCCAGTGGTATTAGCCCTTAATTTTAAATAAATTGGGTTGGGTTGAAAAATGATCAAAACGAATTAGATTAAGTGAAGGGTATTTTGGTCATTGCCTAGCTAATTTAATGGTCAACTAATAGATAATTAAAAGGAAGGATATATTCGTTACGTATTAATATTATGAGAGTATGTTTGTGCAAAAATTTAAAGAATGGTACATCTGTTAATTTACAATAGTAGAGTGGTACAAAATACTAATAACCTTTAAATTTAATATCGATTGAATTTTCCCAACCAAATCAATTCAAACTTATTATACTATTGATATACTCAATGCAAAAATATTTTTAACGCACCAGCTCACCATCTGCTCAAATAGTGCATTATTGCAACTAAGACGACAATCGTGCTCAACCCACGACTCTCTCCGGTGAATTATTGGGTCGGGCCTGTCCAGTTCCAATCAGCTCACCATCTGCTCCAAACGTATTGTGCCCAGTATGGTATTCTCCTTCGATATGCATCTGTCTCCTACCCTCAGGCCAACGGTCAGGCGGAGTCCGCCAACAAAAATATCTTGTGGCGACTAAAAATCGTCTAGACGACGCCAAAGGGAAATGGGTGGAAGAACTTCCTCATGTCCTGCGGGCTCACCGAACCACCTACAAGACTAGCACGGGGGATACACGTACAGACTCACTTATTGCACTGACGGGGTGTTACCCATCGAAATAGAACTGTTATCATATCAAGTCGAAGCCGTCCACCCGGAAGCCTACAATGAGGAGCTCACCCACAACCTCGACCTTGCTGAAGAATGTCGAGAAGATGCTCAGCTACGCCTGGTTGCTAGCCAAGAAAGGGTTGCTCGATACTACAACTCTAAGGTTAGAGATCGGCCTCTTCGGGTTGGGGATTGGGTGCTTCGACGAAATTTCCGCCCCGAGGAAGGTCTGGGGAAGTTAACGCCTAAGTGGGAAGACCCATATAGGGTAAGAGAAGTTGTCGGTCCCAACACTTGCTAACTAACAAGTTTTCTCTCAATGAAAGGGAGCACTTGGAGAAGAATGAAGTGAACAATGAAGAAGGGAGGAAGAAGCTTCTTATAGGAGAATAAAGAGGAGGAAAACATAGAAGAGAACACTTTGTCTTCTAAAAAGTCTAAGGGTTTGTGCATTTTCCAAACGGTCTTTGACCAAAATTCAACAAAAATGCACAATCTTCTATTCGGCTCATGGGAATCAAGAAGAATGAAGGCCAAAGTCACAGGGAGAGAAAATTCTCTCCCAAAATCCAAGATTTGTGCACTTCCCAAACAATCTTCACCAACATTCAATAAATAAATAAAATATAAAAGATATGTAGTCTTCTAATAAACTCCAAAGATTAAATTTGGGTATTAATCACTGGGTACACAGCCCCCGAGAATCTACCGGCAAGGGGGGCAATTGATATACTCAATGTAGAAATATTTTTACCGCACCAGCTCACCATCTGCTCAAATAGTGCATTATTGTACATGGGCCGACAATCGTGCTCAGCCCACGACTCTCTCCGGTGAAGTATTGGGTCGGGCCCGTCCAGCTCCAATCAGTACACAATTGTGCCATGACCCACCAACAGTAAATCATACAGTGCCTCGCGATTGCCCCCAATGCTCTCCCCGATACATTATTGCGTCCGGTTCCGAGCGCCCAGGCCCATTATCGTTCCCGGCTCCGGGGATCCGCCCTCCTCCCAGCACCCGGGTCCACCATTGCCCCGGCTCCTGGCGGCATGCCTTCACCTCTCGTTCGGTTCCTGGCACCCGGGCTTGTTATTGTTCCCGGACCCCGGCACCAGGGCCCACCATTGCCCCGGCTCCCAGCGGCTGGCCTTCACCACTCGTCTGGTTCCTGGCGCCTAGGCCCGTTATCGTTCCTGGACCCCGGCTCTCGGGCCCCTCCTGACAGAGTGCCTTCACTTCTCGTCCGGTTCCCGGCGCCCGAGCCTGTTATCGTTCCCGGACCCCGACTCCCGGGCTCCGCCCTCCTCCCGGCACCCAAGCCCACCATTGCCCTGTTATCGTTCCTGGATCCATTGCATGTACTTCTATCTGCACATGTTTCATGCCTCTACTCAATTAGTTTGCATATGACAAAAGTGTTCCCCTTAGGCAGAAACATGGTTGACATGTGTACAACCACGTGGCGAGCGCAGATAGACCTAGAAGAGATATGTCCAGTGCCGTGTACTTCCTTCATCTCCGGTGCTGACACATGTCCTCCAGTTGTCCCCCCAGGTAGTTACTATATAACTAGCTCATGCTCTCCAGTGAAAGTTAGGGAAAGAGACCGGGGGAAGTACCCTGAGAGCGCCCATTGCAATCAGTGACTCTCACCACCCGATCTCACCTCCTGCAAACAACTTGTAAACTACTCAATCCTCCACACTAGGGGCTAACTTGAGCGTCGGAGGGTGCTCCCACCAAGATCGGCCGACGGGCCCTTTTTTGTTGGAAGCGTTCGGAGACAACGTCACGAAAGAAGGTTACTATAAAGGGGCACTTCAAATCGCTTCGGGGACCAAGATTGAGGAAGTCGACGTCGGTTACAGCCCCGACATCAACAAATATTCTTATACCACTCGTCTCTTCCTCTCGTCAACAAAGGTGCTATGACTAAGCACTTAACAAGGAGTCCAAAACTCCAAATTAGGTGAGTAAGAGGGTCATTAATTACTTGACTAAACTCCGCATAACCCTTAAATATAAACACTCTAATCTAACCATTATAATATGAAAATATTTTTTCATTTAGTGATAGGGGTAATTTGGTATTATTAAAAATTGATTTTATTTCTTTTTTATTGATTCTAGTTTTCTCTCTCTGCTGTCACTTCCTAAAAGTTGCATTTATTATACTAGTCCTTTTTTTTTTAAATTTACGTTATTTATACAAACCAGATTTACAAACAATGCAAACTATACAAACATACAAAATTGAAAACAATATAAACTAAGAATGACAAACTATACAAACCAAATTTATAAACAATACAAAACATACAAACTTTACAAACAATACAAATTAGACCCACAAACAATACAAAATGGAAAACAATTGGGTTGACTTTGGAGGCTTGTCTCTAAATATAGGAGTTCCGTCACAAAATCAACCAGGTTGTTTTTTACACATACAAACATGTTGGACAAAAATGACAAACTACACAAACTGTATAAATCAAATTTACAAACCATATAAACTACACAAACTATATAGAGGAAACCCGAACTATTAAGAATCTGTCATTTGTGTCCTAAAGTATCCAATATGACATTTGTGTCCTGACGTATGATAGTTGTGTGTCATTTACGTCCTGACAATTTCATTAACCGTTATAGATAACGGTTGATCAAACGGTCAACCATAAAATGTTGACTATTGATTAAATGGCACATATGTGGAAGCCATGTATGCGCCACGTCAGCTGCCACATCAGGTTTTTATTTTTAAATTAAAATTAATTAATTTATTTGGGAAGAATTAAATTAGAAAAGTTAAAGGAAAATGATGGGGGAGGCCGCTACTCAAATTGGAAAAGTTAAACAAAAATTAAAATACCCCTGCATCTCTAACCCTCGTCTTCTCCGCATCTCTAACCTTCGTCTTCTCCGGCAGAGCTCCCAGCTCCTCCCTCGCTCCCATTCCGGGCCGCAGGTAGTTGTCTCTTCTTTTGATCAACTCCGTCGCATATCTGATTCATCCCAACAACCACTCATTTTCCCCCACTCCGCCTCCCCCTACGTCGCCCGTCGCAAATCCCACGAACATAGTGGCGGCGGCGTCGACGACGACCTCGACTCCTGGTCACACAGCCACCACCACTCCCCATCTCGGCCACATACTCCTCATCTTCCTCGTCTTCCTACCAGAGGAAGTACGCCAAGCTGCCTCTCTTGGCCAATTTATTTCGATTCAGACCCAACAAACTGCGAAATCCAGATCCCGACACTGTTGTTGCTGGTGCGGATTCAGCTCAGCTCAGCCCAAACCAGATAGAAGCTGACTACATTTTCTATGATCTACTAATGGTCAACATTAACAAAAAAAAATAGTTTGGGTCAGATTTGTCATATTAAATAGTTTAGGCCACAAATTACACTTTTTGAATAGTTTGGGCTTCCTAGTGGAATTAGCCCATAAAACAATAATGCAATTACCATGAGACTAATTGAAACCATTAAATTTTTGAAAATGAAATTGGTGACTAAGGCCCCTAGTTCCTCAACGGCCCACTTAGGGTGGGGTACGCGGGCTGGTGACCCACGGATGTGACACGATCCACCTGCAAAATGATCTAATTTGCATATTGTGGGTGGGTCGGTAAGCTGGTGACGAATAGGCTAAGTGCAACCCGCAGGAGGCAGATGGTTGATGGACGGGTGCGGGGTCACCCGCAAACCCGATCTCCCATCATAAAGCAACTAGCTAGCTAGGTCACCTACCTCCTCTCCTCTTCATTAGATCCCGTTGCTCAAGCTGTTTGTTTGGAGATTTATGGGTGAATGGATCATTTCATTTATTCATTATCAAACCTTGCCCTCTATTGTGCCTCTTGGGTTGAGATTGGGAATCACAACGAAAACATACTGTTTTTGGTGGAATTTTGCATGATCAATGCACCCTGACTTCAAGAAAACAAAAAACAATGTTACTCGGTTCACATCTCTTCAAACACTGTTCGAACGAGGGTGTTCGTTGCATACAACAAAGGATTTGGCTATTATTCCCTCTACTCCTAAGGAGATTCCTTGAGAGCTTCGCAACTACTGACTACAACTAACAGAGAAGCCTCCTTGGATGGTCCCTGGTGCTACTGCTATGATTACTGTTCTAGAGAGAAAAGATAAATTTTGACGAGACTATTTGTGATTTGATTTGTCTGTCCTGCTCCAAAAGGTTGTTTCCAGTTTTGTTGCCCAGAGTCGTCCAACTGCTCTCTCCCCCCTCCTCCAGAAAAGTAGATCCGCTTAGCTTCTACGCTAGTCAGTTGTTGCCAAGAAGTCTCTGGACACGTCACTACATCATCTTAATTTCAACATGGATGGTACCATCCAACTAGTACTTTGGATGGTATCCATAATATAGGATGGTCACCATCCAATTAGTCTTTTGGATGGTGTCCATTATATTTGGGATGGTACCATCCATAATAGAATTTGGATGGTATCCATGTTGTTGGACACCATCATCCATAATAGGAATTGGATGGTATCATGAGGTTGGACACTACCATTCATTATAAGATTTGGATGGTATCTATGATGTTGGGCACTACCATCCATAATTGGATTTGGATGGTATCCATGATATTGGACACTACCATCCATTATTGGATTTGGATGGTATCCACACCTGAGCTACCATCCACCAACCCTACGGGCAGACTTGATAAATTGGACCATCCATATACACGCGGACCAACTACTTAAAGAGGTCAAACTGTTCATACATGTAATAATTAATGAAAATTATTTTGGTGTAAACACATACAATTATTGGTATATATCATGTTGTTTGTGTAGTTTACGACAATAAGTTGATAAATTAATGTATTGCTTATAGTGCTTGACTTTCACTTATATTACAATTATATGCAAAATACATCATAAATTAGCTTTGAACAGAGTAATGTCTATTTTTATCCAAATCTTTTTAAGATTCTTTTATATTATTCAAACTTATTAAAATTCTATTAATTAACCAAATCTTTCATAACTATCAATCAAAATATTAGCCATTTTTACGTTATCGTTAATAATTTTGTAACTCTTTTCTCAGTTAAAATACTAAAATTTTGGAATGTTGACCTTTATGTGTCTCTTGCAAGTTAGTATCATGTTGACAAGTCAATATTACTAACAAAATTGCTAATTGGAAATTAACATTTGGTTAATTTTTAGTATTTCGATAGGTTTGGATAATATAAAAGAATCTGAAAAAGATTTGGATAAAAAATAGACATTACCGTAAAATTTACTAGTAATGAAATGGTAACAACTCTGCATTTTTTAAGCGTTGACTTGTGGGTCAACTCGCACATCCAACCGCACGAGACCGGTTACTATGACAACACTCCTTGTGTTGTTATAGTGACAACACTAGTCTTCCACCAATAGGAAGGTAGGGATGTGATGATTTTTTATTAGTTGAGTTGACCTAGTGTAAAATCAAAGCAGGGGTATAATTGTCATTATGAAAATATGTTTAAATAAAAATAAAAGCAGGGGGTATAATTGTCATTATTTCCTGCCCAATATTTTGGTCGTCGGAATTCTGCCACCGGTCGTCGGAAACTGGTCGTCGGTCACCGGAATATGTTTTTTTGTCGTCGGAATATTATTTTTTTCACCGGAATATGCTTACCGGCGTCGGAATCTAGTCATCGGGGCCGGAATATGCCTATCGGCGTCGGAATCTGCTCACCGGAGTTCGGTCAACGGTCTTCGTTGACCGGTCAACGATCACCGGATGTTATGGTTAGCATTGTGAGATTTATGGTTTGGTTTCTCATATTTTTTATGCTTTTTGTGGTTTGCTTTATCGTGTTTGTGGTTTGCATTGAGAAGTTTTTGGTTTGCTTTCAAAAACTTTGTGGTTTGCATTGTGAGGTTTTTGGTTTGTTTTAATATATTTGTGGTTTGCATTAGGACGTTTATGGTTTGTTTTTTGTGGTTTGATTTACTATGTTTGTGGTTTGCATTAGAAGGTTTCTTATGTGTTTTTGAAAATTCTGTGGTTTGCTTTGTGAGGTTTCTGGTTTGTTTTAATAGATTTTTGGTCTGCATTAGGATGTTTCTGGGTTGTTTTTGTGGTTTGCTTTATCGTGTTTATGGTTTGCATTAAGAGGTTTCTGGTGTGTTTTTGTAAATTCTGTGGTTTGCTTTGTGAGGTTTCTGGTTTGTATTAATAGATTTTTGGTCTGCATTAGGACGTTTCTGGTTTGTTTTGTGGTTTGCTTTATCGTGTTTCTGGTTTGCATTAAGAAGTTTCTGGTGTGCTTTCAAAAATTTTGTGGTTTGCTTTGCAGGGTTTCTGGTTTGTTTTAGGAAATTTGTGGTCTGCATTAGGACGTTTCTAGTTTGCTTTTGTGTGGTTTGCTTTACCGTTTTGCGGTTTGCATAAAGGTTTCTGGTGTACTTTCGCAAATGTTTTGGTTTACTTTGTTAGGTTTGTGGTTTGTTTTAGGAGATTTGTGGTATGCATTATGAGTTTTCTGATTTACTTTTTTGTGGTTTTTGATCACGTTTGTGGTCTGCATTAGAAGGTTTCTGGTGTACGTATGAAAGATTTGTCATCTGCATACCAATACGATAAACATAATAATACACCATCATCTTTTCCACAAAATCCACCTCCTCGCTTTCTCGACCACATCTCAACATCAGCCCACTTTCAACACCGTCGGCTGCTTAGACAATTACAATTCCACCACACCTCCCGCCTACACATCAAACCTCGCCGCCCTCCTAGTCCTTGAGCTCTTCTTCGTCACATACATCCAACCCTCTCTCCATCGAGACCTTCGTTGATTCCGATCTTGTAGTTGATGCAAACATCAGCTACGAGATCTCTTCACGCAGCTAACTTCTCCTCGCTCCCTACGAATTTCGGGAAATGACAAGTTAGCAAAAGGTAACTCCAGTCCCCCCTTTCTAAACCTCTTTTTGCTAGTTGTGATGTTTGGAGCCAAGATGATAATTTTAATTCCATTTGGCCGTCAAATCTCATAGGACTTGCTACAAAACATAAGCAATTCGAAATTCGGAGTAAATTCTACAGGAATGCGGATGAATTCCAAACACGATCTAGGGTTTTCAGCAGAAAATTGAATTGAAAACTGGAACGAGAATTGGAACTGGCAAATATACCTGCAGTGATGAAAACTCGAATCCCTAGATGTTTCGCTATCTGAATCGCAAACGTTCCAATCCCGCTCGAGCCGCCATGAACCTGCAAACAATTCGAACAATTCATCAGAACTTTTCCCCAATTCTTCCTCCACGTCCGGCGAAAGGCAGAGAAAGAATGAGTGATTGAACATTTACCAGAAATGATTCGTCAGGGGAGAGCCGGGTGGTCCTGAAAATCGTTGACCAGACAGTACACGCGACCTCAGGGAAAGCGGCGGCGTCGGTCAAAGAGATGCCCTCCTGTATGGGGAAAACGTGCGCCGCCGGAACCGCCACTTTCTCTGCGTAGCCTCCGCCAACAGCAGCAGGCTCCTTTGGCATCCCTACAGCAAGACGCGACTCTCTGTTGCTCTGCCTCTGGTGCGCTGTCGCCGAGCTGCTCTAAGCCCGCCGCCTCGAGCTACTGAGCGGTGGTCAGAACGACACGACGGCGGCGAGAACAACAACGTCGTCGTTGGTGGATTTGAATCAGTGATTCCCGACTTGAGCATCAACGTTATCCTATGGATGGTTGCCGGGAAGTGGCACTTCGGATCTGAGACTATGGACGGTGAGGAGGACGTTAGAGCCACCGTGCGGCAGATTCAGAAAGCCGTCAGGGAGCTTTACAATTATCTAGATCTGGGCGGAATAAGGGGACGAGAAAATTGATTTTTGGTTTCAATTTATTTTTACTGTATTTTGTTGATTTTACTATTTTACCCTTGTTGTTACCACAACACAGGTGTTGTTATAGTATCCGCTTTCCAACCGCACCATTTGCCATCCGCCGGATCCAACCCCAGGGCCCAAACTAAGTGTGGGTGGGTGACGGGTGGAAAATTTTCAATCTGTTGAAGAATGGGTAAATTAATTTTATGGTCAAAATTCACCCGATCCGCCGAGTCGATTCCTTTCCCGTCCAATGCCTAGAATATGATCCATATCGAAACGGTAGCAGTGCTCAGGGTCCAATGTGAGCCGACAAATTTCTTGCTTTAGGCCCAGTATTAGTAAACTGACCTGTATTCTCGTGTTTGATTCCCGCAGGCCCACATGTAGTCATGTATAGGGCTGGCCGTTCAGTTAGCGGTTACCGGTTAACCGGCCGGTTAAATCGATAACCGCCGGTTACCGGTTAACAGACTAACCGAATAAAAATGTACGCGGGCGGTGCTCGGTAGGGATATTGGAGGTGGCGGTTAACCGGCTAACCGACGGATCTAAACGCCGGCTAACCGACACGGCCAAACCCCCCCCCCCCCCCCCCCCCCCCACACTAAACGCCGCCCAGCTGCCCACTCTTCAGCGTTTCACCAAAACCCTAATTCGTCTTCGACTTCGTCTTCCTTCCCCAATTTGCGGAATCAAACTTCTTCCTTCCCTTCCCTTCTCTGCATCGACGCCCACACCAGTCCTCGCCGCCAGCAAGAGTCCGCCGCCGCAAACCCTTCCCCGCAGCAACCTCCGCCGCGGCCCCCGCCGCCGCCATCGGCCTTCTGCCTTCTCCGCGCCCCAGCGCCACTCGGTTACCTTCCTCACTCGCTCTCCCTTGTTCCTCATCTCCTGGGCTAACAACCGCCGCCAGGTGGAGGAAGCAGCATCAGAGAAGACCATTTCCGCCAATCTACCTTACAAGGTGGAGTTCCTGCTGGAGGTCGAAGGCCGTAGCGCCCCCGTCAAGTTCTCCGCCCATCTCCGCGACGGCGAATGAATTTGGTTAAAATTGCGGTTACCACGGTTAATCGAGCAACTAACCGGTAACCGACCGGTCGGTTGCCGGCTAACCGATAGTTTCCGTCGGGCGGTTGGCGGTAGACACTGCTGGCATCGCGGTTAACCGATAACCGACATTTCGATTATCGGTTATAACCGATCTAACCGAAAATCCGGCCCTAGTCATGTACAGACAAAACGTAGTCCGTACGCAAAAAAGTTCTCCTCCCCGTCGTCGCCATCGTCAGAGTTCAGACTCAGGACGGTTAAGAACTTCTACAGCCGGGTAAAAAGTAGCCAATTGGGTTCTCCCGAACGCGAAGGAAAGCCAAATCAGAGACGTCAAAACCGACATTGACCACCGCCGTCTCCGTGTTGGGATGATATGCCGCTTCAGCCGTGGATCATCGTCCTTGCGTCAGTAACAATCCCAGGCGAGTAGGTGTTCTGCAATTCCAATTCCGTTGATGTCGTCGTCGTCGGAATCCATCTTTCTCGAGGACTTCGGTCAGAAAGTAGACCTAACCCGGAGAATCCGCGAAGTACTCGTCAACTATCCCGAGGGCACAACCGTTCTCAAAGAGCTGATTCAGAATGCGGACGATGCCGGAGCAACCAAGGTCCGTCTCTGTCTCGATCGTCGAATCCACGCCACTGAATCTCTCTTGTCTCCTTCCTTGACGCAGTGGCAGGGCCAGGCGCTCTTGGCTTACAATGACGCCGTGTTCACGGAGGAAGATTTCCTCAGTATTTCGAGGATTGGTGGGAGTGCGAAGCACGGTCAGGCTTGGAAGACTGGCCGGTTCGGAGTAGGGTTCAATTCCGTGTACCACTTGACGGATTTGCCGTCTTTTGTCAGTGGCAATTACGTGGTTCTGTTTGATCCACAGGGGGTTTACCTCCCCAATGTATCGACGGCGAACCCTGGCAAGAGAATCGATTTCGTCGCTTCATCTGCTATCTCCGTCTACAATGACCAATTCTCTCCTTACTGTGCCTTTGGGTGCGACATGAAAACTCCCTTTAATGGAACTATGTTCCGCTTCCCCTTGAGGAACTCAGATCAAGCGGCGACGAGCAAGCTCTCGAGACAGGCCTACTTGAATGAAGATGTGCTTTCTCTGTTCGGTCAGCTTTATGAAGAAGGTGTGTTCTCGCTTCTCTTCCTCAAGAGCGTGCTTTCAGTGGAGATGTATGTGTGGGATGTTGGAGAGCCTCACCCAAGGAAGCTATATTCTTGCTCGGTTAGCTCAGTGAACGATGAAGTTATCCGGCACAGGAAAGCTCTTCTGAGAATGACGAAGAATTTACGGCTATCCCCTACTCCTGGTTATGGGGACAGTGAGATGGATTCTTATTCAGTGGAGTTCTCGAGTGAGGAAGTCTGTGGAAGTGAAGTGAAGAAGAGAATTGATGTTTTTCAGGTAGTGCAAGCTATGGCATCTTCGAATAGCAGAATTGCTTCTTTCGCTTCCACTGCTTCTAAGGAGTATGATATTCACTTGCTACCATGGGCATCTGTCGCAGCTTGCATATCAGATGTAAGTGGCCCTTGCCTTGAGTTTATTTCTTCTTAATTTACTACGGTTCTGACACTCGGTTATACTGCTTCATACTTCTGCTCTAAGCTTGGATGTGTTTCGCCTTAGAACTATATCTGGGTTACATGTTTCAGGGGCTGGCTTGTCAAGGGTCTTCTCATAAATAGCACCTCATGTTGTTTTCATGTGATTGTATACAGAATGATGATCTGAAGCTTGGTCGGGCATTTTGTTTTCTTCCACTACCTGTTAGAACTGGATTGAGTGTGCAAGTTAATGCATACTTCGAGGTTTCTTCTAATCGCCGCGGCATTTGGTATGGGGATGATATGGATAGAAGTGGAAAAGTTCGTTCTGTCTGGAATAGGCTTCTTTTAGAAGATATTGTCGCTCCTACTTTCAGATGCTTGATGCTTGGTGTACAAGAGATGCTCGGACCAACATCTTTGTATTATTCTTTGTTTCCCGTTGGTCGTTTTGAAGAGCCATGGAGCATATTGGTCGAGAACATATACAGAAAGATCAGTGATGCTCCCATGTTGAATTCAGACCTAGATGGTGGAAAGTGGGTGACTCCACTTGAAGCCTTTCTTCATGACGGAGAGTTCACTAAAAGTAAAGAACTTGGTGAGGCCTTGCTGCAGCTAGGAATGCCTATTGTTCATTTACCCAATAACTTGTTTAATATGTTTTTGAAATATGCTTCTGGTTTTCAGCAGAAAGTGGTTACTCCAGATACTGTACGCCATTTCATTAAGGGTTGCAAATCTCTCCAGAAATTGAGCAAATTTTACAGGCTTATGCTGTTGGAATATTGCCTCGAAGATTTGATTGATTGTGATGTTGCAATCCATGCAAGCAACATGCCTTTGCTCCCGCTAGCAAATGGCGATTTCGGGGTACTTCGTGATGGCTCAAAAGGGTTCCCTTATTTTATTTGTGATGATGAGTTGGAACATATGCTGCTTCAGAAAGTATCTGATAGATTAATTGATCCAGATATTCCACCAAACATTGCAACCAGACTTTCTTCCGTTGCACAATCTTCAAACATAAATCTTACTATTTTCAAGATTGAAAACTTGCTGGAATTATTCCCTAGATTTATACCTAATGACTGGAAATACAAAGACAAGGTTGCATGGGACCCTGAGACTATTCATACTCATCCTACTGCATCGTGGTTTAAGCTGTTTTGGCAATATCTTCGAAGTCGCTGTGAAAAGCTATCCGTGTTTGGTGACTGGCCTATTTTGCCTTCCACCTCTGGGCATTTATACAGACCTTCTAGACAGTCAAGAATGTTAGCTGCAGATAACCTTCCTGGTCTAGTCCAGGACTCCCTTATTAAGTTTGGTTGCAAGATACTTGATCCCAGCTATGGGGTGGGACATTCAGAATTGTCTCTCTATGTGTCTGATGCTGATTGTGTGGGTGTCGTGGAGTCGATTTTTGATGCTGTCTCTTCAAATGGTGGCGTAATGGGAAGACCATTTCAGACTTTGCTAGTGGAGGAGAGAGATGAACTTCGGAGGTTTCTTCTTGATCCAAAATGGTACATGGGAGATCGCATAAATGAATCCGTCATTAGTACTTGCAAGAAGCTTCCCGTTTATAGAGTTTATGGGGGAACCTCTGTTGAAGATGCCATCTTCTCTGATCTAGGACATCCTCAAAAGTACTTGCCTCCCATGGATGTCCCTAGGAATTTCCTGGGCGTTGAGGTCATTATGTGCTCCTCTGCTACTGAAGAGCAGATTTTGCAAAATATTTTTGGAATTGAGAGAATGAAGAAGACACAGTTCTACAGGCAATATGTATTTAGTACTGTGAAGGACTTGCATCCTGGAGTGCGGGATCCTGTGATGCTCTCTGTCCTCCAAAACTTGCCACAGCTGTGTGTGGAGGATTCTTCTTTCAGAGAATGTCTCAGAAATTTGGAATTCGTCCCTACCCTAAGTGGGGGTATTAGGTGCCCTGTGGCTCTCTATGATCCTCGCAATGAAGAGTTGGCTGCTTTGTTGGAAGATTCTGATAGTTTTCCTTGTGGTACTTTTCTTGAACCTAATATTCTGGACATGCTACATGGCCTGGGACTCAAAACATCTGTTTCTCCTGAGACAGTTATAGAGAGTGCCCGACAAATAGAAAAGCTGATGCATGAAGATCAGCAGAAAGCTCATTCCAGAGGGAAACTGCTTCTCTCCTACCTCGAAGTGAATGCTATGAAGTGGCTGCCCAATCAATCAAGCAATGATCAGGGGACTGTGAACAGAATATTCTCACGAGCTGCAATTGCTTTCAGGCCGCGGCATTTGAAATCTGACCTTGAAAAATTCTGGAATGATCTTCGCTTGATATGTTGGTGCCCGGTAATGGTTTCTGCTCCTTTTGCAACTTTACCTTGGCCTCTGGTTTCATCCATGGTTGCTCCTCCTAGGCTGGTAAGGCCACAGGCCGATTTATGGCTTGTTTCTGCTAGCATGAGGATACTGGATGCAGAATGCTCTTCCACAGCATTAGCATATAACCTTGGTTGGCTCTCTCCTCCGGGAGGAAGTGCAATTGCTGCCCAATTGCTCGAGCTTGGTAAAAATAATGAAATCGTCAATGATCAGGTTCTTCGCCAGGAGTTGGCCTTGGCAATGCCGAGGATCTATGCTATGATGATTAGCTTAGTTGGTTCAGAGGAGATGGACATTGTAAAGGCTGTTCTTGAAGGTTCTCGTTGGATTTGGGTGGGAGATGGATTTGCTACTTGTGATGAGGTTGTTCTTGATGGTCCTCTACATTTGGCTCCTTATGTACGTGTGATCCCAGTAGATTTAGCTGTTTTCAAAGATTTCTTTTTGGAGCTTGGCGTACGAGAATACTTCAAACCCATTGACTATGCTAATATTTTGACCAGAATGGCAATAAGAAAAGGCTCCTCCCCTCTTGATTCCCAGGAAATCAGAGCAGCTATACTGATTGTCCAACATCTCGCTGAGGTTCAGTTTCATGAGCAAAATCTCAAATTATATTTGCCTGATGTTTCTGGAAGACTTTTCCCTGCGTCGGATTTAGTCTATAATGATGCTCCCTGGTTGCTTGGCTCAGATGAATCTGACAGCTCATTTGGTGGCGCATCAATCATGTCATTGAGTGCAAAGAGGACAGTTCAGAAGTTTGTCCATGGTAATATCTCCAATGAAGTTGCTGAGAAGCTTGGAGTCTGCTCACTCCGTAGGATATTGCTGGCTGAGAGTGCTGATTCAATGAATCTGAGTTTATCTGGGGCTGCGGAAGCCTTTGGACAGCATGAGGCATTGACTACAAGACTTAAGCATATACTTGAGATGTATGCTGATGGACCTGGTATTCTTTTTGAGCTGGTTCAAAATGCAGAAGATGCCGGCGCTTCAGAAGTGATATTTCTTTTGGATAAGACCCAGTATGGAACGTCTTCAGTACTGTCTCCAGAAATGGCTGATTGGCAAGGTCCTGCACTGTATTGTTTCAATGACTCGGTTTTCAGTCCACAGGATCTCTACGCCATCTCCAGGATCGGCCAAGAAAGTAAATTAGAGAAGCCTTTCGCAATTGGAAGATTTGGACTTGGATTTAATTGTGTATATCATTTCACAGACATTCCAGCATTTGTTTCTGGGGAGAACATTGTTATGTTTGATCCACATGCTAACAATTTGCCTGGGATCTCTCCTTCCCACCCTGGATTGCGGATCAAATTCGTGGGAAGAAACATCTTGGAGCAGTTTCCTGATCAGTTTTCTCCATTCTTGCACTTCGGTTGTGACTTGCAGCATCCATTTCCTGGAACGCTATTTCGGTTCCCTCTTAGAAGCTCTAATGTGGCATTGCGCAGTCAAATAAAGAAAGAAGCTTATGTGATTGAAGATGTCATGTCTCTCTTTGCATCTTTCTCTGGTGTTGTTTCTGAAGCCCTGCTTTTTCTACGCCATGTGAAGAAGATCTCTGTTTTTGTGAAGGACGGAAATGGTAGTGAGATGCAACTTCTCCACCACGTGCGCAGGAATTCTGTTAGTGAGCCTGAAATGGTCAATGCAGTTGATGATGTTTTCAGTCTTATTGATCGTAATCGTTTTAGTGGATTGGATAAAGATCAGACCGTCAAAATGTTGAGCAAATCCATAGACAAAGACTTCCTGCATAAGTGTCAGAAGATTGTCGTTGCTGAGCAAAACCCTTGTGGAAGCCTGCTTCACTGTTGGATAATGGGTGAATGTTTGGGCGCTGGAAGAGGAAGGAAATTTTCTGGAGGTGAATCTCATAAATCAATTCCATGGGCTTGTGTTGCTGCCTACATACATTCTGTGAATGTGGATGGGGAATATGATGAATCTGACATGAGCTGCCATTTCACACCGGACCTATTTAAAGTTTCTAATGCTTCAGTGCAAAGTAGGGAGAACTTCGAGGGCCGTGCTTTCTGCTTCCTACCATTGCCAATCAGTACTGGTCTTCCAGCACACATTAACTCATACTTTGAACTGTCTTCCAACCGCAGAGATATTTGGTTTGGTAATGATATGGCAGGGGGTGGGAAGAAAAGGTCTGATTGGAATATTTATGTCCTTGATAATGTTGCTGCCCCTGCATATGGCCACTTGCTTGAGAAAATTGCTATTGAGATTGGTCCATGCGATTTATTCTTTTCATATTGGCCAACAGCAGCAGTGTTAGAACCTTGGGCATCAATGGCGCGGAAGCTTTATCTATTTTTATCTGAATCTGGTCTTCGTGTATTATATACAAAGGCACGAGGAGGTCAGTGGATTTCTTCCAAACAAGCACTCTTCCCTGATTTTTCTTTTCATAGAATTCGTGATCTTGTGGAGGCATTATCAGATGCTGGTCTACCCTTGGTGACTGCCTCTAAGCTACTTGTTGAGCAATTTATGGAAGCATGTTCCTCATTGAACCTTCTAACACCACAATTGTTAAGAACCTTGTTGATCCGGCGGAAACGTGGATTCAAGAACAGGAATGCAGTTGTTGTAACCCTTGAATATTGTTTAGTTGATTTGAATCCCACTCAACCCGAAAATTTGTATGGTTTAGCATTGTTACCTCTGGCCGATGGTTCACATGCTAGCTTTGAGAAAAATGGGAATGGTGAAAGGGTTTATGTCACATGGGGCAATGAGTGTGGTCTTTTGAAGGATTCACTTCCTCATGTACTTGTGGATGTGGAACTTCCAGAAAGTGTTAAACAAAAACTGTGTAGCATTGCTGAGAGTGAGAAATCCAATGTTTCTCTTCTCTCCTGTCATTTGCTTGAAAAACTCTTTCTGAAATTGCTTCCAGCTGAGTGGCAGCTTTCAAAAAGAGTAACTTGGGCTCCTGGTCAGCAGGGTCAACCAACTCTAGAGTGGATGCGATTGCTATGGAACTACCTAAAGTCATCCTGTGATGACCTCTCAATCTTTTCTAAATGGCCTATACTTCCTGTTCAAGACAACAGTCTTCTGCGGCTGGTTCCAAATTCAAATGTGATCGAGGACAATGGCTGGAGTGAAAACATGCGCTCTTTATTGGTGAAAGTAGGATGTTTATTCTTGAGGAATGACTTACCTTTAGAACACCCGCAGCTTGGGAACTTTGTGCAGCCTCCAACAGCATCGGGGATATTAAAAGCATTTCTGGCTGCTGCTGGGAAGCCAGAGGATGTTGAGGGGATTTTCGCGGATGCATCCGCTGGCGAGCTGCATGAACTGCGGAGTTTTGTTCTTCAATCAAAATGGTTCATGGAAGAACAGATGGATGACTCACTTATTGAGCTCATCAAACAACTTCCTATGTTTGAGTCCTACAAAAGCAGAAAACTAGTTAGTCTGACTAAGCCTACAAAATGGCTTAAGCCAAAAGGTGTCCGGGAGGATCTCTTGGATGATGATTTTGTGCGTGCTGAGTCGGAGAGAGAAGGAATTATTTTGAGGAGATATTTGGAGATTAGGGAACCATCAAGAGTGGAATTCTATAAAGGTTATGTACTGAACAGAATGCCTGAGTTTCTTTCACAGCAGGGAGCTGTTTCAACAATTCTACAGGATGTGAAGCTGTTAATTACAGATGATGTCTCCATTAGATCTGCCCTTTCCGAGACACCTTTTGTTTTGGCTGGCAATGGATCTTGGCAACAGCCTTCAAGGTATATTTTGTACATGATAACTTCTGTATTCTTTCTTTATTGTCGGTCCTGGTTTCATTTCTGTGAATGGAAGTAGTAATTTGGTTTTCTTCTGGACTGACTGTAAGAATGAGGTCTTCTTCATTCTGCTTGAGCGACTTATTAGTTAGACCTGTGTTTGAAATTGCGTACTGTACAAGGCGTTTCAAACTGCAAGTGTTGTCTTTCTTAAATTCTTAGGAGTCTGAAATTCAGTATCTCATGGGATTTATTTTTGGAAAAGGCTGATTCTGCTGTGCTGCCTAATATTATGTGGAGGCTGTGACTGGCTTTATGTTTTTCATTCAACATCTCCATTTCACATTTTCTTCCTAATGTATGGCATTGATATGTGGCAAAGCTTTTTTTTTTCTTCTGTTGGGGTGAATTTCAGTTATTGGATGCTTTCAAAAGTAAATAAAGGTGTTTTTTTTTTTTTTTTTGCTTTCCTGTTTTCAAATCTATCCACGATGGCATATTGGCCACTATCCTGCTTTTCATGAAAGTAGTAAAAGTGGCCTATGGTGAGCAAACTCTGGCATGTAGTAGTAACTACGGTGACCAAACTATGGCACGTACTAGTAAAAGTGGCCTCATGAGACTTATTTAAGTGTCACTCTATATTGATGTTTTGCGTCAATGTTTTTTTGGCAGGCTATATGATCCTCGTGTTACTGAGTTGAGCAATGTGCTCCACTTACAGGCCTTCTTTCCTGCAGCTGAATTTTCTGATCAGGAAACTTTGGATGTTCTGGTCAATCTTGGACTTAGGAGAAGCTTGGGCTTCTCTGGTATTCTTGATTGTGCTAAAACAGTGTCACTGTTGCATGACTCTAGTGACTCTAAAGCAGTGGATTATGGGCAGAAGGTGCTTTCCTATTTAAATGCACTTGCACATAAGCTGTCAGCCAAGGATGGTGATGGCGTCCCTAATGAGCTTCATGATGATATAGGTGCTCAGAATATTCCAGCTGAAGATGCAGATGCTGCGGATATTGATTCTTCTGGGATTGACAGTAGATATCCTATCAATGATCCAAATATTGAATGGTTTTTGGAAAATTTCAGTTGTGATAAAGTGGAGGAGGAATTTTGGTCCGAAATGAAGACCATTGCTTGGTGCCCTGTTTGTAAAAATCCACCTATAGAAGGATTGCCATGGTTATCATCTAACAGTCAAGTTGCATCACCAGTTATTGTCAGACCTAAATCTCAGTTGTGGATCATGTCTAGTAAAATGTACGTCCTGGATGGTGAATGCAAGAGTATGTACCTGCAGCAAAAGCTTGGCTGGACAGAGCTCCTGAGTCTGGATGTTTTGTCTGCACAATTGATAGAGTTGTCTAAATCATATGAACAGCTCAAGCTACATACATCCAAGAGACCAGATTTGGATGCTGCATTTCAAGTGGGCATTCCTACACTTTATTCTTGTCTCCAAGAATATATTGGCAGTGATGAGTTTGTAGATTTGAAGACAGTTCTTCGTGGTGTTTCTTCGGTTTGGATTGGTGATGATTTTGTATCACCAACAGCACTTGCATTTGATTCACCTGTGAAGTTTACCCCTTATTTGTATGTTGTACCATCTGAGTTAACAGAGTTCAGGGAACTACTCCTTGAATTAGGAGTGAGACTGAGTTTTGATATTTGGGATTACTTTCATGTGCTGCAGCGATTGCAAAAAGATGTGAAAGGGCCTCTTTCAACTGATCAGTTAGGTTTTGTCCATTGCATCCTGGAGGCCGTGGCAGACTTTTCTTCTGAAAAGCCATTAGTCGAGGCCTCTAGTACGGCTTTGCTAATTCCAGATTCTTCTGCATTTCTTGTGTGTGCTGGGGACCTTGTATATAACGATGCACCATGGATAGAGAACAGTGTTCTACTCGGAAAACATTTTGTGCATCCAAGTATCAGCAATGATTTGGCAAGCATGCTAGGAGTTAAGTCTCTCCGCTGCCTGTCCTTGGTTGATGAAGACATGACTAGAGATCTACCTTGCATGGACTTTGGTAAAGTGAGTGAACTTCTTGCATTGTATGGGAACAATGACTTTTTATTGTTCGACCTTCTTGAACTGGCAGACTGCTGCAAAGCCAAAACACTGCACCTTATCTTTGACAAAAGGGAACATCCTTGCCAGTCATTGTTGCAGCACAATTTGGGTAAGTAGTAAGACTTAGGCTGAAAGTGTTAGATCTCAATTTTATTGTGGTTTCGTTAAGCCTGATTTCTTTGTTGCATCTATTTTCTGTTTGTTTAGTCATTACTTGTATTCAGGGACTAGCATATCTACTTTCTTTTATGAAATACCTTATGTACATGAGCAAAGTGATCTTAAGTTCACAATCTTAAATGCTAGTTACATCGACAATGTGAGCTCTGGTAAACCTATTAACGTATTTTTAAGTAGGTGATTTGATAGGACTATTTTTTTACCGACTTCGAGTAATGATTGTGCAAAGTAACTGGTTTTAAATATGATAATATTTGGTGGATATTATCTGAATTATTGATTGCTTGGTTTGAATCTGAGTCGTGCAGGTGACTTTCAAGGGCCAGCTCTCGTTGCTGTCCTGGAAGGTGTCAGCTTGAATAGAGAGGAGATAAGTAGCCTTCAACTTCTTCCCCCCTGGAGACTTCGGGGTGATACTATGAACTATGGCCTGGGAATTCTTGGCTGTTATTTCATATGTGATGTGCTATCCATTGTTTCTGGTGGCCACTTCTATATGTTTGATCCACGTGGTTTAGCACTTGGTACACCTTCAAGTTATGCTCCTGCTGCAAAAATGTTCTCCTTAACAGGTAATTTATGATGCACCATAGTCAATTGGCTTCCTCCTGCTCGTTCTTTCTGTTGCTCCTACAAATGCAGAATCCAATTCATTTTGCTTGAATTGTGATTTTCCTTCTCCCGTTCATTTATGAGATTATGTAGAAGGAAGTTCAAGACTACTAATGGAAGTTCTGAAAGTTGTACTGTAAATTGTAGAGGTGATCTCTTGAGCATACTTTGTTGCAATAGGGCATAAGTGAAGAAGCTTGCTTACGTTTGAAAAGATACTGAGGTATCATCTGTGCACAGTATCCTCATCCATCACAGCATGCGTTAGTTCTAGGACAGAAAGTGGATGGGCCTTAGAAGAAATCTCTTTAAATGATGCTAGGAACAGATGCTAGCTGTAGGCGAATTCATTGGCAGGAAGTTTGGTGCAGAATAGTATCTTAGTTGCTTGCCTTTATGGTTTCTATCTCTGGGAGGAAACTTCTCTACATGCCGTCTCCCTCCTTTATACTTATGGAGCATTAAATGAAGTAAGGACAAAAAGAGTTCCTTGCATATTTAGAGCTGTTCATAAGCTCTTCCGCTGTTCCAAGACTCTACATGTTGTAGCTTGTTTAGTATAGGAAAAATTAAACATTTAGTTGCCGTCTACTTCTTTACAAACAGGTCACTTATGTGATAGAGTGAATTTCTTTTTTGCTCATTTTCCCTGTGCTTTCGTTTTTATTTCTAATTAGTGGTTCCTTCTGGTATTTGAACTATTAGATTTCTGTATCAGGTACTAATTTGACTGAGCGTTTCAAGGATCAGTTTAAGCCTATGATGATTGATCAAGACTTGCCATGGTCTTCCTCAGATTCTACTATCATTAGAATGCCATTGTCATCCGAATGTCTTAAGGATGGTCTTGATTTGGGGTTGAAAAGAGTGAAGAGTATATTTGATAGAGCTGAGGAGCACGCGTCAAGGTTACTTATTTTCTTGAAATCGATTCTAAAGGTAGGAACTGTTGCCAATAGCCATTGGCATTCGTATGATCAAGCTTTGAGCATTACTTTAATAAATTAATAATTTATCTTGAAGTAGAGAGTAAGAAGACTGAACTATTTGCGTTCACATTTTTTTATCTTGAATCTAGCAAGTGAGATGATGGTAAAAAAGGACGTAATATGGGGATGTGGACTATGCCAATTCTGTTCGGTGTCATCTGAATCTTGTTCTCCTCAGTAGCCAACTAATTTATCCTGTTTCTAAAAAATATATGATCAAGTCATTTCTAACCAATAAAATTTCAGGTGTCACTCTCAACATGGGACGAGGGAAATAGACAGCCTCGTCAAGATTTTTCAGTTTCTATTGATTCTTCTTCAGCCTCATTGAGGAACCCATTCTCTGAGAAGAAGTGGAGGCAGTCTCAAATAGCAAGATTCTTCAGTAGTTCAAATGCTGCAACTAAACTGCATGTCATAGATGTGAAATTGTACAAAGGCACTACGAAATCAGTGGACCGATGGCTCATTGTACTTAGCCTTGGCTCTGGCCAGACCAGAAATATGGCTCTTGATAGGTAAAGTTGGAACTGCAATTTAAGGCTCTATGTTGCTTTTCATGATCGAAACTTGAACTGCTACATGAATTTGATACTGTGTTGCGGATGGATAGTTTGGTTTTCTTTCAATGGTCCAGTCGAGTGCAGATGTTACAAACATCCATAGTTCTTAAGCAGGAACCAGTAGAAGACCCAACATGTCATCCCCATACTTTGAAATGAAGCTTTTCGCTTATACCTGAGCCTTGGTTCATGGATCTTCTTTTGCTAGCTGCTCACTGTTTGCCTGTACTTGCGCACGCAGTATGTTGGCCAGAAGTTTCTTATTTCCCCAGTCACCTTAGAAGTGGTTAAGTATGGACCAGAGGTTGATCTTGTTGGTGAAATTGCTTTTTCACATGTTATATGCAAGTCTTTGGTGATCCTTTGATAATGTGTAGCAAAGTTGTGTACATAGAGAAGTTTTTTGTTCAAGTAATCGCTAAGTTTAGACAGGGAATAGCATTGAAGCACTGGCAGTTAATATTTTACTCCCTCTTTTTTCTATTTAATTCCTTGTTCAATAACACCTCTGTGTTACCTTGAAGGCGGTATCTTGCGTATAGCTTAACCCCAGTTGCTGGAGTTGCTGCTCTCATTTCAACAAATGAACACCCTGCTGCTGTCAACCTTAAGGGCTCTCTCATGTCTCCTCTTCCTTTGTCTGGAGTCCTACCTTTACCTGTCACTGTACTTGGATGTTTTCTTGTGCGGCATAATAAAGGTCGTACTCTCTTTAAGCTCCAGAATAGACGAGCAGTGACACAAGCACAGACAGAAGCTGGAGATCAGTTGCTTGAATCTTGGAACAGAGAATTGATGTCTTGTGTTCGTGATTCATACGTTCATATAGTGGTGGAAATGCAGAAGTTAAGAAGAGAGCCATCAAGTTCTGCTCCTGAATCAATTGCACTTCGGGATGCTGCACGGTCTTTGAAGGCATATGGCGACAAAATATATTCATTTTGGCCAAAATCTTATGGGAACACAATAATGAGTCAGCCTGGAGATGCCGATAACTCCATATCAGCCGATGTGCTTAATTCTGATTGGGAATGCTTGATCGAACGAGTCGTTAGGCCGTTTTATGTCCAAGTTTCTGATCTTCCAGTATGGCAGCTTTACTCTGGAAGTCTGGTCAAGACTGAAGAGGGTATGTTTCTTTCACTGCCTGGAAATGGAGTAGGCGATAATGTGCTTCCAGCGACCGTTTGTAGCTTCGTGAAGGAGCATTATCCAGTCTTTTCGGTGCCATGGGAATTGGTGACAGAGATCCAGGCTGTTGGGGTTGTGGTACGAGAAATCAAGCCTAAGATGGTTAGGGAGCTTCTGAAGTTTTCATCAAGATCTTTTGTTCTTCGGTCGGTTGACACCTATATTGATGTACTTGACTACTGTCTATCAGATGTTGAATTCCCTGAATTCTCAAATTCTGATGGAAATGATTTGGCTTCAGGGAGTCTTACATCAGCAACCATGCATAGGGCACCCAATAGAGTAGCTAGTTCTGCTTCAATGCCTGACATGCAGAGGTTTGATGGTTCATCTGCACAGGGTGCAGCTAGTTCTGGTGATGCTCTGGAGGTGATGGCTAGTTTGGGGAGGGTATTATTTGATATAGGCAGGGGGGTTGTGGAAGATATTGGTAGGTCTGGGGGACCCTTAGTTCCAAGGGATGTGGCATCAGATTCTAGAGCCAGATATCTTGATCCGAAGTTTCAACAAGTCGCAGGTGAATTGAGAGGCTTACCTTGTCCAACTGCAGCTGATAATTTAGCTAGACTAGGAAGTACTGAACTATGGATCGGTGACAAGGATCAGCAGGTTCTAATGCTACCTTTAGCAGCAAAGTTCGTTCATCCTAAAGTACTTGATCGATCCATCCTCTCTGATATATTTTCGAGGTGTGCCACACTAGCATTATTAAAAGTCAAGTCTTTCTCTTATCAACTACTGGCAAGACATATGAAGTTGCTTTTCCATGAGAACTGGGTGAATCATGTAATGGGTTCAAATTCAGCTCCATGGTTTTCGTGGGAAAATACATCATCTCATGGTGGCGAAGGGGGCCCGTCCCATGTATGGATACGATTATTTTGGAAATGCTATGGTGGGTCGTCTGAAGAGCTTTCTCTTTTTACCGATTGGCCTCTAGTTCCTGCTTTTCTTGGTAGGCCTATCTTATGCCGTGTAAAGGAACGGAATCTTGTTTTCTTTCCTCCCCCTCTCACAGACCAAGTACCTGGAAATGGAGTTACAGAAATGAATGATGACGCAGGAGATAGTGCAAATATTCACATGAGTCATACTACTGAAGGAAATTCTATGGAACCCTACATTTCAGCTCTGAATCAAGCCAAGAGCAGGTATTCATGGTTGTTATCACTTCTTAACCAGTGGAACATACCTGTGTTTGATGCTACATTTGCGGATTCTGCTTCCTCGTGTTATGTTCTTCCGTCTGCTAGTCAATCGCTGGGTCAAGTAATTGCCTCCAAGTTTGTTGCAGCTAAACGTGCTGGCTATTTCCCTGAAATCCTAACACTTCCAGATTTGGATCGAGAAGAGCTTTTTACTCTCTTTGCTAGTGATTTTGTTTCCAATGGTTCCAAATATGGAGTTGAAGAACTGGAAATTTTGCGCTCTTTGCCTATATACAAGACAGTTGTTGGATCTTACACTCAATTACGGGGTCATGATCAGTGTATGATCTCTTCAAATTCATTTCTGAAGCTGTCTGATGAGCGCTGCCTTTCTTGTTCAACAGATTCTGTCGGAAGTTCATTGCTCCGTGCCCTTGGGGTTCCTGAATTAGTTGATCAACAGATTTTAGTGAAGTTTGGATTGCCAGGATTTGAGAGGAAACTTCAATCTGAACAGGAGGATATCTTGATTTATCTTTACACAAATTGGCAAGATCTGCAGTCAGATTCTTCCTTAGTTGAAATTTTGAAGGAGACAAAGTTTGTTAGGAATGCAGATGAATTCTCAACAGATCTTTCCATACCTAAGGATCTTTTCGATCCAAGTGATCCTTTGCTAGCATCTGTGTTCTCAGGTGAAAGGAGGAAGTTTCCTGGAGAAAGGTTTAGTACAGAGGGCTGGCTTCGCATTTTGAGGAAATCGGGTCTTCGAACTGCGGCTGAAGCTGATGTGATACTTGAATGTGCTAGAAAAGTTGAATCTCTTGGGCGTGATGAAGACAAGTCAATAGAGGACTTCGGTGATTTCGGGAAAGATTTGAATTCTTCTAGTGATGCGATTTCTGCAGAAATATGGGCGCTAGCTGGGTCAGTTGTTGAGGCTATATTATCCAACTTTGCAGTTCTTTACAGCAACAGCTTCTGTAATCATCTGGGGAGGATTGCCTGTGTCCCTGCAGAACTAGGGTTTCCTAACATTAGTGGAAAGAAAGTGCTCACCTCATATAGTGAAGCAATTTTGGTGAAGGATTGGCCTTTGGCTTGGAGTTCTTCTCCCATTATATCTAGACAAAATTTCATTCCACCAGAATACTCTTGGGGAGTGCTACATCTGAGAAGTCCTCCACCCTTCGCTAGGGTCCTTCAACATTTAAAGGTAACAAGATTGTTTGGTACTATCCTCCCATATTTTGAACCTTGTCCAGTAACACCATACTAACAAAACATATCACAGGTAATTGGAAGAAATGGCGGTGAAGATACTCTTGCTCATTGGCCAACAGCATCTGGCATTATGACAGTTGATGAAGCATCATCCAAAGTATTGAAGTATCTGGATAGTGTCTGGGATTCTCTATCTTCTTCAGGTATCTCTACCTGAGCTTGTGTTGCAATTCCAACCTCGTTTAGTTATTTTAAGGGAATGATTTAAGTTTCATATTTGGTTCTATCTCAACAACTCAAAGTATTAGGATGAGCTGGTTCTTGATATGACATTACAGGCTTCTGTTGAGAGTCCTCGTGTTACGATTTCTTGACAATTATGTCGGTCATTCTCTTTCTCTTTGTACCTACTTTATTCGCTCTCTCTCTCTCTCTCTCCACCCATTTACCTCTAGGTGCTTTCTTTCTTCTTAGCGATATTATGTCAATTTTCTTATGCAGAGAAAAAAGAATTACAGGGTGTAGCATTTCTGCCTGCTGCTAATGGAACACGCCTGGTGATGGCGAGCTCTCTATTTGCGAGGTTGACAGTAAACCTGTCGCCTTTTGCCTTTGAACTTCCAACTCCCTATCTTCCTTTCGTGAAGGTCCTCAAAGAATTGGGCCTTCAGGATCTGTTATCTGCTGCTGCTGCAAAGGATCTTCTTCTAAACCTCCAAAAGGCATGTGGATATCAACGCCTCAATCCAAATGAACTCCGTGCTGTAATGGAAATCCTCTCATTTCTGTGTGATACATCTGTCAAGGCAACTCCATCCGATTTGTGCAACTGGAAAGAAGATGCAATCATCCCAGATGATGGTTGCAGACTAGTTCATTCAAGGTCATGCGTATATGTCGATTCTTATGGTTCTCAGTATGTAAATAGCATTGACACCACCAGATTAAGATTTGTCCACCAAGACATCCCAGAGAGGATGTGTTTACTTTTGGGCATCAGAAAGCTATCTGAAGTTGTTGTGGAGGTAAGGCTGTATGTTTGTTTTGGCTTTTGCTTCACGCCCTGGAACTCTTTGTTCAAAATTGATTTGTTCATTTTCTCACGGTCTGCGGACATTTGCAGGAACTTGATCAGGAAGAACATCTACAGCCACTAGAAAGTATTCGATCTGTGCCTCTCTCTGTTATCAGGAAGAAGCTGTTGAGCAGATCATTCCTCGATGCTGTGTGGACTATTGTGAATAGCGTAGCGAATCCTAATACCCCGACCACTAATTTACGAGTGGAAACTGTACATAGTTCTCTGCAACTGGTTTCTGAGAAGTTGCAGTTTGTTAAGATGCTCCACACTCGTTTCCTCCTCCTTCCAAGATCTCTGGACATCACTCTTCTAGCAAAGGATTCCATTATCCCTGAGTGGAAAGACGGGCCTAAACACAGGAGTCTCTACTTTGTCAACCGGTCGAAGGGCTTGGTTTTCGTTGCTGAACCGCCTCCTTACATATCTGTTCTTGATGTTGTTGCTATTGTAGTCAGTCAGATTTTAGGGTTCCCTATGTCGTTACCTCTTGGATCTTTATTTTTATGCCCAGAAGGTGGTGAAGCTGCTATTCTCGATATCCTCAGACTTCGTTCTGAGAAAAGAGAGCTGGACCCCACAACCAACAAATTGGTGGGCAAGGAGATACTTCCTCCTGATGCTCTTCAGGTACAACTTCATCCGCTGAGACCCTTCTATAAGGATGAAATGGTAGCATGGAGGTATCAGAATGGTGAAAAGTTGAGATATGGTAGAGTTCCGGAGGATGTCAGGCCATTGGCTGGCCAAGCCCTCTATAGATTGAAGGTAGAAACTGCACCTGAGACAGTTGAGCCTCTACTGTCTTCTCAAGTGTTCTCTTTTAGAAGCATATCAATGGGGAATGAAGCTTCTTCCTCTGTAATACCCGAGAGTAGTCAAGCAGTAGTTGAGACAAGGGGCCCTAACGAGACTCCTGAAAGTTCTGGTGGAAGCAAAATACCTAAATCTTCCCAGGTTTGGTTTTCAATCCGCTAGGCATTACAAAAATTGATTGCTTATCGTGTATGGATGGAGTCACGAGTTTAACTAATGGTGCCTTTCGTTTTTCATTAACTAACAGAGCTTGAAGGATCTTCAATATGGTAGAGTATCAGCTGGTGAACTTGTTCAGGTGGTACACGATATGCTTTCCACGGCAGGGATAAACATGGACGTGGAGAAGCAGTCTCTATTGCAGAGAACTTTGTCTTTACAAGAGCAGTTGAAAGAGTCGCAAGCAGCGCTACTGCTTGAGCAGGTACGGCGCACTTCCCCACTTCTGACATTCAATTTCTATTTTAGTCTCGGTTGCACTGTCTCGCAGAAGCAAATCATTTTGACAATCAGCATGAGCTTTCATGATACTCTCAGTTACGTTAGGGGTTCCTATTAGGTTTGTTCTGGTTATAACCGAACAAGAATCCTGTAAAGAAGCTTCTCCTGTTAATATTAATCGCCTTTATCCAAAAAAAGAATCCTGTAAAGGAGCCAGTACATGAAACAGTAACCAACATTAAGCTGACTGAGACTGTTAAGTTTCAGTTAAACCACCTAACGGTAAACGATTAACTCGAACTATTAACTGGAATCCGCAACACCGAACTGAGTTCCATGACAGCGTCGACCATGTCTTCGTGATTTTTTCTTTTTTGAAATTGATGCACCTGTATAATCGAACTGTCGAACTGTTAGACAACCGGTTACTTTACGGTGGTTGGTTATCTCGCATTTTCTCGTTCTTTATGCCTGCACATGTAGTAACTTTGAACTCTTGTTTGCAGGAGAAGGCGGAAGGGGCGAGCAAGGAAGCCGAGACGGCAAAAGCGGCATGGGTCTGCCGGGTGTGTTTGACCAATGAAGTCGACATGACAATAGTGCCTTGTGGTCATGTCCTGTGTCGCCGATGCTCCTCTGCTGTTTCTAGGTGTCCGTTCTGTAGGCTTCAGGTCACCAAGACCATAAGAATTTTCCGACCATAGAATCAGTCGGCTAAATCTGTCATAGCCATTAGCCATACTATTTTGAGCTTGCCACATTCTTGGTGTAGCTTAGCTTTCTTGGCCATGTCTGCACCATGTATATATAGAGATGCCAAGTTGGGCCGTGTTGCATGTATAAATCATTTTTTTCAGAAGCAAACTGCCTCTTCTCAGCTCCAGTTTTGGTGCGTACTGGTATGCCTAAAAACTGGAAGCCATCATCGTATCAAAATCTTGTCTATATAGCATTGGAATTTAACATCTTTGATCACTATTTATGTCATTAAACAATTCCCTTCCCACAGTATCATCTCGAGGAGTTCATTGGTTTATCACTTTGCACCTACCTCCTCAACTCAACGCTTTTGCTTTGGTACTAAGAGGCTTCTCATCCTTCTATTACTCCAAAGTAAACATGTTTTGTTTAATTTCATAGTTCTTACGTGAACTTCTTCGTTTCATTCCAAAATACGTCTTGTCAGTTAAGATTGAATTATTTTTTATGAATCAAAGTTCTCTCTCTTGTGCTTTGTTGTTATGAGATTTGCTTAAAGTGTTATAGTTACTCCACCTATTTTTATCGTTGTATCTCAGATTTTAGTTGAAATTGTCGAAATAATTGAATGAGATTGTTTCACCTATTGAAAAGTGATAATATTTTTGAAACTTATAACACAATCAATGTATTCTATAATGTGGAGTGGACTGAATATGTTCTGAAAGGGAGGGAGATTTCTCGCAGTGGATTTGCTGAAAAACCCAGTGTCTTGGGTGAGACGAAGCCGAAGAATCTGGAGTTCGGGTGCGGGTCTCGGATCCGAGCTTCGGGGGTCAGAGCTTCAACGACTTTCAGAGAATCATGACGGGATTTTCTGCCTTATCTTCGTCACGGGTTGGGAATAAGGAGCCTAATGATGTGGGTTGGCTTTTGTATAGGTCATGGGTTGGGACATGGGTTGGGTTATGGTTTTAATGACATGGGGGTTGGGATGATGTAACATGTGAGGTTCAGTGTTTTTCAGATTCTATGCGAGGCTGGCTAGGCGATTCTGTTTGCCACTTCAACATTTAACGGACTCCATTAATGAAATTTGACGGAGACTAACAAAGAATGACCAAACGTGGACTGTTGCATTAATCTTAGTAACTACAAATGAATACAAAAAATTTTAGTAACCAAATGTGCAACTTTTTAGTAATACCAATAACCAAACTTGTAATTTACCCAAAACAAATCATTATTCCCTCACCTCATCTTAGTTATTCTGCTAACTTGAAAATTCGTTAGTATATACTAACTAATATCCAAAATATATGAACTAATGTCCAAGTCTGCTAACTATCTAAATAGCACAGACTAGTATTCAAAACAACACAAACTAGTAATCAGATAGCAGATAGCCAGATACTAGGGCTGTCGGTCGGTTTCGGTTTAACCGAAAACCAATTTCTCGGTTATCGGTTAAACCGAGACCACGCTGACAGGTACCGGCCACCGACCGCCTAGCATGCCACGATTAGCCGCCAACCGACCGACCAGTTTCGGTTTCGGCTCGATCTAACCGTGGTAACCGTGAAACAACCCCAACTCTCCAAAAACCAAACAAAAACCTGAAAACCTAACCCTCCAAAAACCCACACCCCTCGCCCAAACCCATTTCCCCAATCTCCATCCCCAACATCCCCAAATCCCTATCCCTAACCCTAACCGCAAACTCTGCAATCTCATCTAATTGAATTGCAAAAACATCAAAAAGGAGAAGGGCGGCGGACGGCGGTGACTCGCTAGACTCGGCTGGGGATATTGGCGCCAGCGATGGAGGTCAGGGAGGGGGAGGGAGAAGGTGGAGGAGGCCTCGGGCTCTCGGCGGCCGGGATACTGGCGCCGGCGAGGAGGGAGGTCCAGGCGGGGAAGAAGGATCGTCGGAAGCAGTGAGCAAGCGAGATTTGTTCCCCCAAAGTAGAGGACTGACGAAGAAGAGACTAGAATGATTGTTTGAGGGTTCGTGAGATTAATGATCGGCGGTGGAATTGGTGGAGGAGGAAGAGAAAGAAGGGGAAGATAGATACAGATCTGGTGAGGGAGAGGGGGGAACATGATAGATCTGTCAAAGAAGAAGGGTGAATTTTCAAAGGGAAATGCATGCAAAGCAATAATTTTTTTATCTGATTTGGGCGAATCCGTTTCTTCTTCTTCTTCTTCTTCTTCCTCGTCCTCCTCATGGATTTGGGAAACTTTGTAGATGTGAGAATGGCGATGAATATGGATAGGATTTTGGGAAGGTTAAGTGGGTCTCGGTTGGGCCCGGTTAGTCGGATAACCGCGGTTAACCACCGTCGGTTACTCGGTCAACCGACCCCTTCCTTTTCCCATCCGACCACCGACCATCACGTTAACCGGTCAGTTTTCGGGTTGCTGGTAACCGGCGATTTTCGGTTAAAACCGACGGTTACCCGCTAACCGGAAACCGAAATGCCAGCCCTAGCAGATACCAACTAATATCCACAACCAACCAACTAGTATTCAATATGGATACTCTTATGTGTTATCTAGATACTCTTATGTGTTATCTGGATACTAATTATGTGTTGTTTGAATACTATTATGTGTTGTCTAGATATTAGTTTGTGAATTTGGGATAATAGTTGATTCATGGTGGATATCAGGTAGCAAACTTTGAATACTAGTCTGTGCTCTCTAGATACTTTAATTTTTGGATATTAGTTCATGTATTTTAAATATCAGTTAATATATGCTAACGAATCTTCAAGTTAGCAGATTAACTTCCCCTCACCTCAGCTACACAACACTAACAGTTTTAACACACTAAAGTCTAAACGACACTGTCCAGATCAGAGCTGAACTGTAAAGTAGCCTCGTGAGTAATGAGTCGACGACCCAGACTAAACCAGACCAGCAATAAACAAAACAAAAAAAACGAAATGGATATGGATCAGGGAAGCTCCACCGTGACGTGACTGTGGCGGTCCTCCTGGCAGTGCCGATTTGATGCCATCGCCGTACACTTACGCACAGATTGCCCATCAACCGCGAGCTTTGACCGCGGCTCCGGCCCACGGCGGAGGGAGACGGAAAGTATCAATATGACGACGACTCAAGGTGGGTCGCCGTGGGCAGATCTCCCCGACGAGATCCTCAAAGCCATCGGCAGCCGCGTCGATCGCCCCGTCAACGTCCTCACCTTCTGCTCCGTCTGCTACTCCTGGCGCTCCGCGGTCTCCATCCCCGACTTCGGCCAGCTAATTCCGCCCCTCCAAGTCCGGCTCCCTTACCCCACCGACGTCGACGGCGTCCTCACCCCCTCCACCATGTACTGCGCGGAGTTCCAGCCTCCGATCCCCAATGGAGATTCAACCTCCCACGCCGACGACGCCGCGTGGGGCGGCGGCGGTCGGCTGATCAAAATCGAGGAATCCAACCGCGGAAAGCTGCAGCTCCTGAACCCTATCTCCAACCTCAAGCTCCGATACTCTCCGATTCAATTGAGCTTGGCCGACTTCCACGTCGTTCAATTGAGCACCTCATTCCGCCTCAGATTGCGGACTGGATTCACAGCTTTCGAGGTAAACAAAGTCATCCTGTTTCCCCCCTCTGCGGCGTCGTATTCGCCGCCCCAACAGGAGAGAGTCACCGTCGTAGCCATTTTCCAGGAAGGCAGATTAGGGTACTGGCGAAACGGAGACGAGTCTTGGACTCTATTAGACGACAAAAATTTCGATTACGACGACATAGGTCCGCACCGGGGTCAATTCTACGTCGTCGACAGATTGGGGAAACTGTCTCGGATCGATTCGTCCTTGAGTTTCGTCGAGTCCCGCTCACCGCCGCAGATCCCCGATGGCGGCGGCGGGCAGAAGAATCTGGTGGACTCCGGTGGGGATCTGTATCTGGTCGACAGGTATTTGGAAGGATGTGGAGGATGCGCTTAACAACAGCTTTCATGCAATCCGGTACCTTGTGGGAACGGGGAGGAGCAGGAAATGGAACCCTAGAGCGGTGGATTTCAAGGTCTACAAGCTGGACGAGGAAATGGGGGAATGGGTTGAAGTGAAGTCGTTGGGGGGTGATGAAACAGTGTTTGTGCTGACGACAGAATGTTGTTTCTCGGCTCCGGCTGCACAGGTCGCCGGTGGGAGAAGGGATTGCATTTACTACTCGGATGATGATGATTATGTGGCCAGAGTCATGTTGACTACTGAGAGCATTCAGGTGTTTCAGTTGGAGGATGGTAGTATTCAGGAAGTGAAATCGTTGCCTCGCGAGTCTAATATATTTCTACCTCCGGGCTTTCGTACCGAGTTCTAGACTGCAAAAGGAGCCGCCATCGTTGACTTGTTGTTGTACTTCACATCCTTGTTTGTTTCACTCTCTTGGCTGTCGCCTTTGATTGATTGCTTTGTTTGGTGCTTCGGCTGCTTGATAGTTTGCTGTGTTTGGTCATTTATATCGCGAGGGAAGGGAAGGGAAGGGAAGGGAAGACAAAGGCATTTTGATTCACAATGTTTAAGACGGGAAAAGATAGTATAACAACAGTCCGTATGTTGTTACGGTACCAACAGCAATCATTAAGGACAAAAAGGTAATTTAATATAAAATACAAAATAAAATTAAAATCTTCTTCTCCATTGCTAATTCCCGATGCCCCAATTTTCCCTTTCCATATCTGGGTTTCTCCTCCGTCTCCGCCTCTCTTTCCTTCTTTGTTCCTCCGCCGATCAATGCTTCCACACGAGCCTTCCACCGACGATCCCCACCACCGATGTCCTTCTCAGGCTCCTCCCGTCGCCGGCAGCCGACGTGTACTTCCTCAAATCCATCAGCTCGTGGCTGCCCACCTCGTGCTGCGACTCCCACGGCTTCCGATCATCGTCATTCCGCAGCTCGATGAGGGTGTTCTCAGTGTCATCGACGAGCCGGTGGAGGTAGCGCGGAACCCCATCAGCGAGGTAGCGCTCTTGCTCACTATCCCCTCTCTTTTGATGTTGAAAACTCCCAAAAAATTGCGCCATCCTTTAAGATCGTCGTCGTCTTTGACCTGGGATTCCAGATGTTTGCCTGTTCCCGTGACGGAACTGTCGAAAATTTGAATTCTACCGCTACTAGAGGGTACGTGAACGAAAGCAGCAAAAGGCTCCGCAACCATGGCGCAGCCGGCTGCGGACGACTTCATCGAGGCTCTTATGCTGCCTCGTTGCAGTTCGTATCTCTCAAATTCCCAGAAATTCGCAACCATGATGGTAATTCATTCCAAGGCTTTCCGCGCACTAAGAGTCTATGCTTCAATTGCTTTTCTTTCTCTCCATCTCGTTTCTTTCATTCATTAGTACTCCAATTCAATTTGTTATTTCTAATGACCATTTGAATGGACAGTGAAGAGAATCATTGATCCTGGGAAAGCTATTTTCAAGTTTTAAGTTGATATTTGTGGTATCTATTGAGATGTGTTGTTTAATTTTGTATTCATTTGTTAGTTATCGACACCCTAAACCTCCTAATACAAATCACAAACGCAATAAAAACAAACAACAAAACGCATACCAGAAACCTCATAATGCAAACCAAAAATTCCCTAAAACAAACCAAAAACCCCACAAAGCATACCACAAATATTCCGAAAGCACACCAGAAACCTCAGAATGCAAACCACAAACACGGTAAAGCAAATCACAAACCTCCTAATGCAGACCACAAACATATTATAACAAACCAAAAACCCCACAAATCAAACCATAAAATTTTCGAAAGCACACCATAAACTTCTTAAAGCAAACCAGAAACACAACAAAGCAAACCAGAAACCTACTAATGCATACCACAAATCTCCTAAAACAAACCACAAACCTCACAAAGCAAACCACAACATTTGCGAAAGCACACCAGAAACCTGCTAATGCAAACCACAAACATAGTAAATCAAACCACAGAAAAGCAAACCAGAAACGTCCTAATGCAAACCACAAATATATTAATACAAACCAGAAACCCCTCAATGCAAACCACAAATTTTTTGAAAGCAAACCAGAAATTTCTCAATGCAAACCACAAACACGATAAAGCAAACCAGAAACTTCTCAATGCAAATCACTAACACGATAAACCAAACCACAAAAGACATACAAAAATATGAGAAACCAAACCATAAATCTCACAATGCAGACCATAACATCCGGTGGTCGTGGCCGTTGACTGGTCAAGGAAGTTCGTTGACCGTTGACCGGTCAATGAAGTTCCTTGACCAAACTCCGATGACCGTCAGTGAGTAGATTCCTGCGCCGATAGGCATATTCCGGCCCCGATGACTAGATTCCGATGCCGGTAAGCATATTCCGACCACAGTGAGCATATTCCGGCGACAATGGTATATTCCGATGACAAACTAGCATATTTCGGCGACAAAAAGCATATTCCGGTGACCGGAGACCAGTTTCCGGCGACCGGTGACAGAATCCCGGCGACCAAAATTTTGGGCCGAAAATAAAAAATTTATTTTTTATTTTTTAATTATTATTTAAACATATTTTTCATAATGACAATTATACCTCTGCTTTAATTTTACACTAGGTCAACTCATCTAATAAAAAGTCATCACAACCCTAGCTTCCTATTGGTTGGAGACTAGTGTTGTTACAATAACAACACAAGGGGTGTTGTCATAGTAACTGGTCTCGTTTAAGACATTTCCAAATGATCAAATATTAGCCAAATATTTTTTGCATTCGAACTTATTGAAATACTAATAGTTAGACAAATATTACCCCCCCCCCCCCCCAATTTTTTTGTTAGGGGTCGTTTGGATGGAGAAATTCTAATAGATCAATCTGCCACAATTGTCTCGTTTTGAGACAATTGGATCAGATTGACTCGTTTGGCGGTATAAAATTTGGATGAAGCAATTTGCCCTGGAGAATTCTGAATTGACTCGTTTTGAGGCAATTACAATTGTCAGGGGTGGAGACAAATAATTCGAATTGACTCGTTTTAAATGACTCATTTTATAAAACAAGACAATTAGCTAAATTGCCTCGTTTTGCAATTGATCCATCTAAACGACCCATTTAGTAATAATGACTAGTCAATATGATAGTGACTTAGAAGAAACACATGTAGGTCAACATTTCAAAAATTTAACTAAGTAAATAGTTATAAAATTATTAACAATAATATTAAAAAAATGACTCGAATTATTAGCCGACTAACCGATCATTTCGGTTTAATTTTTTGGTTAGCGGACTAACCGGGCACCGACTATGTCCCCTAAAAAAAGTACGCTCCTATAGGATTTGGGGTGGAGATGGGCAAAGAAAGCCCAATTGAAATATCAATATTCCTCTATCGGGCGGAAAAGTTAAGGGGCCGGGTTTGATCCGGGGATGAATTTGGGCTGGTACACGTGGCATATCGACGAGACGCTTTAAATTGCCCGCGTAGCCGTTGATGATAACAACCACAGGATAAGAAGAGAGCGAAAGAGGAACGAACAGAAGAGCGGAGCGCTTTCTAGCAACAATGGCGTCCGTAACTTCTCCCTTCACCACCACCAACGCCTCATTCCTTCTCCGACCAAACTCCCAGACTCACCAGCCTTCTCAACGTTCCTTTCCAGCGCCTAGAGCCTGCCTGAACGAATCCCAGGACCACCACCGTGTCCAGCTGAACCGGCGGCAGTTCATTTCACAATCCGCCGCCGTCGCCGCTGCCATAGCCCCTCCTCTCACTCTCATCGATCAGAGGCCGGCAGTAGCCGCCGAAGAGGCGCTTTCGCAGTGGGAAAGAGTTTACCTCCCTATCGACCCCGGCGTCGTCCTCCTCGACATTGCATTTGTCCCCGATGACCCACAACACGGTAACCCTCTCTCTCGAAAATGTCAATTCGGGGTAAAATTCTAGAATTTGAATTGAAATCGAAGCTTGGTTTCATGTATAGGGTTTGTATTGGGAACGAGGCAGACTCTTCTGGAGACGAAAGACGGGGGAGCTACTTGGTTTCCGCGATCCATAGCTTCAGCCGAGGAAGAAGACTTCAATTACAGGTTTAATTCCATCAGCTTCAAAGGAAAGGAAGGTTGGATTGTCGGGAAGCCTGCGATTTTGTTGTACACGCCTGATGCCGGCGAAACCTGGAAGAGGATACCACTGAGTGCTCAGCTCCCTGGAGACATGGTGAGTTTTGAAATGGTGTTCGATTTTGAATGAAGAATTTGTGTTTCAAGTCTGGCGCTTTCAGTTGTAATGTCTCTCTAGGTATACATTAAGGCAACTGGAGATCAAAGCGCGGAGATGGTCACTGACGAAGGTGCCATCTATGTTACATCAAATAGGGGATATAACTGGAAGGCTGCAGTTCAGGAGACTGTTTCAGCTACGCTGAATAGGTAGGTGAATTTCTAATATTGCTTGCCGTAAGTAAATGATGATAGTAAAGATTGCTTGGAGAACAGTTCAACTTAATAATGGTGAAAGATGTTGATGCGGCTTTTATTCTTTTGCAGAACAGTTTCTAGTGGTATTAGTGGTGCAAGTTATTATACAGGAACCTTCAATACTGTTAATCGGTCTCCAGATGGAAGGTATGTTGCTGTCTCCAGCCGCGGCAACTTCTATATGACATGGGAGCCTGGTCAGGTGACAGCTCTTTCCTCACTTATAGTTCTGCTGTCCATCTCAAGATTAGACTCTGGAGCTTTTTTTATTCTGAATTTTGCTTTGTTTTCTTGCGAAGTAAGGGAATCGGTTAAATCATCATCTGAAATAGATTTGGTTTGCGTTCTCATTAATTGGGTGCAGGCATTCTGGCAGCCACATAATAGAGCTGTAGCAAGAAGGATTCAAAACATGGGATGGAGAGCTGATGGGGGTCTTTGGCTTCTTGTTCGTGGAGGGGGGCTTTATCTCAGCAAGGGAACTGGGGTAAGTGAAAAGGAACTAACTTACTCTAAGTTGTAGAAACCTGGTATGCTCGTTCTTTTCTTTGTATACTGATACTTATCCTTTTTTGAGTTTGTTTCTTCTTTTCCCCACTTCCCTTTTCTTTCATGGCTTGGTCATTTCTGGCTCTTCTTGATGCGCAAGTTTGTTGTTTGTCATTTCTAGATAACTGAGGATTTTGAAGAAATCCCTGTGCAAAGTCGTGGTTTTGGCATTCTTGATGTTGGTTACCGCTCTCAGGTAAGTGTTTTGGGATTTTTATGTTTCGTTAGTGAAAAAAGCCATGCTCTAGGTTACTTTTCTTCTTGCAGAACTGCTTGGGATTTTATGTTTACAAAATGCAATCTGGATAAGAGCTGATGAGCTTTGATGTCTCTTTGGAATTCGTAAGGTTAATCGTTCATGAATGTGTTTTCCATGCAGGAGGAGGCTTGGGCGGCAGGGGGCAGCGGAGTGTTGTTGAGAACCACCAACGGAGGCAAGTCATGGATTCGAGACAAGGCAGCAGATAATATTGCTGCAAATCTCTACTCAGTGAAGTGAGTGCAACCTTACGGCTTAGATTAATCTCAAATGTTTCTTCTAGCCTTCAGCAACTCTTAATGTTTGCTTTCATGGCAGGTTCATGGAGGGAAATCAAGGGTTCGTTCTAGGAAATGATGGAGTTTTGCTACGGTATCTCGGTTAATGTGCTCCACGTATTGAGGTAGTTCGTAGCATTTTTTATACTTTCTGCTCCATAAGAAGAGTTGTGATTGTTACCCAGCAGTAGCTCAATTATGACATGTTTGTAGGTTCAAATGAGCGACGATGCAGTTTAGGGTGCTCTCAGACACTTTCAATACACTCTGTTCTGCAGAAACAGGGAAAGCTGTGTGTGTGATAAAAAGAGAGGAATTTGTGTATATCTATCATGTATTATTACTGTCTTAGCAAACCAGATTCTTATCCGAAAGGGAACCAATGGAAATGGATTGAGACTGTGGAACAGAGAACATCAAGTAAGCTTGATGTCAAAATGAGTTTTGTGTATAATCAAAAGTTTACCTGGGAAGCTCGGAACCAGTCAATGCTAAAGCTGTGACTAGTTACGTCTCTTAACAATTTTGTCCCTTACTGCTGTTAGCTTAGTTACAGCATCACTTATGCCCATTCGTTCTCTTGCAATTTCATTTGAACATTCAACCCCAACTTGTATAATCGAAACCACTGCCTCTGGGAACACCTGCTTTTCATTCGTTCTCGATCTGCTGCTGTTGTCATCTTGTCTTGGATCAATGTAGTCTGCTGCATTATCACCAAGAGCCGCTGCAAAGTTGTGGAGATTCAACCCGTCTCTGAATGTTTCATCAGTAGGCCTTCTCCCTGTGAACATCTCCAGCAAGAGGATGCCATAGCTGTACACATCTCCATTGGTGGACACTTCACTCCCCATTCCGTACTCTGCAAGTTTCCCCAGATCCAGAGTCAAGCAAATGGCAGAACAGGGAAAATTTGCTGGAATAAGGCGAAATTGGTGAAGGAAAGCTTTTTACCTGGCGCGCTATAGCCAACTGTTCCTCGAACAGCAATTGAAGAAGAGTTTGTCGTATGATTTGCTAGAGCGTTGAGTTCCACTTCTGGAAGGAACTTTGCTAACCCAAAGTCTCCAATGTGTGCCACCATATTGACATCGAGCAGGATATTGCTAGGCTTGAGATCACAATGCACTACGGGTACTCCACTCTCGTTATGAAGATAATCCAGTGCAATGCCAACATCAATGGCTATGTTCAACCTTTGGAGGAGACTCAACTCTGTCCTCCTTTCTGTTGCTTGTTCATCAAGACGCCCTGGATGAAGCCATTCCTCCAAACTCCCATTAACCATAAACTCATACACCAGGGCCTTGAAATCATTGCCTTGAAAGTCGATTCCTGAACACACAGTCAACAACTTAACTAGATTTTTGTGCCTGATGTTCTTCAGCACTTGGCATTCTGCTACAAAGCTCTTGAACGCTCGGGAATGATGAAGGTTCAGCACTTTGACTGCAACAAATATCTTGTTGGCGTCATCTATGGCTATAAGCCCCTTGTAGACAGAGCCATAGCTACCGACTCCGAGCAAATTAGCAGGCGAAAATCCATCAGTGCCTTGGAGTAGATTATGATATGTCGGCCCCAAAAGTGTGTACCCAGTAAACGGTGAAGCTGCTTCGGGGTCTTTGATTTTCTTCCTCAAGAGACAAAAGTAGAGGAATGAAACAAGCAGAGTGAGCCCCAAGAAACAACTTACAGTCGATATTATGATCTTTACTATCGTGTTGAGACCGCCTTTCTTGGACCTCTCCCTAAGGCATTTTGGTAATCCAAACTCTGGCATTCCCCCACAGAGCTCTTTATTTCCTGCAATCAAAGTTGTGGTTGAATTCCTGAATACGCCCTGCATTGACAGGGCCCCTTGGAAATGGTTGTAGGACAAGTTGAGGGTCAGCAGCGAACTGAAATCCTGCAGAAAGTCTGGGATTTTTCCTGATAAGTTGTGCGAGAGAGGTCCAGAAGCGCTAAACCTTTGAGCGTCCTAAGAGATGAAGGGATAGAACCCTGAAACAAGTTTCCCATCAGGTTTAGGTTCTCTAGTCTCACGCATCTCCCTATACTCAACGGGATTGAACCGGAAAGCACATTATTGCTGAGATCAAGTCGACCAAGGTTGACCAAGCTTCCGACTTCCTCTGGAATCCGACCACTCAACCTGTTCCTTGAAAGATCAAGAACACGACTCAAGTCCGGGAGATTGAGAATCTCCGGCGGAATCTCCCCGCTGAGATTGTTGTCTGCCAAATAGAGAATCTCCATATCCTTACATTTCCCGAAACTCGCCGGAATCTCACCTTCCAGTTGATTCCCTTGCAGCCAGACCCCGAGTAACGTGGTTGAATTCCCGATATTGGAAGGAATGCTTCCTGACAGGCTGTTGTTCTGAACCTGAAGAGTCATGAAGTTGGGGAGCATCCCCAATTCAACAAGCAGATTGCCGGAAAGACTGTTGCCCAAGAAATCCAGCTGTTCCAAGTTGACCAGCCTGTCGAGCCCCGCCGGAATAGTTCCGGTGATCATCGGGTTGAAACGTAGACTCAGCCTGACGAAAGTGGCGGAGTAGTTGCTTATGCTGTGAGGCAATTCGCCGGAGAAATTGTTCAATCCGATGTTGATCCCTTGGAGAAGGGTGCTGTTGGTCAAGGAATGGAGGAACAACAGATCATCTTCTACACCTCCACTTCCTAAGCTGTTGTTCATCAGTCCCAGGAATTGAATCCTGTTCAGCTTTGACAAAGAAGGCACTCCGCCGTGGAAATAGTTGTGGCCCAACTCGAAAGCTTGCAGGTTCGTTGCGTTGGAGATTGACCCAGGAATTCGACCGGAGAAATTGTTGTAAGCCACGTTGAGATGGACCAGATTCGGCAGAGTGAACCCGATATCCGGAGGCAGAGTTCCGGTGAGTTGATTTTCAATGATGCTTATGGTGTGAATGGAAGAGGAGTTGAAGAATTGAAGTGGGAATGAACCCGAAAACCGATTCGCCCCAAAACTAATTAAACCTAGGTCTCTCAATCGGGCCAGAGACTCGGGAATTCCGCCGACGAATTCATTCCTAGCCGCGGAGATCGTCTGGAGGGAAGACGCGTTGCCGAAGCAGGAAGGGAAATTCCCGCTCAAGTTATTGAAAGGAATCGAGAGTAACTGGAGGTTGATGAGATTGCATAGCTGTAACGGGACTTCGCCGGCCAAGCTGTTGAAGGCAACTCCCAATCTGGTGAGATTCGAGCAGGCGGAGAGGTTCGGCGGTATGGAGCCGGAGATGGAATTCTGAAATAGAACGAGCACCTGAAGGCGTTGCAGACGGCCGATTTCCGACGGGATTTCGCCGGAGATGGAGTTGTTGTTGAGGATAAGGTGGGTTAAGAAGGTCAGGTTGCCGATGTGTGGGGAGATTGAGCCGCTGAGCTGCCTTAACTTGAGGTCGAGTTGGGTTACTCTCTCTTCTTCCTCGTTGTTGCAGGTTACTCCCTGCCATTGGCAGAAATGGAGGCTTTGGTTCCATGAGCTCAGAGCTCCAAGTGGGTCTACCAGTGTGGATTTGAGTTGGAGAAGTGATAGTCTGTCGGTTTCGTTGCCACCGGCGCCGGTCGCCGGCTGCATATGTTTCTGTGAGACTACAAGAAGGATAAGCAAGAGAATCGGGAGAGTGGACGTGGCCATGTTTGTTTTCTTCACAGGTTTGTTGAGTGCAGAGGCAGAACCCAGAAGGGTTACAATAATACGGTGGTGCGAAGAATATACGTGGGAAGCTTACATTTAAAGGTTGTAATCATTGAATTGAATTGAATTGAATTGACGGGAAGGAATTCTGTGGGAAAAAGAGCAGAAGTTAGGTTTGCTAGAATGAGAGAAACAAGTGGGCAGAGGTCTCCAATTTGCGTTGAGGTGCGTGATGGGGGAGTTTTTATGTATATGTACCAATGTTTGCGAAATCGTATTGTATTGGTTGTCCAATTATAAAAACAATATTCTTGGAGACTTACTTGTATTAGATTTATAGTGTTATGATACAATTGAATCACGATCTGGTCATGAATTCAGCACAAAATACTCTACTGCTAATAGTTTTAGTACGATTTTACAATTTTTGATATGTATACTTAGCATTGGTATCATTGCCCTTTTCTTTTATGTTTTTAGAGGTGAAAAGAGACCAAAAACATATTAAGTTATGTTTTCATTTATTATTGTGATAACATGAGCTGACAACACAAAATAAATTAGGTGAAATCACTTTCAATTGTTAGATAAATTCATTCAAGTGAATCTATGACCAAACACCCACTGTGTACACATTTTTTCTACTCCATTTTTTCAAAACTTATCCGCAAAACTTTATTAGCAATATTATTTTCATATTTTTCTCTCTAAACTTTTTTGACTCGTTAGGTGAGACTATTCCTCCTATTATTTTTTTATTATTTTGTCTTAGTCTCAAATTAACATTAAACGAGACATAAAGAAGTAATGAAATACGATTATCTTTCTAATTGTCAACTTTCATCATTTTCAGATATTAACTAAATTTATTGTCTATTTTCATATTGTTGTGGTTGTATCTCTAATGTTACAACCATATCACAACCGCAACAAAAATATTTTAAAAGCGAGTTTCCATCGGATCAGTCGGGTCAATTCATCTAAATTAATTATAGAAAGTCAAAACGATATGCTGGGAATATCCTACTAATAAATTATTTCGGGGTTCCCCTTCAAAGTTCAAACTCCTAGAAATTTAAAAAAAATCCTACAAAAATAAAAGATTTTGAAAATTCAAACTAGAGTAATTTCTCTAACACTAATACGCAATCATAAGCTTAGTTTGGCCCTGCTGTAGCTTTTGCAGAAGGAGCTTCTGGCTGGAGCTTTTAGATAAGTACTTAAAAAAACAGTTGAGTGTTTGGCTGTAAAACTATTAGAAGTGCTTTTTAATATAAGAGGTTGTGTAAAATGACTATAAAGGACTTATAATATAAAATATGAATAAAAATTCTAAACAATAAAAAGTAGTCAAAATGGATCTTGTTAGATTTCTTTTAAATTAAATAATAGGGCTAATACCACTGGAAATACCATCCTTTAGCGAAAGTGCCATTAATATTACATCGTTTTCGATATGCCATTTGTATACTAAAATGTTTTCTCCGTTAGTTGGTCCGTTAAACATAACTGGCGACTTTTCAACGCCCAATCAGCGCTTAATAGGATCCTACGTAGCTCGCTGACGTGGCTTATTTAATGAAATGAAAAAATAAAAAATAAAAACAATTCTCACCTCCCAGTCCTTCCCCCTCCACTAATATCATCTTCTTCTCCAAATTTCCCCAACCCCCCTAAAAAGCCAGCACAGCTCTGCCTCTGCAGCCGGCAAATCCACCACGCCCACCGCCGCCGTCGCTCTAGCTGTCACCCCAACCTCTTCCCCGGTCATCGTCCCTCCTCCCAAGACCATCCCATCTCCTTCCACTTCCAAGACCCCTGCGCCCAGCCTTCCCCATTCTGCCACGTCGTCTCCCTCCACCTCTCCAACTGTTCCGACGACGTTTCCCTCTCCTTCACCGCCCTCAAGTCCCTCTCCACCCTCCAGTCTCTCTCTTTCGCCGACTGCCCCATTACCGCTATCCGTTTCCCTTCAGATCTCGACCTCGCCCTCTGCTCACCATCACGAATGGGAATCTCACGGGCTCGATTCCGAAGCATTTGGTCGAGAATCTCACCCGTGTGGATCTTTCGGGCAACAGGCTTAAAGGAAGGATACCCAGTTCAATTGCAATCCTCGAGAATCTAGAAACCCTCAATCAGGTAGAAAGATCTCATTTCGGCACAGGAGCTCCATTGTTTCCAAAACCATCAGTTCCGCCCCTGCGATCAAATCAAACCAACTGTTCCGCCTCCTTCTCCTGGACAACAATCGGCTCCTTCGGCTGCGGATTCATCGGATTCGGCGGCAATTGGGGAGGAGGAATGGCAGAGTAATGCTGCGGCGGCGGCGGTCTGTGTGGAGGCTTGAGATTGGGAGTTTCGGAGGAGAGGCCTGATGCTGTAAAAAAGATAGAGGATTGTGGAAATAGCTACTTCGAGGAAGTCGGCTAGTCGTCACCATCGATGGAGAAGGAATGTGGCAACTACGGCGGTGAAAGTTTGGTCGTCGGAGGGCGAATTCACGGTGGGGCGCGGGAGGGGGGGGGTTTAAAATTATTTTAATTTTGTAATATAATAATAAATAAATAATAAATAATATTTTCAAAAATTTTATTCTTTTTTTTTTCCAATGTGGCATCCACTTGTCGCTTACGTGGACACAATGTTGGCCACCGTCAGGTTAACCATCAATTCTAACGGTCAACAGAAAATTGCGTAACACAAATGACGCAAACCCCTAATAGGTTGGAATATTTTTGTGTTTATTGAAAGCATGTACTATAAATAGCACTTTCGTTAAAGTATGGTATTTCTAGTGGTATTAACCCTAAATAATATGATTTTATAATTTATTTTATTTTTAAAATGATGTAAATGATGAAAAATTATATTTTCTGAAATATTATTAAAATATGGTAAGGATAATCTTGTATTTTCAAAACAACTTTTCGCAGAAGCTCCAAATCGGAGCTTCTGCTTTTATGTTCTATAAAAGCACTTTTTGGTTTTTCAAAAGCTGAGCTTTTAGAGGTGTTTGGCCCTACTTCAGCTTTTGAACTCGAAAAACACTTCTAAAAGCCGGACCAAACATAGGGATAGTAAGCTCATTCCTTAACCTACCTAATAAGCCAAGTTGAGAATTTATCTGGCGTATTTTATTATTAATTTGAACGAGTTAACAGAATTTAGTCTTCACAATTACTTTTTTTATTCATTAAAACGACATGTAATGGGATTCGAACCATGACCATTTTAAAGAAAAGCAAAGATCGTAACCAATCACACTAAGTACATTTGTTGTATCTTTTTAAATTAAAAACATATAATAGCTGGGAGGAAAAAACCATTCCCCCATTTCGAATTCCCTGCTCCAGGAGCGTTTGTAGGAAGGGTAGAATAGGGAGTGTCAAATTTTTTTTCTCTTTCCTCTATGGAACGGGCCAACCTACCGTACACATGCGGATTTGAACGGGTCCAAGAGTGTCAATTTTTTCTTTAAGCCCTTTTATTTCTCTGTGGTGATAAAATATATATGAAAAGGAAAAAATAATACTTCTTTTTATTGCTAAAAATAAAAAAAATTTAACAATAAACTAATGCATGGTATCTAATGGGCTAACCGCTAACCATAAAATAAAAGAGTTGAATGGGCCTGACCTACACGGTATTTGGCCATCAAATAAAACAAATGAACATCATTGGTTTGACATTCTAAAACAAGCTATTTTCTCTGGCATAATATATATTATGTTATTATTTTATATCTTAGTTGCTAAAATATAATGTATTTTAAAGTTATTCAATGGTTCAACCTCGACCAACCCAATTAGTCCAATTTTTATCATTTCAAATATATATTATATAATTATTTGATATCATAATGATCACATTATAGTGTATTTTATAGGGAATCGTTTGATATTTGTTAGTAAAAAACTAAACCGAAAGATCTATTTGGTTATTTTAAACACTAAAATGATCCTAAACATTTTCAGTTCCTTTTGAATTTCTATAGTTTTATTCCCGAATAAGTGATGTGCAAATGGCGAATTGCAATCATCTATTTTCTTTCACTTTTTTTTTTAATTTTCAAATAGAAATTTTAAAAGTAAAGAATATTTAGAATTTGGCATGGGCCGGTCAAACAAGCTGAATTTCAAGTTTTGGCCCGTTTTGATCAAGTCTAATTTATAATCACATGGTTCCCTGATACCCGATAAAAATCTCAATCCAAACCAGTTTGGCAGGTGAGTCCGTGTTTACAACCATTTTCTAGGGATACGACAACGACGGTTCATATCCCAAATCGTGTTGTTCGTTCTTGATTCCTTATATTTTATCATGGCCTGACAAAAATCAGAAAACACAATGACGACAAGATGAAAGTTTTATAAAGCAAATTAATCGGCCAACGGGCCGAGTAAAAGCTAGCAACGATTGTGAGATACTCATTTCCCGAAAACCGACGGGATAGGCGATTTTTTATTCGATTTTCTGGAATTCGGTTTCCATCTAACTTACTCCACCTCATCACATTACCAAAAACAATATTGTTTTACAAGGTAACAGGTACTTGATTTTGGTTCATAAGGCCGATTTTTGATTTGTTGCATCATTCATGTCTCTTTCCTACTAAAATTCACTATTTTTATCACGTGTTTCCCAAAAAAAAAAAACTATACAACAATAAGCTATACATCTCATTACATTATCAAATTCCATACCTCACCTTCCTTCGGCCAACTGGCCGGGGCCCACACTAGTCATATTCATGTAGCAAATTGGCAGGTGGGTTCCCATTTATCTGACTTTTCAGCGTGGCTTAGGAAAATCGGAAAATCTCGATCCCTATGGTTAGGGGTGGTTATACGGTCCGGTCCGGTTAAATTGGACCAAATTGATCCGGTCCCAGTCCGGTCTTTTCGGGAATATAAAGACCAAAGATTGGATTGGATGCAGTCTGGTCTTGATCCGGTCCGGTCTTGACCCGGTCCGGTCCCAATTTTATCTTGATTTTAGGTGTTGGGGGTCTCTTATCCGGTCTTTATCTTGTTTTTTACCTCAAATCTAAACCCGAATATGAGATTGCATTGTTTGCTATCCGGTCCCAGTCCGATCCCGGTCCGGGTTATACTGTCCGGTTTCGGGTAAAACCAAACAGTCCGAGACCAAATAGCCAGCCCTACCTATGGTATTCGATAAATTCATAGGAGTAATTCAATTAGGTAGATAGTCGTGTCGATGGCCACAAAGAGAGTAATGCAGTAACGACTACTGTTATGGTAACGAACCAGTTTGAAACTATGGGACCCGACAACCATTATTACTATATATATCGAAGGATTGACGACCGGGACTTCTGAATACATTGAATTTCAAATACCACGAATGAGCAGAGGATTCGATTCCGCAAGTGGAAGAAGTGGGTGTTGATTGGTGGATACTTGTGCAAATTTTATTGTTATAATAATGCTATTCAATAGAGACTGCGGACTCCCGTTCTTGTCCAGATGAGATGAGATGAGATGAGGGTGGGTCACTACTGAGTTTCCTTTTTCTCGTTCCTTTCCCCTTTTTGTTATTTGTTTTATTGATTGTTCTGTCAGACTTCTGCAAGTCAATGAACACCGCCACCGCCGGCAATGATTGAACAGGGAGGGAGGACACGGTGGTCGGTGGTGGTGGGTGATGGGCTAGCTGCGGTGATTTTCCTTTATTTGTTTATGGCATAATTTGTTGGGTTGGGCCTAGGGTCCGTTAGCTGTTGCGGGAGAACAGACGGATATGGATCGTTAAGACGCCATTGAGCCTTCCGTACCCCCACATCATCCAGGCCCAATTCAACCGAACTTTTGTTTGGTCTGTGCAAAGATGGAGTGGAGGTTGTCATTGTCGCCAAAGCTCGGCCCGTATGAGGGGTCTCAATTATCACGGTTCAAGTAAGAAGTACCCCCCTTATTCATATTTTTTGTTTCGCCACTAATAATGCGACGGAATCATGGATAATAATAAAAATTTAAATTTCGGATAAAATAAAAATGGAAAAGATTTTTGTTGAGGAGTTAAATAAATTGTTAATACGAGGATAGCGGAGAAAAGAATTGTTAATTTGTTACATACTTGTTCAAGTATATATAAAATGCATGTGCTTCAAGTCAACCATTGAACAACATCGCAATCCAAAGAAAAGGATTTGTTTTGAGAATCCAATTAGACATTGAACTATAAAAGTTTAGTGATTCACATTAAAAAAAAATTATGAGAAAAATTGTTAGAAATCGAACATGAAAAATTAGGGTTGCCGATTGACTGAGTCGCGGATTAGGTCTCTATCTTTAATACGTTTCCGGGAATGCTTCATATTGCGCACAATAGACTATCAGCCGGTCGCCTCCAGGATAAAAGAGCCACTCTAATTTGTTTGCTCGTCGGTTTTGTGCAAAAATCAGAGCTCTTATGAACTCACTCTCTCTTGTGTTTCTTCTCTTCTAAGGTGTCTTTTTTTTATGATTATGAGTTGTCTTTAGAGGGTGTGAGGAGTCTGCTATTTATAGGAGCAGAAAACCCAGAATATTCCCTATTTTTTTGGGAATAAGTCACATTTTAATTAGAGAGATAATTACTTCCATAATTAAAATATAATCTATTAAGATAATTAATCCTAATTATCTTCATAATAATCCTTTTATTAATTATTAATCTGATTTTCGTATTATGGAAAAATATTGGATAATTAATTAAAAATTCCATTTATAGGTTTTCAAAGTTATTCATCGCAACAAAAATTAAAATGCATTTCAATGAATTTTTCTATTAGAATTATATTATATTATATTATTTTTAGATTGTATTTAAGATATTTGCATATGAGATCTTTATATTTGAAAATCAATGATGAATAGACTAAACCACTGTCCGCATTAGACAGTTCAATTGTTAATCTTCATAGAATCATTTGGTGTGTGCAAATAAAGAAAGATAGGTCAAAGTGTTCCATGGGGAGAAATTTTACAATGCTATATAGTATTGATGCTATAGGGTTTTGCCTTTATGGTACAACTTAAAATTGTACATTTACGTTATAGTACAATTTCAAATTGTACCTATACTTTTTGTACAAATTCTTTTATGGTACAACTTGAACTTGTACCTTTATGTGATGGTACAACTTCAAGTTGTAAAGTTGTACCATAACATAATTGTACAAATTGTTTTATGGTACAGCCTAAACTTATACATTTAATGTTATGGTACAACTTTAAGTTGTATATTAAAGCACAAATACTATATAGCATAGTAGAAGTGCTCGTCCATGCGACCCAACATCCAACTGAGAGCAATTGTCCAATCCACTACTCATCGTCCAAACAAATGAATTAACTTGAAATTAGATATGATTGGAGTTTAGTGAACACGAATGGAATTAAATATTTTTAGCGAACAAACAATCAAACTTGTAATTAACCAAAAAATTAGCTTGCCTTTCAATGAATTTTTTATTAGAATGATATTGTTTTATTTTTACTTTTAGATTATATTTAAGCTATTTGAATATGTGATCTTTATATTTGAAAATCAATGATGAGTAGGCTAAACCATTGTCCGCATTAGACTGGTTCAATTGTTAATCCTCATAGAACCATTTGGTGTGTGCAAATAAAGAAAAGCAAATGATACATAAAATCTTAGAAATACGAAAAATAAAATTCAATTATGGTTAGTTAAAACTTTTCAGGTTTCTACCTCCCATAATATTTGGGGTGTGGCTACGGTGACATGCATGTCACTGTGACTTGCACTTTCCGGTCGACCTCACTTAGGATTAGGTCGACCGCATTTAGAATTCGGTCGACCTCATATAGGATCAGGTCGACCTAATATGTTGTTTCAGTGTAAAAACAATTCATGGTGCCTACTTTGGATATTCATATCATACAATTGGCTAGATGGAAATTGAAGACTAATGACTTGTTTTGAAGCTGGAGTATCCCTCTACATATTGAAGTGATTGAGAGCTCGATAGGAAGTCCAGAATACCATTTTTGAACCTCATCAAAAGGCTATGCCAAAACTGGGAAACTGCCTAGAAATGGTTAAGTCTGGAAACGTGTTTTTGAAGCCTATTTTGGAGCTCAATTCGAGAAGCATGAATGCGAGTCGAGTCCAGGAGCCTCTACCATGTTAAATTATGTATGTTTTTATACAAATTCAAGGTAGTGGATGAAAGATTTGATATATGTAAGGCTTCAAACAAAAGGGTTGAAGTTGCTACAAATATTGTTTTTCTGGCAGACCTCGAGCACAAGCAAGCTACCAGAAAAACAGCCTTCGTAGAAACTTCGAGCCTTTTGTTTGAAGCGTTAAAGATATTCAATCTTTCATCCAATGCCTTGCCTTTGTACAAAAAAATACGTAATTTAACGTGGTAGAGGCCGCTGGACTTGACTCGCATCCATGCTTCTCAAATTGAGCTCCAAAGTAGGCTTGACAAACACGTTGCCAAACTTAGCCGTTTTCAGGCAGTTTCCCAATTTTGGCATAGCCTTTTGGTCAGGTTCCAAAATGGTCTTCTGGACTTTCTATTGAGCTCCCAAGTACTTTAATGTGTAGAGGGACACTTCAGCTTCAAAACAAGCCTTTAATCTCCAATTTCCATCTAGCCAATTGTAAGATATGAATCTCCAAAGTAGACACCATGAAACTGTTTTTATATGAAACAACAGATTAGGTCGACCTACTCCTATATGAGGTCGACCGAAAAGTGCATGTCACCGTGACATGCATGTCACCGTAGCAAAGTCCTAATATTTGTTCGATTTCTTTTTTTTTTATAACAAATATTGAATCAAAGAACCACGTAGGTCAAAGTGGTCTATGCAACCCAACATCCAACTACGAGCAATTGTCAATCCACTACTAAACGCCCAAACAAATAAATTAACTCAATATTACATATGATTGGAGTTTAGTAGTCTGTAAATGTTTACCAATAAAAAAGTCAGCTTGTACCAAATCGATTAATTACAAGGGGATTAATGGATTGATAAGGCCAGCTCAACATTAATAATTAAAAGAGCAAGCCGGGCCTTGTTGGGTTTGATTTTTGGGCCTAAGTGGCCAAGCCCTTTCTTCCCTACATGATGGTGGACCCGTCTCCTTGGCCCCATAGTCGGACGATGCGTTTCACCCCTTGGTAGGAAATTCGGCCTCCAAAAAACTAAGTATTGGAAACAAGGCGACACAACGGGGTGCCAAACGGCTGGGTACCAAGTCTGGTACCAAATAAGGGGGCCAAACAAGAGGGTATCAAGCCGACAAGGAAGGCCTGAGACCCAAGTAAGAAATTTGGCTAAGTATGAAGCAAAAGGGGTATCAAGCCGACAAGGTAGGCTTGATACCAAAAGATATAAAAATTGGCTAAGTATGGAGCTAAGGGGGTACCAGGCGGGCAAGGCGACCTCGGTACCAAGACCCCTACAAGGTACCAAGCCGGCATGACAGGCTTGACAGCCAAGCAAGGCGACAGGGTACCAGGACCCCAAGGGGGAGACAATGTCCAAAGACGGACTTGGTAGCACCTTCACGGGGTACCAAACCGGCAGGGTGCAACTTACCACTTGACGAGGCTACAAAAACTAAGTATGGAGACCAAGCCACCAAGACCGGTTTGGTAGCAAGGGGTGTCAAGTTGATTACATGGGCTTGGTGGCATATACCGGAAGGTATCAAGCCAATGAGGCGGCTTGATAACAACCAACAAGTTAATGAGGAGGACTTGGTGTCATGAGATGGTAGAGGCAAGGCTCAACACCAACTCGGCCCGGCATCGAGGCCATCAAGTACCCACCAACCCCAAGACGGGACAAGGTACTCCAAGGCGATGGGTACCAACCAGTCAACAAGACGGGTCAAGGAGCTCCAAGGCAATGGAGGTGAAGACCAAGACAACGGTTACCAATTGGCAACCAAGGGAATGAAAAGAGGACCGCTTGGCGGTTGGAGCAACAAGACGGCTAGCAGTTACCAAGGCGGTTACAGAGGCAGTTACTCCTAGTGGCTATAAATAGAAGAAACGAAGAAGAAGCAAAGGTTCCACAACCAACCATTTGACACACTATGTCAAACTTTATCTTTTTCTCTGCAAATTAGCCATAGCCCTTAGTTTTCGGAGCTCTCACTGAACCTCCATAGGAGTAGAGTAACGTAACTTAGATTATTCCCAAAAACCATCAAAAACATCAAACACCCTCGTTCGAACATTGTTCGGAGAGGAGTGAACCGTGTAATTATCGTTGTTCAAGAAGTCAAAGGTGCATTAATTGTGTTCAAACACAAGTTTTTCCTCGCCGGAAAACAAATTGGCACACCCGGTGGGACTGTGTGTTTGATTTGATGCCTCCACGACTGAGAGAACAAGAAGGTGAACTTTCACCTGGGTTTGTAAAAGAGCTGGCCATTTATGATCTTGGTCAATTAGCAAAAAGTGACGCCGGAAACAATGGTGGGGTAAGAGGCCAGCCATCACCGACGCAATGTTTGGGTGTAACTACCACCACCTTGTCTCTCCACCAGTCACTGGTGGTAGAAATAAAATTAATGGAGGAGGCTATGGTGGGATACACCAAACAAATGGTATCTCAACTTGATTGTTTCCATACTCGTCTAAATCGGCGTTTGGATCAACTAGATGAGATTTGTGAGATAAATGAAAATAATTGTAAGAAGTTTCGTCAACTTTTGATGAAATCAGTATTGAGATCAAAGGTTTTGGCTAAAGATGATGTAGATCCACCATCAAGCGTTGCTACTGGGGATACGAGTATTCTAAACTTCGGTGGCCGGACTACCCAGCCACGGTCAGAGAACTCATCGTCTCCGGTGACAAGTCAACCACCTCTTCAACGTGGTGGTTGTGGCGAGAATCTCACTCCCACGTTCACCACTCACGTAAAGAAATTGCCTATACAGACAATTACTTTAGAAACTGCCTCAGAGGCTAGACCATGCCTTAATGTGAAACTTGGTGCATGGTCACTCACTACAAATGTGTTCCCACAAGGTTGTCCAGCACCACTGCTATCCACGCCCATCAAGCCTGGTGGATGCAACCCGCGAGGGGGGCAGGCAGAGGGGTATGAAAGCCTACCACCTGACAAGTTGACGGTGAAATATCAGGCTGGGGGGGGGGGGCACGTTGACGTCAAGGAAAATGGAAAAAGAACTTTGTTTAAGGACTCACCACATTTTTCATCTAAGTGTGGCAAGAATGACATGTCTCTATCTCCATGCAGCGGACAGGGGGGCATGCCATCAAACATGATGAATGGAGTGAGTGGCAAGTCTAAGGATGTGTTGGATACCCATACCACCAATGATTTTCATAACTTTGACAGCATGTCAAAGAGTGGACACGGAGGCAAGGCCCCTTGTAGCATGCCACCCATGAATGGTCGACAAAGGGGCATGTCACCAACCACAAACAATAGACAGATAGACATACTGAAAAAGCCACAACATGAAGCATGCTAATATGGCCAAGTCTGGCAAGGGGGGCGCGTCAATAACCATGAGCAAGGGTATGAGGGGCATGTATCCAACCAATGGACAAGGGGGCATGTCACCGAAAGTGAAGAAACAAGTGGGGGGCAAGTCTAGGGGTGTTCATTGCACTCAAGCCCTCTATGATTTTCACCATCACGAGAGTGTGCTAATGGATGGACAAAGAAGCAAGTCTATTCTTAACAGCCCTCATGGCATGCCAAACATCAATGGCAGACAAGGGGACATGAATAAGACATCTCGGCACACATCAACTAGATATGGTCCCACAAAGGGCCAATGGGGGTTATGTGCTAATTGTAGGGATCATCAAGACATAAGGGTTGAAAATGGTCAAGTTGGCCACAATGGTGACCATAAACTCTTTAAGTCCAAACACCCATCTTTCCAACCATATGGGAGGAATAAGCATGTGTCTTATCAGGGGGAACTAAGACAAACGACAACTCATGGTCTTGTTGATGACTCAAAGGAGTTGAAGATGTTTAGTGTGCCACCCAGGATGAGGCAAAAACATCGGGCTCAACATAAGAACAACGTGTCTAATGAGATGGCTCAGGCAAAGGAGCATGAGACCCCTTGTAAGCCCACTAAGACAGGGCAAGTTGAGAGGGTGCCATCCATTGTTAAGTTGGAAAATTTGAAACCAACACCAAATGAGTTGTTTCCCCTAACGGAGGGAAGACAAGTAGTGTATGGATGGTTGGTCTGGCTTAACCCATGGACTTGGCAGTGGTTGTACACCTCTGGCACGTTGGTGGGTGCCAAAGGGCATGGATATTAGTGACGTTTGTCATTCTCTTCTATATTAAAATAAATAAATATAATATTAGTAAAAAAAGGAAGAGAAAAGAAAAATCAAAAGCCAACCATGACTAAAAAATACGAGGTCGAAGTGTCAAGTTTTAGTTAGATTTGTGATGTGAGAACCTGGTCATAACTGATAAGCCACACTCATGTGGTGGCTGGATCCATGCCATTTACATGGCATGAGCAGGTGATTCGCTGTCGGTGTGGACCCTTCATTGTCCATGCCACCCGGCCCAATGGGGCCTACTTGTTAAAAGATTTAGATGGTGTGTTTCATGATCGATTGATCAATGGCAAGTATCTCAAGCCTTATGTCCCTTCTCTTTGGGACGTGAGGTGTCAAGGGGTTCAATGTTGGGCGGCCACCATGGTGGGCGGCATGCCAAGCCTCCCACACCCTAATACATGGCATGATACCCTCGTGATAAAGCATGGCTTGAGTAGCTAGCCATGACATGGAAAGGAAATTGAGCTAGTTAAGTTTTACTTCCTTCTGTCGGGGCCTAGCATTCTATAAAAGGCTATGGGTGCATGGCTTTGCAATCAAAGCCAAAATTTGGCTAAGGAAGGTGGTACCGAGATAAGTATTATTTTTAGGTAGTCAAGTTGAGTTCAACAACTTAGTGCATAATTCTTATACACTAAGTTGTGGGGGGCATTTGTTTACCCATAAAAAAATCAGCTTGTACCACATCGATTAATTACAAGGGGATTAATGGATTTATAAGGCCAGCTCAACATTAATAATTAAAAGAGCAAGCCGGGCTTTGTTGGGTTGGATTTTTGGCCTAAGTGGCCAAGTCCTTTCTTCCCTACATGATGGCCGACCCGTCTCCTTGGTCCCATAGTCGGACGATGCGTTTAACCCCTTGGTAGGAAATTTGGCCTCCAAAAAACTAAAGTATTGGAGACAAGGCGACACAACGGGGTGCCAAACGGCCGGGTACCAAGTCAGGTACCAAAGCCTTGGAAACAAGGCGACACAACGGGGTGCCAAACGGCCGGGTACCAAGTCGGGTACCAAATAGGAGGCCATCCAAAAACTAAGTCTTCGAAACAAGGCGACACAATGGGGTGCCAAACGGCCGGGTACCAAAGCCTTGGAAACAAGGGGACACAACGGGGTGCCAAACGGACGGGTACCAAGCCGGGTACCTAATAGGAGGCCATCCAAAAGCTAAGTCTTGGAAACAAGGTGGCACAACGGGGTGCCTAACGGCCGGGTACCAAGTCTGGTACCAAATAAGGGGGCCAAACAAGAGGGTATCAAGCCGACAAGGCAGGCCTGAGACCCAAGTAAGAAATTTGGCTAAGTATGAAGCAAAAGGGGTATCAAGCCGACAAGGTAGGCTTGATACCAAAAGATATAAAAATTGGCTAAGTATGGAGCTAAGTGGGTACCAGGCGGGCAAGGCAACCTCGGTACCAAGACCCCTACAAGGTACCAAGCCGGCATGACAGGCTTGGCAGCCAAGCAAGGCGACCTCGGTACCAAGACCCCTACAAGGTACCAAGCCGGCATGACAGGCTTGACAGCCAAGCTAGGCGACAGGGTACTAGGACCCCAAGGGGGAGACAAAGTCCAAAGACGGGCTTGGTAGCACCTTCACGGGGTACCAAACCGGCAGGGGGCAACTTACCACTTGACGAGGCTACAAAAACTAAGTATGGAGACCAAGCCACCAAGACCGGTTTGGTAGCAAGGGGTGTCAAGTTGATTATATGGGCTTGGTGGCATATGCCGGAAGGTATCAAGCCAATGAGACGGCTTGATAACAACCAACAAGTTAATGAGGAGGACTTGGTGTCATGAGATGGTAGCGGCAAGGCTCAACACCAACTCGGCCCGCATCGAGGCCATCAAGTACCCACCAACCCCAAGACGGGACAAGGTACTCCAAGGCGATGGGTACCAACCAGTCAACAAGACGGGTCAAGGAGCACCAAGGCAATGGAGGTGAAGACCAAGACAACGGTTACCAATTGGCAACCAAGGCAACGAAAAGAGGACCGCCTGGCGGTTGGAGCAACAAGACGGCTAGTAGTTACCAAGGCGGTTACAGAGGCTATTACTCCTAGTGGCTATAAATAGAAGAAACGAAGAAGAAGAAAAGGTTCCACAACCAACCATTTGACACACTATGTCAAACTTTATCTTTTTCTCTGCAAATTAGCCATAGCCCTTAGTTTTCGGAGCTCTCACTGAACCTCCATAGCAGTAGAGTAAGGTAACTTAGATTATTCCCGAAAACCATCAAAAACATCAAACACCCTCATTCGAACATTGTTCGGAGAGGAGTGAACCGTGTAATTATCGTTGTTCAAGAAGTCAAAGTTGCATTCATTGTGTTCAAACACAAGTTTTTCTTCGCCGGAAAACAGTAAATTAATTCGATTCTATAGTCCGTAGTCCGTACTCGTAGCAAGTAAGAGTATGTTGTACACTAGCCGATAGGTATTGGGGTCGGGCCGGGCCTGTGATTGTGATCCAAACTAGGGGTGGAAGTTTGGTTTGCGGGTAATCCGCAAACCGCACACTTTGTGGATATCCATACCCACAATTTGCGGATAGTGGGTTGGGTGTGGGTAGCAAAATATTGATTTTTTGTGGTTAGTGGTTAACCACTGCTCACAACGGTTTACCCACAAAACCCACATTAACCACATTAGTTATATTAGTTTGTGAAACTTGGAAAACTAAGAATTAAGGTAGCTACTAAAATCAAATACATACTTATTCTATAAAACAAAACCAACTAACCAAGTCAATATGCAATGTTCGTGTGAGATACTTTTATCAAATTAGCATTGTCATTGTGGTATATGTTTATTTTATAACAAACCAAGTCCAAAGATATAGTCAGATAAATTAATCGATAAGGTTATTTCGATACCCAAACTCGTCTCCATTTCTCCCCGAACTCAAGAACAACACAACATGTAACTAGCTCACAATACAAGACGATAATCGAGAATGGAGATCAATCAATTCATTAAAAGCGGTTATCTCCACTTATCGAGCCCCTTTTGTGTTTTGTTGTTGTTGCCATCGGAGGAGCCGTGACATGCAACGATGTTTGTCTGGTAAGAGTTCACTCCGCCTCTCAGTTATCTTCAAATCTCTTTCCAAATCCATCTCTTCTGAATTTACACTAATTAACCTCTTGTATTCATGATTTATAATTTATTATTAACTTTCTTTTATGTACGTTTTTTTGTGTGTGAGAAGAAATACAATTTCACTATTTAATTACCATATTATTTTATTTAATGATGAAATTTTTGTGGGTATCCACAACCAACCCGCACCAACCCACAACGGATAGTGGTTAACCACTACCCACCGCGGGACGAGTTGTGGGTAGTATAATTATATATTTGTGGATGTGGTTACCCGCAAAATGTGAGGCGGATAACTACACCCACCCCAATTTTCACCCCTAATCCAAACCATACTCATTTTCTTAAAACATAATAATTTTTGCGATGGATTGAAGGTTAATCATTTTAGCTGTGCCTTGTGTGGGTCTTTAATCTGGGTCCTTTGACTTCTAACTTTAACTAAAAAACAATTATTAAAATTCAATAGATATTTAACGTAATCTAACAAAAGGCTTTAATTAAAGGCCTGGTGCAGAGAGAAAGGAAGAAAGCAAACAGAGTGTGAGAGAGAGAGAGAGAGGGATTTGTTTTCATTTTCCCGGAAAATTTTCCAAGAAGGAAAATAAGGGGAAAGGAAAACCAGAGACCTTCCTTCCTCCATCTCTCACTTTCTTTCTCTCTCTCTCGCCTCACCCAATTTTCAATCTTTTTCCTCCTATTCAGCTCTGGACCTTCAGATTTCTGTTCCCTCTCTCCCTTTTCTTTTTTGTTTGTTTCGTTTTATTGAATGGTCTTCCTAATCCTTCCTTCTTCCCAACTTGTCGTTATTCATCTAATTTCCCCTTTTCCTCTTTCTGTTTGTCTCACGCGATTTCCTCCACCGACTTCCGGCTGTTGCACAATCGCGATTCCCGTGGTCGGTTTCGGGCCGATCTCTTGATTCGGAGCGCACCGCCGCTCGAATCCGCATTGCGACTGCCCACTCGATCTGTCTCGTTTGTGGGCGACTTGGGGGAAATCTGGATGCCCCCCAATTGGGATCACTTTCCCGAGAAACCGAAGGAAAACCCCGTTTTCTTGGCTGGTATGGGTTGCTGAGTTTCGGTTAAAAAAGGCTTCTTTTTGGTTGTTTGGTGTTCGTAGTTGAGGGGGTTTTCTGCGTGTCTATATGTTGGATTGGGGATGCAGCAGATGGAGAGGGAGGGCGGGAAGGAAATTATGATGAGTAATTTTAATCATAGATACAGTCAGTTTAGCAATGATTATGATAGGCAGCTGAAGCAGCAGAACGCTGATGATGATTTAGGAGGATTTGATGATTACAGTCACAATTTTTTCAACAATGTGAATGGTATAACTACTACTCCATTCAAGCCCACCAGCGGCGGGGGCACTTCCACCAACTCCTCGCCGACGTCGTCGCCGGGCTCTCGTGGGTTCATTGAGCACCCGGTTTCCAAGTTCGATACCCTTGCCGGCGTTGCCATCAAGTATGGCGTTGAGGTAAATGTTATTCTACCCTTCATGGACTCGTGTGATTCTCTAGCTGGTGTTTGGAGTTATTCTGTTTGGGTAAAAGCGTTTGATTGGAATTTCCTTCCATTTGGCATTCTGAATGTGACAATTTGATGAATGGATAATGCGGATGATTCTTCTCTTCTCTGGCATTGGTAGAAGGTGCTGTTTGATTTTGAATGGAAATCATTTAGCTTCTTATGCCAGTTGTTGTGGATTGCTTTTGTATGCCTAGCCTTTTCCTTCCTTTCTCTTTCCCTTTTGGTGGTTCAACACAGATTCAAAGGCATTGTTAGCTTATGCATTGTTAGTGTATGCTCATCTGGTTTTGTGGAATCTTAGGTGGCTGACATAAAAAAGAAGAATGGTCTGGTTACAGATCATCAAATGTTTGCCCTGAAAACGCTCCGGATTCCTCATCCCGGGAGACACCCTCCATCGCCATGTTTGTCAAGTGGCGCTGACACCCCTGGGTATTCTTCATATTTCTCTTTACCTTTTCTTCTGCTTGATTGTACTGTGCAAGTTCATTGATTGTGCGTACACCTGATTGACAGAATCTAACCCCTGTGAAAAATAATTGAAGAATAATATCACCTCTTTGTAATCAATGTCCAGTGGAGATTTTTGTTTCAAGATCTCCCAAACAGTAGTGTGGGTGCTGTTGTTTGGTAGAGTTTAGTGGTGGATTTGAGCCTTGAATCTCTCTGCTGATGGATTTGTGCAAAAATCTCTTTCGGTGGATTCTAGCATGAAAATATATGTGCACAGATGCAGAACTACAACTTATAGTAGCAGAGTTTCAGTACGTTATTCTATGTACATTATATGGGGCCTGTGATGTAATCATTTTCATGCTTACATGTGATGTAGACTGGATACTGCCTCTTCGCACCACTGTGATTTATAACACTGGGATAGTCTTTTTTAACAGGGGGAACAACTTGGACCACACGCCACTCCAGCGTGGATACACTGATCTCCTCGATTCATTCCAAACTCTGAGGCCAAAATCTTCTTCTGGACGAAAGGCCTCCCCTGCAATGACTTCTTTACAGGGTTACTATGGTATTTCTTCTCCTGCTGATCTCAGACTCTCTCCGGACACCAACCCTCCTTTAAACCATCACCGGAAATCCAGGAGCTATGTCAATGTTTTGCTTGATGAGAACAATGCTGCAGATGGTGACTCCATGGTAAGAAGACGGCAGAAATCAGAAGCCGACTTCCCAAACATGCTGATGAGGGAAGAGAACGGTAATGGTAGCGCTTCAGTATCAGCAGGGAAAACTGGGGGAAAAGGGTTGGCTTTAAGACCCAAATCAGCAAACCGGAGTGGTTTGATATCAGAACTCGAGGCGGCGGCAGCATCAGCAGGCAGTTTGAGCCCTAATAAACCAGCTGGTGCTGGAGGAGATCCTGCTGATGTTGCCGACCTGGTTGCGTCGGTGAGGAAGTCATCGAGCACATCAAGTTTGAACGAGACAGATGGCAGTGGTGGTTCATTCCCATGGCCGACTCCAAAATGGAACCTGAAGGCAGACCTGCAGGCGCTGTCGGCAGCAGCCATAGCCAGGCCTATCTTCGATGGTTTGCCGAAACCCTTGAGTGGGTGGAGAAACAAAGCTGCTGTTGACTAGGGGTACAGCCATTATATACATGCTACTACTGCTTCTGCTGATTGTCTTACTGCAGAAACGGATCCAGAGTGTGGAAAATTGTCCACTTTTTGAGGAGAGAGGGAGAGCCACACCTGGCGGGGAAGCGATGGGATTGAATTGTATTGAAGAGATTTGAACTCTGAATATATAGCTAGATGATCAAAATAGGGAAAAGAAAGCAGATTCGCAATTGGAAATAACGTGTTGTAGGATCATGGTTAGGGTCTTATTGGTTGAACAGGAGAAATGGTTCGAGTTACTTGTAATCTTTGTATAATTTATCGTTTCTTTACTTGATACCAATCTCTCATGCCAAACTCGTGAGCTGGCCAGTTTCATATGGTATTTCGTTGTTTACTGCCAGTTTCAAATATGTTGGAATAGTTTTGGAAGAAAGCCAACAGTAGTTAAGGAAGAGATCCTCCCTACGGATGCGTCTATGTGAGTTCTTTCTATTTTGTCTGTTTGTATTCAATGCGAAAGGGACGTACGCTATGTTTGGGTTCTTACGGTTGGCGTGCATTGTACATGCATTATTGGAGACGTTTAATACCCTTGCATGTACTTGTACCACCACATAGCTGTCCATTTCCATTCCTATAAAACCGTCCCTTACTTTGAAGGGGATTCTTACTGTTTTCCTCCTTTCTCGAGCTGGTGGGTGCTCTTTCATTCCTTTTTTTTGTTCTACTTGTTTCTTCTACAGTTGCATAATTGTTCATGGGATGGTCATTTCATGGAATTCCTCGAACGCATCATTGTTATTCTCCATGGCCATTTCATGTGGTTTCTTAGGAGTTGTAGTCTTTCTTCTTAGGTCATGGCGCGGCTGGTTGGGTAGGTTGAGGCTGTTGCTGCTGCTGTGAAGGTGCTGCACACATTCATGCTACTGTTGCTGCCATTACTTCCACCGCCACTGCCGGGCTTACCCAAATGGCTCATTGTAAAGGACCATTCTGGTAAGTCCATTGTTAATTTGTTTATCTTCTGTTTAGGTGGGAAAGTTACCATTTTCTAAAAAGGAAAATAGTGAACGTGGATGCTTTTCATTTCTACTGGGACAGTATCATTATAGAAAGTTTGACATTAAATTGCAATTTACTAACGAAAGGAAAATTTTGATACTCCGACGCGATTGGCTTAGGTGTAGGCGGGAGCGACGGGAGCGGCGGAAGTGGTGGAAGAGGTGTTGGTTGTGGAGACGCACTGGCATGAAGGGCACATGGTTCGGGTGATGACAGGGAGCTGCATGTAGAAAGGCTGGGACACGTCTCGACAAGACCAGTACCTAACGACGGAGTTCAGCTAGTCGGAGTACGTTGGTTAAAATTTGCATACAAGAGAGCACAACAGATCGAATACAGATCAAAGAATCATACAGAGAATTTCCAATTTCCAATCGCCGCCGATCTACTTTCAGGGAAGCTTGTGTTAGACATACTGAATCAAAACAAATGAACGAAGACAAGCGATTTACGTGGTATCCCTGATAATCAGGACTAATCCACGGGAGAGCTTAGAAGACTCTCCGGCTACTGATCGTATTTCCTTACCTTTTCCATCAACACATAAGGAATATATATACAAACTATACCCTAACCGAAACCCTAGGTTCGACCGCGTATGCATGGCTGCATGCTGCTACGTGGGCTTTTACTAACTCCTCTAACCCTTAACTAAGTCTAACTAAGTCCTTAATCACACATGGGCTGAATACATAATGGGCTAATTATACAACAATAATGGGCTAATGAATACATAAAGCCATTCCAACTCACTGACAACGTCGGACATAGCCCTGTTTTCTGCTTCAGTGGAGGACTTAGAGACCTTGTCTTGTTTCTTGTAGCGCCAGGAGACAAATGCATTGCCAAAACGAATGCACCAGCCAGTCGTCGAACGACGGGTATCAATACAGCCTGCATAGTCAGAATCAGAGAAGGCTCGTAAACATAGATCACCAGCCGAGGGAAGAAATAAGCCCACGTCACGCGTCCCTTGGAGATAACGAAGAATTCGATGAACAGCAGCAAGATGATCAACACGAGGATCATACATGAACTGGCTAACAACCTGTACCGCGTAAGCAATGTCACGACGAGTAGCAGCCAGATATATCAAGCTCCCAACAATACTACGATACGGACGACCATCCTCCAAGGCCGCACCAGAATCCCGGCTTAGCTTCAGATTTAGTTCAATGGGAGTGCGAACAGGAGTACAATCAGAAAACCGATGCTCATCAAGTAAATCATCAATATACTTCGGCTAACATAACAGAATACCCTGATCAGACCGAATGATAACGATGTAATTGCACATATTTGCGCCCCTAGTTCTTATCCGTTTGAGGGGCATAGTCGTGTGTTTTTGGTCTATTTTACGCCAGGTTGTGCTATTTTGTCATATTTCAGGTCCCAGGCGTCAAAGGGAAGGCTAAGCACGAGTTTCGGGGCATTCGGAAGTCATTTCGTCAAGCTGGAGCCAAAACACGGGCACACCTAAAGCATTACACGGCCGTGTTCTGTGGCCGTGCTTTTACTGCCGAGAGCTAATTCGAGTTGGCAAAATCAAGCCAAAACACGGGCACAAAGCACGGCCGTGTCCACCCAAAGCACAGCCGTGCCCATCACCAAACACGGCCGGGTTTCCCCCATTGCACTGGCCGTGTAATTAACCCTAGCCAAAGCACGGGCGAGCAGAGGCATTACACGGCCGTGCCCTCGACCGTGCTTTGGCCACTGATGCCCTTTTAAGCAGATTTTCAGCCAAAAGCAAAGGAGAGAGCTGGGTTTTGGATCCCAAACACCCAAGGGACGAACCAAAGAGAGAAAGGGTGATTTGAGGGCATTCTTGGAGTGGAATTGGAGGATTTCTTTGCCTTGGAAGCTCGAGGAACAAGCCCGGACTTGTAGACTGATCATCTGAAGATTCTTACTGCAGTGTCTCTCTTCTCTATGGAGTAACTTCCCTTCACTTAGGTTTTGAGGAACCCTAGCTATGTTTGTTTGATTGGATGATTGTATGATTACTCTGACTTGATAATCTTGAGTTCATATTCAATCTATGCATGTTTTCATGATTCAATTCTGCTTTAGTCAAGATTATTGATTCTGCTTTGATCCTATGAGAGGGAATACCTGATTAGGTCAATAGAGCACCATAGATTGATAGTAGTGGATCGATTGCTTTAGTCGAGGGTTGATTCACTGCATTGTATCGATTGAGAACCTTGATGCTCTAAAACACAACACCTAACAATGGCCAAGTGTAACCAATGAAAGAGACTGCAGTATAGTGGCACAAGTAATAAATATCGAATCCACGGGTCTCTAGAGTTACTATTACTCAGCTTCAGTTCATTATCTAGCAAACTAGATTAAGGATTGAATAACCAAACTACTCTACTAACTAAACTAAGTAAAACTACTAATTACAGTTTGGGAACTCACTTAGGTATGATTCCCCCTAGCTCCTCAATTAGGTCCAAGTTGTAATTCCTTTTGGTTGTTTTACTGTTGATTAAACTGCGGAAGATCCGACAGTAGCTTGGAATCTCTTAAGCTGACCAAACCCTCTCAGTCGAACTATCCGGCAGACGACTAGTCTTCACCGGGATAGAAAGCTGAAGCAATAAGCACAGAACTCCACTACTGGAATTGGATTCCAGTACAAAGCAGTAAACTGGCTAACTCTCGTATAGCCAATCTCCTACTACCGAATGATGAGACTCTAGCAACCTAATCAGATTCTATCTATCTCAGATTGCAGCAGGAATCAGGAAAAGTTGATCAGACTTCAATTGACTCAATAAACATGCATCATTCGATTATAATCAAACAATAAAGCATCCAAAACTTCATACAAGAAAGATCCTAACTCATGGAACTAGGGTTCCTCAAAACCTAAGTGAAAGGAAGTTACTCCATAGAGAAGAGAGAGACTGCAGAAATCTGATCTAGATCTTCAATCTCCATCTCCAAGCTTGATTCCCGAGCTTCAATGGCGAAGAAATCCTCCAAAATAGCTCCAAGAACGTTCCCAAGTCGCTCTCTCTCTCTAGGGTTCGTCCCTTGGGTGTTTGGGATCCCAAAACCCAGCTCTCTCTTCTTTGGTTCGGAATTTGGCTTAAAACCAGGAAATCCCGACTCGCACGGCCAGGGTGCACGGCCGTGCATATCACATTCTGGCCGTGCAACTCAAAACGCAGCGTGTCATTTAGTCGAACTTCAGCCCTCTCGCACGGCCAGGGTGCACGGCCGTGCGAGCTTCAGGGGTTGCCCGTGCGTGTCCTCGGCATAAGGCGCACGGCCATATTGCTCACGTGCACGGCCGTGCAGCCTCCCTGGTCTGCCCGTGCAGCTCCCCAAAAACCTCGCCATTCGTCCGTTCTTCGTCCAATCGACCCCAGACTTGCTCCTAAGCCTTCATTCACGTACTAGGACCTGAAACATCACAAACAAGCACAACCTAGCGTGAAATCGGCCTAAAACACGAGAATCAACACCTCAAACGGTGTAAGAATGGGGGTATAAACATGTGTAAATGACGGTCTATCAAACTCCCCCACACTTAACCGTTTGCTTGTCCCCAAGCAAACCTAACTCAAACCAATGCAACTCTCCAGACCTCTATAGCAACAAACAACCCGGATCGTAGGTAGAGGACTTCCTAGTTCATTTAGCAGCTTACGAGGTCAACCGACGCACAAGTCATCTCATAACTTCTTCGGCGAGTCGGCATCATGGCAAATAGTGAACAGAGGACAAATGAATTGTGGATGAAGAGATTCTCAAAAACAAAGGATCATGGACTCACATTTTTCAAGGTGCTCTATTTTCTTCTTGAAGATGGTTGAGACCCCTTTTTTTCCTGTTTTGGTTGTTTTCTGATATTTTTCTTTTCTTTTCTTTTTCAAGGGTCCCAACCTGCTCTTACCGGCCATGCCAGGAGCGGATGTCTCGAGCCTCGTGCGGGGGAAAGACATGTAAGGGGGCTGGAGGTAGTAGGTGGAAATTGGGAACGAATTCCCGTCTCCCCTTACACACTTTCGCCCTATTCGCACGGGAGACGTTTATTTTGAAGCACATTTTCGAGCACCTGTTATTTTCAAAACATGATACAAGAGTCCATGACAGGTAGAAAATCCACAACACCACACAATTCAAGGGTCCTAAGATCACTAATTCACTCAATCAACCAACTTTATATGAAGAAGAAATGAGACTTCTTAAATGCATCAACATCCTCCATAGTGCTACACTACCTCCCTAGGTTGCATATTACTGTAAAGACTGTCAATTCAAAGCATACTGAGCAGGCAATTGCATGGAACACGTACTTGGAGCCCTCAAATTCAAAAATTTGGGCAGTGAACTAGGCTCCAAGCACACAAACAGCCAAACATTCACCCGCATACATAATCGAACACCCCCCCACACTTACGCACGACATTGTCCTCAATGGAGGAAAGATAAGGAGGGTAGAACGAAGTTACCAGATCAAGGGTGAATGATGATGTACGGGTCAGGCGGTGCATTCCAGAAAGAGAGAGTAATCAGAACACAAACACCACACAAAATCTCACAAAGGTTGAGTTATTTACTCTAAAATCAAATAACAAAACTGACTCAACCGAGGAGAAATAGAGAAAGAAATGCAAACCGACTGGTTGGGTTGCCTCCCAACAAGTGCTTCTTTCACGTCGTGAGCCGGACGATGGCTCCTAAGTTTCGGTCCATGCTAGAACCTCCTTGAAGTTGAGGTTCTCGTCGATGAGGTGGAGTCTGAAGTCACGAGCATCTGGTGTGGCAGGTGATGAAGGCTCATGTACTTGATGCAGATGAAGTCTCCACCCTCGAGACCTCTTCTTCTCTTCTCTCGTCTCATTGCCCCAAACCAGATATGACAGCATCGACCGACCACCATCACGTCCACCAAGAGGGACCGATGTCGATGTGGCCTTGGTTTGGCAAAGAGACACTGCAAATGGGTCCTTGCTAAGTAGTTCCTCGAAGTTTGGTGGAGATATCAAATGTAACTCATGGCCGGTGCATGCCTCTTCCACCTCAACTTTATCCTCAGCCTGGACGCCAATTGCTTCCTCAACCCCCCTTCCTTCTTCAAAATGTGGTCTCTCCCCTGGGAAAAGATCAAGAACCACCTCTTCTTTTCTTTCTTCCTCATCATCCACAACTTTCTTCCTCATCCTTGCTCGCTCTTCTTCTTCTAAAACAGATTGGAGAGCAAGTCACTAAGCAATTTCTTCAATGGGATCATCTTGCATCTCCTCGCACGGGCCCAACATGTTAGAGCATAAATGAGGAAAGGTGTGGTCTGCAACCAAAGGACTTTCCTGATCATGGTTATCATGGGAGTTCTCTGTGATAACTTCTGTATGCTCCTCAACGCTCCCATAGCCTTTGTCATCCTCCACCTCTTCTAGCGTGGCAGTAGAAAGGTGATCTTGAGCAAGATGTGAGCAAACTTGCTTCACCCACTCTGTTTGCTTCGCTGAGCGCTGAACAGTCTCCTCCATATCATGGAGAAATGAGGGATCGGAAGTGGCAAGGGCTTTGATTTGAAGATCCATCTTGGAGCATGATTTCTCAGTGTCTCAAGCAAACTGCTCCACGAGAAGCCTTAATTGTTCGTTCGGATCCTCCAGTGAAGTGTAGCATGGCTCTGCAGAGTGGCCCGTGAAGGCTGCCATGGGTAACTCCAGCTCCGATGGCCCTTCTGGTTGTGGGAGAAGGTCTTCTTGGTAATGAGGTTGTTCTTGATATGCCCAGGGGTCTGATTGTTCTCCGTAGTAAGGGGGTTGGTACTGGAACCCGAATCCACAGTCTTCTCCTCCTTGATTGCTGTAGGGAGTCGCGGGGTAATACCACCCGGATGGTGGTGGATACCCCCAATGATTGGAGAAGCCATTAGGATCCATGATTCAGATCTGCACCAACAAAAACAAAAACACCCAAGTGAAAAGCAAGGGTGGAAAAGAAAAGAAAATAAAAACGCTAAAGTAACAAACTTCTGCCTTTCCTAATACTCTAGAAAGTCCCCGGCAACGGCGCCAAAAACTTGATGCTCTAAAACACAACACCTAACAATGGCCAAGTGTAACCAATGAAAGAGACTGCAGTAAAGTGGCACAAGTAATAAATATCGAATCCACGGGTCTCTAGAGTTACTATTACTCAGCTTCAGTTCATTATCTAGCAAACTAGATTAAGGATTGATTAACCAAACTACTCTACTAACTAAACTAAGTAAAACTACTAATTACAGTTTGGGAACTCACTTAGGTATGATTCCCCCTAGCTCCTCAATTAGGTCCAAGTTGTAATTCCTTTTGGTTGTTTTACTGTTGATTAAACTGCGGAAGATCCGACAGTAGCTTGGAATCTCTTAAGCTGACCAAACCCTCTCAGTCGAACTATCCGGCAGACGACTAGTCTTCACCGGGATAGAAAGCTGAAGCAATAAGCACAGAACTCCACTACTGGAATTGGATTCCAGTACAAAGCAGTAAACTGGCTAACTCTCGTATAGCCAATCTCCTACTACCGAATGATGAGACTCTAGCAACCTAATCAGATTCTATCTATCTCAGATTGCAGCAGGAATCAGGAAAAGTTGATCAGACTTCAATTGACTCAATAAACATGCATCATTCGATTATAATCAAACAATAAAGCATCCAAAACTTCATACAAGAAAGATCCTAACTCATGGAACTAGGGTTCCTCAAAACCTAAGTGAAAGGAAGTTACTCCATAGAGAAGAGAGAGACTGCAGAAATCTGATCTAGATCTTCAATCTCCATCTCCAAGCTTGATTCCTGAGCTTCAATGGCGAAGAAATCCTCCAAAATAGCTCCAAGAACGTTCCCAAGTCGCTCTCTCTCTCTAGGGTTCGTCCCTTGGGTGTTTGGGATCCCAAAACCCAGCTCTCTCTTCTTTGGTTCGGAATTTGGCTTAAAACCAGGAAATCCCGACTCGCATGGCCAGGGTGCACGGCCGTGCATATCACATTCTGGCCGTGCAACTCAAAACGCAGCGTGTCATTTAGTTGAACTTCAGCCCTCTCGCACGGCCAGGGTGCACGGCCGTGCGAGCTTCAGGGGTTGCCCGTGCGTGTCCTCGGCATAAGGCGCACGGCCATATTGCTCACGTGCACGGCCGTGCAGCCTCCCTGGTCTGCCCGTGCAGCTCCCCAAAAACCTCGCCATTCGTCCGTTCTTCGTCCAATCGACCCCAGACTCGCTCCTAAGCCTTCATTCACGTACTAGGACCTGAAACATCACAAACAAGCACAACCTAGCGTGAAATCGGCCTAAAACACGAGAATCAACACCTCAAACGGTGTAAGAATGGGGGTAAAAACATGTGTAAATGACGGTCTATCAAACCTCTTTCGATAGAGGGAGTCTAGTTCAGAACGCCTTGATCAGTTGTTCTAGAGAAGGATACGTCCCTCTAGGCAATTGACTCAAGAGGGCCTTGTTCCTTTAGTCGAGACTCAAGGTCTAGTCAAGGATTCTCCGCATTGTGAATGAAAGTGAAACAAGTTGGAAATCATCAATTGTTTGTCTGGCTAGTGGCTAGGGGGAATCATACCTAAGTGAGTTCCCAACCTGTAATTAGATTAACTTTAACTGTAGTTTGCTAGAGTAGTTTTAGTTCTTTCATCTTAATCTGGTTTGCTAAATAATAAACTGAAGCTGAGTAATAGTAACTCTAGAGACCCGTGGATTCGATATTTATCACTTGAGCCACTATACTGCAGTCCCTTTCATTGGTTACACTTGGCCTTTGTTAGGTGTTGTGTTTTAGCGAGTCACCGAACCACCTCAAGTCCCAGGAAATAAGAAAGATGACCCAAAAACTTTTAAGCTAAAGGATGCATGGAGATCTGACTTAAGCTGTGCAATACCCACCTCATCATTACCAGAAATGATCATATCATCAACATAGATAAGCAACACAACTATCCCATGAGAAGTCGACTTAATGAACAACGAAGGATCATTAAGGCTCTGAGTAAAACCAAACCCCGTCAGAGTATCATAAAACTTATCAAACCAGGCACGGGGGGCTTGTTTCAAACCATAGAGAGAATGATGGAGAAGACAAACCTGGCCAGGCTTGCCATGAGTGTAACCCGGGGGCATCTCCATGTAGACAACTTCTTGGGACGATCTGGCTGACAAATTCGTTCACAGGTACTATCCGGCATCGAAGACTACCGAGATACAGCGGGAGATCACTCACTTCCGCCAAGAGCCAGATGAGTCACTTCGTGATATATGGGAGCGGTACATGGGTTATTTCTGGCAGTGTCCCCATCATGGCTTTAGTGATGCATTCACAATGGGGAACTTCTACAGTGCTCTCTCTCCAGATAGCCAGAGGGTGATTGAGTCTCTATGCCCAGGAGGGGATATTCTTACTAAGACTCCACCCGAGCTGAACCAGATGATCAATACTTTGGCTGCCAGAGATCATTCCTGGGGGCAGAGCAGCCGAGGCAGACATTCCCGGGACCGTGGTGTGCACGCCATGGAGACCAGATCCGGGCTTGAGCAGCATGTAGCTGAGTTAGTGCAGACATTGAAGCAGCCCAACAGTCTGATTCCGGGCAGAGGTTTGGCTACACCTCCAGTAGCTCAATGTCAGTGGTGCGAGAGCTCCAATCACCTAGTGGAGGACTTCCAAGCTATGAGGGAGTCTACCACTCCCCAAGAGCAGTTGGACTTCATCGCCAATTCTCGGCGCCTCGACCCGTACAGCAACACATATAATGAGGGGTGGCGCCAGCATCCCAACTTCGCCTGGAGCAGCAACACCACTAAACCACCTGGTTTCCCAGCACCAGCAGGTGGTTTTCAGCAGAGGCAGCCCTTCCAGGCTCGACAGGGGCCAGCCCCACAGCAGCACCCCTACCAGCCTAGGCAGGGGCAACCTTTCCAGCAGCCCCAGCGCCAGTTTGCCGAGCCAGCAGCAGCTCCGGCCCCAGATGACCGGATGACAAAGCTGGAAAATATTCTAGCTTCATTCATGACTAGCACTCAGGCTGCTATCACGTCACTGGAGGCAGGTCAGCGGAACCAGGGTGCCATTTTGCAAGATCTGCAGCACCAGGTGGGCATCTTGGCCCGCCAAAACACTACCAGGGCACCGGGGTCTCTGCCTGCCACCACTATCCCGAACCCTCGAGATCCTCACCAGCTCCAGCAGCTGGATGCCATTTTTACCAGGAGTGGTAAGACCATATCTGCTGATCCTGTCCCGGCCAGACAGGAGGAACCACTACCTGCTTCAGCACTTCCAGCCGACGATGCAGAAGTGCGGGTGGAGAAGGAAGCCCCTGCTCCCAAGCCACAACCAGTGGTTAAGGAGCATGTACCCCAGCTTCCCTTCCCCACTCGCCTACACAAAGACAAGCTGGAGACTGAGTTTGCCAAGTTTATGGCAATGTTGAAGCAGCTCAACATCAACATACCGTTCGTGGAGGCACTGTCGAAGATGCCCAAGTATGCCAAGTTCATGAAAGACCTCCTCACCAACAAGAAGAAACTTGGGGATCTTTCGACAGTGATGCTCAGTGAGGAGTGTTCTGCTATCCTGCAGAACAAGCTGCCCGAAAAGCGCAAGGATCCAGGGAGTTTTACTATCCCTCTTACTATTGGCAGCATGCATGTAGGCAAGTCCTTGGCGGACCTAGGCGCTAGCATAAATGTCATGCCATATAAGTTGTATAAAAAGCTAGACCTAGGTGAACTTAGCCCTACTAGGATGAGCATTCAGCTAGCTGATCGTTCCATTGTGCATCCTAGGGGAATCATAGAGGATTTGCTTGTCAGTGTCGGTGCATTCACATATCCTGTTGATTTTGTTATTCTTGATATACATGAGGATGTGGATGTGCCATTGATTCTGGGGAGACCATTTCTTGCCACCGCCAAGGCACTTATTGATGTGCATGATGGTAAACTGATCCTGCGTGCTGGGAATGAACATGCTACTTTTTCTGTGACTGAATTTGATCACTGTGCTATGATTGCTGTCACACCTGTGCATGCCATTTCTGATCAGGTACACGAGCCTGTCGTGTATCCTTCTGCACCTCTTATTTTGCAGGACCCTCCTATCATTCCTTCGCCACCACTCCATCCAGCCTCGCCTCCGAACAAAAAGCTCAAGGAGGAGTGGCGGCCGACGCAGCAGGTTGCTAAGCCTGCGCGGAAGAAGAGTGGAGACCACTATGAGCTGGTCCCACCTCCTGCACCACGACCACCCTGGCCATCCGGGTACTCACTCGCCTGCATCTTACCGGATGGCCAGGTCGAGCTGACTGATGATGGTGGTCGCATCCGTCGGGTGCATGGCCACAACCTGAAGCTGTACCTCAAGAGCGACGTGGATCCGCTCTTGAAGACACCTGTTCCTGCACCGCCCTGAGTATCCACCATGGGCGTCCAGCTAAAAGACGGTAAAGAAGCACTTGTGGGGAGGCAACCCCACCACGGTGTGACTTTCTTTCTTGTGTTTTGAGTCGGATTGTAAACCAGTTGGTTTTGGTTTGTTTTGGATGATGTCTTATTGGGATGACATTAGACCTAACATATTGTGTTTGAGCTCTTTGGTTTCTTTTGGCTGTGCTTGTCTTGACTGGTCCTCTATCCAGTCCACTTCACTCCGACTGGTCCGTTTCCAGTCTCCTGCAGTCCGTGTATACCGGTAATATCGTTCCCCTTTCCCTTCCCTCTTCTCCATTGAGGGCAATGTCGATCTTAAGTGTGGGGGGATGTTTATCTTTAACTGCATTAGATCTGTTTGTGTGCTTGGAGCCTAGTCCACTGTCCAAATTTTTAAATTTGAGGGCTCCAAGTACGTGTTTCCGTGCAATTGCCTGCTCAGTATGCTTTGAATTGACAGTCTTTATAGTAATGTGCAACCTAGGGAGGTAGTGTAGCACTATGGAGGATGTTGATGCATTTAAGAAGTCTCATTTCTTCTTCATATTGTGTTGGTTGATTGAGTGAATTAGTGATCTTAGGACCCTTGAATTGTGTGGTGTTGTGGATTCTCTACCTGTCATGGACTCTTGTTTCATGTTTTGAGTTTAACAGGTGCTCGAAAATGTGCCTTAAAATAACGTCTCCCGTGCGAATAGGGCGAAAGTGTGTAAGGGGAGACGGGAATTCGTTCCCAATTTCCACCTACTACCTCCAGCCCCCTTACATGTCTTTCCCCGCACGAGGCTCGAGACATCTGCTCCTAGCATGGCCGGTAAGAGCAGGTTGGGACCCCTGGAAAAAAAAAGAGAAGAAAAAATAACAGAAAACAAGCAAAACAGAAAGAAAAAGAGGTTCCAACCATCTTGAAGAAGAAAATAGAGCACCTTGAAAAATGTGAGTCCATGATCTTTTGTTTTTGAGAATCTCTCCATCCACGATTCATTTGTCCTCTGTTCACTATTTGCCATGATGCCGACTCGATACTAGTGCTCTCGCCGAAGAAGCTATGAGATGACTTGTGCGTCGGTTAACCTCGTAAGCTGCTAAATGACCTAGGAAGTCCTCTACCCACGATTTGGGTTGTTTGTTGCTATAGAGGTCTGGAGAGTTGCATTGGTTTGAGTTAGGTTTGCTTGGGGACAAGCAAACGGTTAAGTGTGGGGGAGTTTGATAACTATGTAATTGCACATATTTGCGCCCCTAGTTCTTATCCGTTTGAGGGGCATAGTCGTGTGTTTTTGGTCTATTTTACGCCGGGTTGTGCTATTTTGTCATATTTCAGGTCCCAGGCGTCAAAGGGAAGGCTAAGCACGAGTTTCGGGGCATTCGGAAGTCATTTCGTCAAGCTGGAGCCAAAACACGGGCACACCTAAAGCATTACACGGCCGTGTTCTGTGGCCGTGCTTTTACTGCCGAGAGCTAATTCGAGTTGGCAAAATCAAGCCAAAACACGGGCACAAAGCACGGCCGTGTCCACCCAAAGCACGGCCGTGCCCATCACCAAACACGGCCGTGTTTCCCCCATTGCACTGGCCGTGTAATTAACCCTAGCCAAAGCACGGGCGGGCTGAGGCATTACACGGCCGTGCCCTCGACCGTGCTTTGGCCACTGATGCCCTTTTAAGCAGATTTTCAGCCAAAAGGAAAGGAGAGAGCTGGGTTTTGGATCCCAAACACCCAAAGGACGAACCAAAGAGAGAGAGGGCGATTTGAGGGCATTCTTGGAGTGGAATTGGAGGATTTCTTTGCCTTGGAAGCTCGAGGAACAAGCCCGGACTTGAAGACTGATCATCTGAAGATTCTTACTGCAGTATCTCTCTTCTCTATGGAGTAACTTCCCTTCACTTAGGTTTTGAGGAACCCTAGCTATGTTTGTTTGATTGGATGATTGTATGATTACTCTGACTTGATAATCTTGAGTTCATATTCAATCTATGCATGTTTTCATGATTCGATTCTGGTTTAGTCAAGATTATTGATTCTGCTTTGATCCTATGAGAGGGAATACCTGATTAGGTCAATAGAGCACCATAGATTGATAGTAGTGGATCGATTGCTTTAGTCGAGGGTTGATTCACTGCTTTGTATCGATTGAGAACCTCTTTCGATAGAGGGAGTCTAGTTCAGAACGCCTTGATCAGTTGTTCTAGAGAAGGATACGTCCCTCTAGGCAATTGACTCAAGAGGGCCTTGTTCCTTTAGTCGAGACTCAAGGTCTAGTCAAGGATTCTCCGCATTGTGAATGAAAGTGAAACAAGTTGGAAATCATCAATTGTTTGTCTGGCTAGTGGCTAGGGGGAATCATACCTAAGTGAGTTCCCAACCTGTAATTAGATTAACTTTAACTGTAGTTTGCTAGAGTAGTTTTAGTTCTTTCATCTTAAACTGGTTTGCTACATAATAAAATGAAGCTGAGTAATAGTAACTCTAGAGACCCGTGGATTCGATATTTATCACTTGAGCCACTATACTGCAGTCCCTTTCATTGGTTACACTTGGCCTTTGTTAGGTGTTGTGTTTTAGCGAGTCACCGAACCACCTCAAGTCCCAGGAAATAAGAAAGATGACCCAAAAACTTTTAAGCTAAAGGATGCATGGAGATCTGACTTAAGCTGTGCAATACCCACCTCATCATTACCAGAAATGATCATATCATCAACATAGATAAGCAACACAACTATCCCATGAGAAGTCGACTTAATGAACAACGAAGGATCATTAAGGCTCTGAGTAAAACCAAATCCCGTCAGAGTATCATAATACTTATCAAACCAGGCACGGGGGGCTTGTTTCAAACCATAGAGAGAACGATGGAGAAGACAAACCTGGCCAGGCTTGCCATGAGTGTAACCCGGGGGCATCTCCATGTAGACAACTTCTTTCAAATCCCCGTGAAGAAATGCGTTCTTAACATCAAGTTGATACAATGTCCAGAAACGAGCAGCGGCGACAGCCAACAGAGTGCGGGCTGTCGTCATCTTGGCCACCGGGGCAAATGTCTCTGTAAAATCAATACCATACTCCTGTGTAAACCCCTGTGCGACAACCCAAGCCTTAAAACGGTCAAGACTCCCATCGGGATTGATCTTTAGTGCATAAACCCAGCGACACCCAACAACTGGAACAGAGGAAGGTGGTCGATCCACGACAGTCCATGTTTGCTTTGCATGTAGAGCATCGATCTCGTCGTCCATGGCCCGATTCCAACGAGGATCCCCCTTTGCCTGGGAGTAGCGAGAGGGTACCACAATGGACGAGACACCATGGGCCACAAAATCACCAAAATGAGGTGGCGGTTGCCCCTTTGTAGAGCGAGTCAAGCGCCTAGGAACAACAGCTGGCGGACTAGGCGACGGACTGGGCGGCGTCGGGGGACTGGGAGGCTCCGGGGAAGGTGAGTCGGGAGGGTCCAGGGGGTCTTCATCTAGCTCAGGATCTTCAGCAAAACATGACAGATGGGACGAGGAGAACAAAGGAGACAAGGGTTCAGATGGAGTAAAATAGAAATGGACATTTTCAAAAAAGACAACATGACAGGAGATACGAACACGACTGAGAAGAGGATCATAATAGAGGTAATCCTTGTGAACATCTCTATAACCAAGGAAGAGACAGCGAGCATCTTTAGAAGACAACTTAGAACGCTCATGACGAGGTTTCAGGACAAAACAAAGACAACCAAACACACGAAGACTGGAGTATGAAGGATGACGCGAGAACAAGGCGAAATAGGGACTAGACTGCTTCAAAACCAGGGTAATCTGATAGTTGATGAGACGGACAGCATTAGCAACGGCCTCAGGCCAAAATCAAGGAGGAACATGGGCAGCCAGAAGAAGAGCACGTGTAAGCTCCATCGTATGACGATTCTTACGTTCAACCAGTCCGTTTTGTTGGGACACTCCTGGGCATGATTTCTGAGACAAAATCCCATGCTCCTTATAGTACGCGAGAAGAGGATTTGAGCTAAATTTCCCACCCGGATCAGAACGAAGAATTTTGACATTCCGACCAAATTGAGTATGAACCATAGTCAAAAACTCAGTTGCTACTGCATACAAATCAGATTTCAACCGAAAGAAATAAACCCAGGCGTAACGAGTGGCATGATCGATGAAAAGTGCAAAATACTTGTAGCCATTTAGAGAAACAGTAGGAGCAGGCCCCTAAAGATCAGAGTGAACAATGTGAAAGGGATCAGTGATAATAGTGGAGCTGGAAGGAAAAGAAATACACTGAATCTTTGCTTCAACACAACTTGAACAAGGAGGTGGTGTGTCTGAAAAAACAATAGGTTTATTACCAAGTAGATTCTGTTGGAACATAGACTTAAGACGAGACGAATTTGGATGACCCAGACGACTATGCCAAAGATGCCAAGAAGTATCTGACTGACTCGAAAAAACAGGATAGAATGAAGACACAGCCGAATTACTAGACTCTAACAAAGACATGGGTTGACTCGAGAGCTTCTCTAGCTGAAAGATCCGCCCCTGTTTACTCCCTCTTCCGATATGCCTCCCCGTCGTCAGATCCTGTACAAAACAACCAGATGGTGGAAACACGACAGAACAATTTTGTTCAGTTAATTGACCCACTAACACTAAATTCGGTTGTAAATCAGGAACATGTAGAGTATTAGCAAGAGTAATAGTCGGCTGCCGAATAGTTCCAACTCCCTTCACATCCAAATGCTGACCATTAGCTACTTGTAATTTTAAGCACGAACAGGAGCAATATTATGTAATTGAAGCATTTGTCATATGATTAAAGCACGCAGAATCAAGTAGCCAAGGTTTGGATTTACCAGAGGCTTGGAGCGACGCAAAAGCAGAATTAATGGTAGTAAGCAGCGCCGAATTTATGGCAGTGGGCAAGGCCTTTTGAAGAGCTACATTCACCAATTTTTCCACAGCACCAGCCAAAAGAAGACCCCCATCCCCATCAGTAGCTTGCGCGACATAGGCGGGACGCGAATGTGGAGCAGCTGGTGCCGAAGAGGATTGGGACTGGGTGCGATATTTGAGAGTGCAACTTTCCAGAACTATGTGGCCCGATCTTTTGCAATAAACACAGTAGTTCTTCTTGCGGCAGTGTTTTTGGAGGTGGCCATTTTCTTCACAAAATCGGCATATGAGTTCTGACACGGGAACCCGCTGCTGGAAGTTTGGGCGGCCGACTGCATAGGCCTGGGTATCCTCGGCAGCAACTGGTACGCTGGAGAAGACCTCTTCGTTTGCACCAGGGCGGACATCAAGGCGCTCCTGCGTTCGGAGGCGCGTTTCCTCCCGCAGCAATCGAACAATAACCTCTTCAAAATTTAGGTTATCTTGGTTCAGAAGAGAAGCCCGCAGCGGTTCATATTCCAGGCGAAGTTTCATGAGAAACTGATAGAGACGGGATCAGAGACGTTCAACGCGAGCATCCTCGGAGATGGCCGCGGGTCAAAATGAGGCCAACAACAAATCTTGTTCGGTCCATAATTTCAAGGCTGAATTATAGTAAGAAGCAATATCCATCTCACCTTGCTTGAGTTGCGACAACTCAACCTCTAACTCGTATTGATGAGCCGAGTCTTGGGTGGTGTATGTCGAAGCCAGCTGCGCCCACATCTCATGGGCGGTCGTAAACAAACGCAGACCAAGAACAATAGACGGATCCACTGACCCGAGGATCCATGATTTCACCCGTGCATTGTTCTGAATCCACATATTCAGTTCCTGCTCAGAAGCAGGTGGTACAATCGGTCTCTTCAAAGTTCCATCAAGGATCGGCAGCAGACCCTTTCCTTCAACAAACACACGAAATTGAAACTCCCAAACAGCGTACTTCTTCGAATCCAGACGAATGGCAACGCCTTCAGAAGGCTCTGATACCATGTTAGACATACTGAA